AATAAAAAATAGGTACAAAATTAGAATGTAGCCGTATAGAAAACACCAAAAGATTGAATAAAACATTATCTGCGTGATTCGAAAAAATAATACATTTTCACTCCTTTACATCCTACTCTTGTTTCTTTTATATTACGACGTCATACGATGTAGAATTAGGAAAAAAAGGCTTTGGTTCGACAATATTAGGCAAAAGCAAACCGGTAAAGTAAACCATATTTTACTTAACTCGAACTGGTAAAGTTTGCTAAGAAAATAATTATTTTAATGAAAGTCAATGACGTATGTGTTCTAAATACACAACATAAATTATGATTCCAATTCCAGATAAAACTTCCAGCCGCACTCTAAATCCAGCCAAATTATAGTAATAACATTGTCTGTAATAAATTTGTAGAAAATTATATTACCTTCATTCAAAATTGAATGAGTCACTAATAAATTATGGTATTATACAGTCAAGAAATTTATAAGGGATCGTTTTAATACTCAGAGGAAAACATGTTTTAATTACTTCCCAAATAATTGGTCTAAATATTAGATTAAATGGATATCATTCTCACAGTCAAAGGTGATTTGCATAATAATTATTCATAATGAATTGTTCTTTTTGTAATAAATTTTTCAAATAAGTACTTATACCTTTTTAATAATATGTAGAGCTTTTACACATTGGCCATTTGGTAACAAAGTTCTTGTTTATGTAGACAATTGAGTAATTAATTTGCCGATTAGTAAAAAAAGGATATATGCAAGACAGCGACTGAAAAAGGATATATGCAAGAATTACAAAAGCAGCGACGTACCTCGCACACATCACAAAGTACTTTACATACCTTTCATGTCTTTGAGCACTGCATCATCTAACAGCCTCTGAAATTACTGTATGTAGAGTAAAAATACTTGTAATTATTTATAGTGCCAAGATTTCTCGCTAATTGTGGGCGATGCACTTTTAATACCGGTAAATTCTAAAATCTAATACTTTCGCGCACTTTACTGTCATCAGTTTCTACAATATATGTATATATCTTAAGATGTTGCCTTACATGAGCCGACGACTCATTCCTCGTTTTCTCTACGAGTCTGTACGAACATTATCTTTTCTTGTATCTTACGAAATAACATCCCAACGTCTTAAGTATGAATATTATGTTTCAATTGAATGTTAAATGAGCATATGAGAAAATGACACTTACTTTGAAGTTCTTATGCGCCGTGTATTAGCTTCCTCGCAATTACTTGAATATCCTAATTGTATTTCTATAAGACCACATCAATCGCGGCTCTAGTTCGTGATTGAAACCGTGTTTGATTTAAAACACAGCTCTGAATTATTTATCAGGCTGACAAACTATCCCGTCACGTGACAGGGACATATTTTCCCTAGGTCTGTAAAAGACCTTCATAATGACAGATCAATCAAGATTAGTATATAACTGACTGAAGATATCTTAAAGTTCTGCATAAGACTTGGTGTTATCTTGGAGCTACGCACACACCGGTGATTTTTTGAAATCGTTAACTTTTGTTCTTTGTTGATAGGACACAAAAAGTCACTATTACAGAAAGTTACCAGTGAGCACAAGGCCTTGATTGATTGATTTATGACTGATATATCTATCCAACCTATTTTCACCCGTATCAGATGTGTTCGCTATTGAGTAAATCATGATAATGGCTATAGCGCTACAATTTCATGAATCTACATCGTATAACAAAGGTACATACATATAATATAAATACATATAATACATATTATTTCTTTTGAACTTGCATTTAAGATATATCTTTAAAATACGCGAGTAAATTATTACATTAACTAGATCATTTGTCTTTTGAACGTTACCCTTAAGGCCAGTACCCAACACTGGAAATATGTATTAACTTACAAAGTAAAATATTTGCACTGAACATAAAATAAATTGAGAGAAAATTATAGTGCCGTGCCGTGTAAACACCTGATGAGTGTGTTGGTGGTAACGCTTTATTATAGTGCCTCATTTACTACAGCAATTTCACCTACTTAATATGAAACAGCTTTACAATATAATTTTTCACCATATCAATTGCAGTGTATAATTATTGGTTTGAAACATTTTTTAAATGAATAAGTAATTTTGAGTTCCTTCGAATACCTACTCTATTTAATAGAAGTCTAAGCAATAATCAAGACACTCCTAACTATCAGCATAAAAAAATAGAGCGTTAAAATCATAATCATGAAATAGTCCAAAAATTCTTCTTAACATCTTTTCTTTAAAATTTTGAATAAAAAATACTCAAATAAAAATCGTCTAATAGAAACAGAACGGTTTTTCGACCTAGCAAATTCGATATGAAAATACTATGAAGTAGATGTAGGGCATAATGATATTACATATTAACGACGATTGACTAGCCTATCTGTTATAGAAAAACCTGATAAAGTTAACTAAGTTTAATTAACTTACTTACTTAGTTTGGAACGTGAGCATTTATTTTTAGTTATTATTTAATCAAAAGTATGTATACACTTTTGGACATATTTTATTCTCGAGACTAACTAACACTTTCAATTCAATTCATTTTTTGCAGTCATGTGATTACCCAAGATGTTTCAAATAAGGTTCAGATTTTTTAAATATTTTTAATAGTAATTTTTCAGTAGCAGGGAATTTTTATTTTTAATAAAGTATTTAATTAAAATTAAACATTATACTTACATGAAAATTATTTCTACTTGTCAGGTACAATTTTTTTTTCCCTTGACTTTGCCCGCATAAGTTAAAGCTTATGCCATCCGTGTATGATTTAGCTTTCCGTGGGTAAAAATGTTTTTTAAATCTTTTCCATTAATAATATAATAGTATATTATAATATTGTTGTGTTGATAAAGAATTTAACATCCTAAACAAAATGCTAAACAAAATTCTTAATGCAGCCTGAGGACATTAGTAACCTAAGAGGTCCCCCATCTGCAATGACAGTTCTGTTTAGAGATCCATAATACAACTTGTTAAACTACAGAACCAATTTTAATGTAACACATAGAGAAGACCTTGGGAAAGGACAGAATAGTTTTTATCGCAATTTCCATATGTGCCGGTGAAATACTAGTTATTAAATAAAACATTCTAATTCGCACATTCAACTGTTAATATGTGAGTGCGTCGCTATGAAGAACTTCATCAAAGGTTCGTAAAGTAGTCGATACATTTGTTGACAACGTATTTGATATAAACGTTGATACGCATGTCGAATGTGCACCGAAGCTTAAACGCTGCCTAGGATACCTCATTTGTTATAATACAGGTAAAATACTTAACAATATATATGTGTATCATACGAGCTGGAATCATTACCCTCTTTAAGGCTTCACTGTAATCGATGTTTAGTCTGCACCAAATAAATATGTGAATATTAGATAAAGTCACATAACTAGATTGCTCAGATTTGTTGTTTGTTTTTCAGAAGTCTTGGCCAACCTATCTAAATATACACAAAACAAAAACCATCATACCTATACCTGTATTAATTCGGTTACGGTAATTCGATTGTTTTAACTATAGGTGTTCCTATATATAACAATAGAACAATTCATTTATTCAGCCACATGGTGTTTATGTATGTGTGTATTTTATATCGGCGCTGTACGTCAAAACATGCTCTATGTAAATATTTTCGTGTTGTATTGAAGATAGGTACGTAATCGAGTCTATTATATTTCACTTGAATATAGGTATCAAATTAAAAAGTTTTTCGTGTGAATTCAATATACCATTAATCCGATAAATCGTGTTTAGCTGATACTTAGAAAAATATATTAAATGCAACAACATTCCAAAGATATCTCTGAAAACCATAATTGAGTATTATTATTTGAATCTGTTTGTAAGAGACTGAAATGACAGTAATTTCTAAAAATAAAAATTTTCACCTACCACTGAGAATTCCTTGAGTTGTGATTTATCACAAGAAGCGACACGAAATAGATAAGAGAAAACATACAAGATCACGCTAGGCTTGCTATGTACCTATTAACGAATGAAGTATGTACTTAATGAATGTTATTTGCTCCTGCCAATTAACTCCTGTTAATTTACATAAACCCCGAGTGAAGATTAATTTCAATTTTAGGAATTTCACCATCATTGAAAATTTAAATCAGTAAACTACAATGGGTTTTCCTGTAATTGAATGGACTATTTTTGTGTTGATTTTTTAAAATTTTTGACTGTAGTTTTGACGATCAGTAGGGATAATAGTGAAATTCCATCACGTTTCCATAAATAACTTGAAAACTATTTGTACCACAAAATATTTCGTTTCTAGCTCGCTTTTCGAAAGAGACCATCATATTTCAAATTTACCTTTTCACGCTTTTGTCTTTATATCGCCGACTTACATAAGTCTTTCAATTCGGTCTAGTAGTTTCAGAAAAATCGGCTGTGACAGACCCACAACAGACAATTGATTAGGGTCGCCGTTTTGCCTTTTTTGATACGAGACCCTAAGAACGCTAATATACATGTGTTACATTAAGAATGGTCGGTATGGAAAGGACAAAAACTGTAATACAAATATATCTTTTTAAGAACTATGTCATAAATTTTTGTTAAAGAAAAACTGCATTCATACAAAAAATACGAGGTCTCAGCTCAGTTCGAGAATCGAAACCAGTCTTTTTTAAATACAATGTTAAAATTGTCTCTATCGTTGCTTTTAACTTTAACTTTCTCATACTGAATATTCTAAATGTTATAACTGTATATAACGTACGATAAGACAATACAATCGCAGTACACTGATAACAAATATTTCCTGTATATTAAAAATAAATATGCACTTGTTATCTCTTCACACTAAAATATCTCGGTTCCGATTTCGTTGAAGTTTGGCACTGAGATAGTTTACAGTCTAGATTACATTTGAAATATTTTTATTCAAGTGTCTGCTTAATAAATAACCTTTGTATTATCATATTCAGCGAGACTATAAAATATTTAATTTTGTCCTAGATTATGGTCGTCAGGATGCAGGTCAAGATATCAAGGCTCAATAGGCCGCCTAAAGTTTTTGAGGCGGCCTTTCTGCATAATAGGTAAGTGACAAGTCGCATAATGCCCTTACTTATTTAATATTCATTGTTTAAAATTAACTATTCTTAAATGCAATCGGAAATAATTTCGAATCCTATGTAATAACATCTCGTGATCTCTTTGCCTATATTGAGCTAGGCTCTCTTTTTACGATTTTGTATTGGTATACATTTTTTTTACATATCTTTAATATGCTTAAGAAATCATCAACCTTATATAAGCACAAAAAAACCTTAAAAACCTATGTGTTTAAAATATTTAATTAAAATATATACATATATTAATTACACGAGATTACATGGTTATACTTATTTGACTTAGAGGTAAATAAAAAAAAACAATAATATTTATAAGATTTGTAACATTAATAGTAATATTAACATTAAGAAAAAACCTGTAATCTGAGAGTATATGTCTTATAACAACCACAGACATGTATTCCATTGTGCAGATATCTTCTAATAGTATTAATTAGCTTTCCGACGCCTGTATAAAAGGCAACATGAAACCAATTCTCTTTGTAGACTAATTAATTTTCGCAAGATATTAAGCAATACCACGTTATATGTTACCTTTCCATTTTAAGACTAAAGTAATACAAATAATAAAAGTCTAGTCAAATGCTTGAAAATATAAAATACCAAATAAATAGGTTCAAGTTATACTTAAATACTCAGCATGGATTTAAATATGTATCAGGATCATGCGTATAGGGAATGACTATGAATTGTAACGAAGTGAAACAAAATATGTATGTCACAATATTGTCACGAAATATTTCATAGGCTTACATCTAAGACTACCTACTTTCATCCTCAACATTTCCAAGTGAAAGTCACGTCCCGTCTATAAACCGTGACGAAGTGACCCTATTTCAGGTGCGACCAATCAGCCTGCGACCTTCGCATTTTCCATCCCCTGGCCCTAGTTTCGTGCGACCGCCATTCCACTCTCTTGGGAGCCGGCCCGCCCGAGACCGTACTAACCGCCAAACATAGCCTCACGATATTCCTACTGGGGACAATAAAATGAACCTACCTAAATTATTCAACCGCCGTTCCATTATTAATGTTTTACTTTTCACTTGTTTTCCATTCCGCCGGTTGTGCCCTGCAAGCATGTAACAATTAGCCGAACCCCAAAACAATTTCCGTGCGTTCTAAATTTGTATCGCCGTCCTTAAATTGTTTCCTTCGAAATCAATACAATGCTAATTTAATACCATCGGGTGTTTCAAAGGGGTTTTTTAATGTTATATTTACATATTTAATTTTAGCAAAGAATTTTCATTAGAAAACTATGTGACTATTTTTCCTACCAAAATTGAAGACATTGTAAGAATAATCAGCAATACTAGGATTATAGGTACTTAGGTACCATTAATTTTTCTTACGTTATTTATTGATAGGTTGATTACAACACTAGCAGTAACAATGCAAGATAACTACATACAAGTAACTGACAAAGCAAATAAATTATTACAGGGTAAACATGTACTGTCTTGTCTCATAAGCCCAATGAGACAAGACAGTACATGTTTACAGGAAAAGTTTACATGAAAAGGTATAACTTTTTAATATTATTCTGAACCTCATTCACAAATTTAGCGAGTAGCTCGGTGGCGTAGTGGATAAGCACCGCGGCCTGCGATCGTAGTCGTTAAGCAACTTTCGCAATGGTCGGTCACGGGATGGGTGACCAAAAATTATTATCTCGAGCTACTCCGTGCTTCGGAAGGCACGTTAAGCCGTTGGTCCCGGCTGCATTTGCAGTCGTTAATATCCTCCAATCCGCATTGGGCCAGCGTGGAGGTTCAAGGCCCATCCTCCTTAACCATCCATAAGGAAGGCCTGAGCCCCTGCAGTGGGGCCACCACCACCAGCCCTTTTACGTAAAAGGGCTGGTGGTGGTGGTGGTGGATTCACAAATTTAGGAAGAAAAGTTATTTACCGATTAAAAAATATTTACCTATGTAACAAAATATACTCAGACCTTAAAAAATCTTATACACTATTTAGATCCCACATGAAATAGGATCTGCAGATATATATATTTTTATTGTAGCATTTTTTGGCTGACTGCGTTTTTCCAAAATCTGTGAATGCAGTTGAAAATGTCTTAAAGAGTAAACGATGGTCTCCTAGAAAAGTTTTTAGGTCTAGCACTTGTGAAATTAGACAGCTATGCCATCGGTCTGTAAATGTATACCGGAAGACCTTGTGCCGGTTGGCAATTGCTGCTTTTTCTTCCCTGTCTTTTTTCACACAGAGAAGTCCAATTGGAAGAAAATGACTTTATTAGACTACGAAGTCGTATTTTTTTCTTAACAATATTCCTTGTGCTGTAGATGTAACAACGATCCTTGCGTCGCTGGTAGTGCTGGGTATGGGTTCGTCAGGCCAGGTATTCGCAGCATCAGCTCTACGCGGACTGCGCTTCTTCCAGATCCTGCGCATGGTGCGCATGGACCGACGCGGCGGCACTTGGAAACTGTTGGGATCGGTCGTTTATGCACATCGCCAGGTAAATAAAATCTCCATGTTTCAAAAAAAGGAAATTTTCGAATAATATTCATCCGCAGATATTTGATAATTGCATTTACAAAGCTATATTGACATTTATGTAAAAAAATTAGGACAGATAGTTTTGTGAAAATATAACTGCTAAAAAACAATCAAAACACGTTTCAATTACAGTCCTATGTTCCAGCACGTGTAGCATGTTGAACGCAAGAACATTTTGTCTACTCCCAAATGTCACTTTTCTTCGGTCAACATCTCACCCTCAATATAAGAAATGTGACATTTGGATGTACAGTAAGCGTATATCGAGTTCGTCAAACTACGCGTGCTGCTGGTAACTCGATCGCAAGACTGGCTTGCGATGACTTTTTATAGCACTCCACTCCAGCTTTCAAAAAGAATGGACGTTATTAGACGGCACTATCTTTTCTTTTCTAATAAAATTCGACAGTCTTAAGTGCCTGAGATGGAATTCGAGTCCATAACGTTCCGCAATCCGATCGTTAGAACAGCCACTCGGATCGTGAAAATTTATTTAAATTAGACAGTAGAGAAAAGTATTTATTTGAAGTAAACTGCAAACTAATTCGTAAACTGATCGCGTCTGGACTTATACGTTAAATTTTACACCATTAGGAATATTTGAAAAAAGAAACAGTTTTCTATATTATTAATTATATACCATATTCAATTACTTTCCTTTGCCTACTTAAATCGAATAATTTCATGAATGAATTTTTTTCACGTGCATTAATATCTTCACGATAAACTATTTTCATAATCAGTATATTCGTATTTTTATTGATAGAACATGATAATATGGCTATAACTCATGGTCACGCGCGATCACAGCGAGTCGCAGTCGAGTTCGACCAAGTCGCTCGACTTATCAGTATGATGATTTGCAGTAAAAATATGAATGACCGCAACGGATACTAAGTGTGATTCAACATAATTGATACCTTCTGGTCAACAAAATATATATTATTGCAAATCTGTTTTTAAAGAAAAAATATAAATTTAGAGTGTACTGAAACAAAGGAAATGATTATCATATACATTAATTATTTCATTATAAATTAGTTTCGCGATATTTCACTGTATTTACTAACGGCTAGCAACGCCTTGACTATCTTGAAGAGTAATTTATAAGGCCTGCTTGATAAATGTCTAAAAGGAAGTAGAACGTTTTTCAAGAAATTTACATATCTGGGTCACGACAACGGACGAACGGACAATACCATAGCTACTCCACACTAGCTTTTTATACAACGTGTAAGCAGATATTACATGGATTTGTAAAAAGTGATATACTTTTAAATTCATAGATTTCATGCCTATTTGATAAACTATGGAATGGTCTCTCCACTAATTGGCTGAAAAGGCCAATCGTCCGATCTATAAATTCGCAATTGTACTCCACGTGTGAATAACTGCATTACTCACGAAAGCAATTTTACAATAAAAATCGAGCAAGTGAGCGAACCATAAATTCCGTGCCACCGCATAACTTTTAATTATTTGTTGTTGCAGAAATCTTAGTGACATATATTTTGTAACAATTTAATTTATTTAGACAGAAAATAATACATTTTGATGAGCTTTCTTTTGGGAATTAGCAGTTAAACCTAATTTATTACCTTTTTAAAACTGCCCATAATAAAAGGTTTTCATCGTATGAACATTCCAATTGTCTCCATTTTTCTGTTCAAAAAACAAGGCCAAAGAAAAAAAAATCATTAACATTTCTTGAGTGACCTTTTTAAATTTAAATATGTCATATTTAACGTATATACATTGCAAATTCTTGTGACAAAGTACCTTTTCAGGTACGGAATATCAAAAATGAAATATGAATGAGGCTTTTTTACGTCACATCTTTAGATTCCTAAGAACGTTATCTATTCATGTTTAAGAAGCGAAGTGTATTAATCACAAGCTTTCACAACTCTCCTTGAAGGCACTGATCGTTTTTTTACTTACGGAGTTTTTAACAAACAATATAGAACAGATGTTCGATGTTAACTGACTCGTCTATTAAAAAGATTAAACTGTGCCAAGCAGTAAATATAGTGGGTTATTAATTTACTCATTGATTTATGTTGTTTATCTTAATTGTTTTTGTTCCTTTTACTTATTCTTAGTAATTCGTTGATGATGAAACATATCGTAAAATTGGTGTGCTTACAACATAAATATGATTCAATAAAAAAATGTGTGTTTTCATGTACATATAACCTCAGGTCCTTCAGTAGAGCCTTCTGCCGAGAGTAGTTTCAACTTCTGACAAAAATTAATATTATTATACTATAATAGCATTTGTCATTAGGTGTAGGTATTGCAGTCACTTTGTCGTGTCACAATAAAAAAAGACTTAAAAGTATTAAGTAAACCACCTAAAGGCTCTGAGATTCTTTGTGAAAAGTTCGCGTTGTTCAATTTAGCAGTCACTAGAGGATAGGGTCGAGTTTTTCTCTGAAAGCTCTGCGCTCTCTATAAAGGAAAGCGGTACTTCACAGAAAATTACAGCTGTTTTATAAATAACAAGCCCAAAGTCACAAGAAGTCAAGAGGCTACGCTAACCTCACTTAATCGAAGGAGCCTTATTATTAACGCTTAGGTACACATTTTGAATAAACATAATTTGAAAGAGGTTTAGTCACTTATTTGCATGTGTATATTTTGTTTAACAGAAAATTTTTATACGATTTATATTTACGGATGTAAATTAATGAGAGAACATTTATTTATGAAGTTTAATACGAAGCACAATTTTATTACAAAGACAGAGTAAAATATCGCAGAACAAGGCATAAAAAAGATTATGGAATCTGAGATCAAATTAAAATCTGAGGATGGTACAATGACGGAGTGGACCTTAGAAAACAATATAGGTTACCTGTTATTGCGATAAAAGTATAGTATAATTAATTCGATTGATTGAATGGTTAAAATAGTGGACGAAACTTTGTATGTAAATTCGTCATTCTTTGTATTTTTTAAATTACTGCTCAAAGAAACTCTACCGTGCAGACAAAATGGGCAACATCTAGTAATATGTATATTAAAAAAGACATAAGCATGTCATAAAAGAGATAGTTAAACCAGCTACTTGCTAACAAAGATATTGAAAGATCAAAGTCATCTCGATGACCAGGCATTTTGTAAATTTTACCTACTCGCTACATTAAAGTCAGTTCATAAACTACCACATTATTAAGAAATTTTCTAATGTGCGGCTAACTGGTTTTAAAATACTCTAGTGGATAAAATGATTAATTACTGTAGGCCGTTTTATAATTATAAATTGTTTAGTCATACTTTGTTCATCTTTGATAGATAAAACTGATTGGATCCGATACTTACAGACTATGAATTAACTAAGTAAAAACTTATATGAAAAAGGATTTTCCAAAGTGACAATCTTTCGATCGAAAAAATCAAAAACTGTGAAGTAGAAAATATACAAATTACAAATTTGTTTGCTTTTCTCGCAACTTTATACGTTTTTAATAAATAATTATATTTTCAAAATTGAATTTATTAAATAACAACTTTCGGTCTGAGTAAGCCTAGATTTTAAACTTTCTATATGTCAAATTATAAAAAGAATAGTGAAAAATACATTCATTCTATAAAAAATTGATACTCTGTATTGGCGTTGAATCCACTTGAAACAATATCGAGCTAACAAAATTCCAACTGAACTGCAATCGCGAGTCGTGAATATGTAACAACAATATAACATTTATAATACGAGTATAATACGGTAATCAAAGATAAATTCGTATACCTATATAGGTAAATATAGAGCCCCGAGATATGTAGATATATTTATTAGTCTGAGTTAATTTTCAGCCACATTTATATTGGACCTATTGGACCTAATATTGGTCATTACCTGAATGACATTAACGGCAATACGAACTATTTCGTGTCACAATGGACGGCAGAACCCCCCATCCGCCTCGGCCGAACGTCCATCGGTTCCGTTCACAAAGTTAGCTTCTTGCATAACCTGCCAGTTGGTGTGTAAGCAAAATGGGCCGCAATTTCCTCCAACGAAGTAGGTACAAATACAACATAGGGTGCGACTCAATATCTACTTACAATCGGGCCGGGTTAAAGTTGCATGATCACAATGCAGAGCAAATAAACTGGAGCCCGCCCGTCGTCGCCACATCCCGACCCATTGGCAATATTGACTAAAGGCCTTAATAAAAATTGTATCAAGCTTTCTTTGTGTACCAACAATGTCAGACACCCCGGCGAAGTTATTTTCTTTTATCAGGTTACTATAATAACTGATCAAGGAGGAGGGGAAACGTGCAGTATCTTTTAGTAGGTTATATTAAAGTAACATGCGTATTTATTTTTAAGATTCCGTACTTATCTCACTCAGTCACTAAAAAATTAACAGTGCCTTTACTGAGCATTTGCTTATCTGTCCATCTATCCGCCCATTCAACCGTCCGTCCAGCCGGTCTGTCACAGCTAATTTGCTCCAAAACTACTAGAGCAAATAAGTAAAATTTTGGTTGTGTTGAATTTAAAGAATAATATAGTAAATACTTTTGGACGGTAAATAAAAAAATACAAATTAAAAAAAAAATGATTAATTATCAGTTAAATAGGTGCCCATTCCATCAGGAGATAAAAAAAAAGTATGGCTTCTAAATTTATTGGATATTGCAGTTGGATATGGCCCGTACCCTATCAGTCCTATTAATAAACAAGGTTTAGCGTCAGAGTAAATTTACGCTAAAATTGCAATTAGTCCAAATGCATATTATACAGAGAATAATCAAACTTACTATTTTCTCGGAGTAAATATTACTCCCGTAGAATCTCGTACTACGTAATATGAATTTTGACTAATACTAAGTGCAACCTCAGTGTCAATTTACCTCAATGCTAAACCTTGTTTATTAATAACACTGTAAGTGTACGAATGAGGCCCTGTTACTAAAACTCCGCTTTCCATCTGTCTGTCCATCTATCACCTAGGGGCCAATTCTACTAAATATTTTTTATTTATTTACAGCTAAAATAGAACTGGAATTGTGTCGTATGTCACTTGATACAATAGGAAAACCATTAAAAACTGTAGTTTCGTTCGGTTTCGATCCGTTTTCGATTCGATTTAAACAAAATTTATTTAGTAGAATTGCCCCCCAGGCTGTATCTCATGAACCGTGTTAGCTAGGCAGTGAAATTTTCATAGATAATATATTTTTAATGCGCATAATAATAAATACTAAAACAGAATAACCCTTCATACGCGAGACCGACTCGCTTTTGACCGACTCGATTATCAATTATTTTATCCTCAGAGCCTTTTGTTTTCGCTAGAGCCCATTAATTTGATATATAAGATGATTTGAGTAACAACCTACAAACTAAAAGATAACTATTCTATTGTTTTCTGTTCCTTTATCGCTAATAAAGTGTACGTCACTGAATTATGGCTTACATAAGCTTTATTAGCTGATAAGGTGAACCCAGATACTCGCTTTTATTATATAGCCCGAAAATACTTGGATATAAAAAGATTACTAAGTTTATTTACTTACTTTAAAAAACCTAAACATAAAACAATTAACTTTTTTATACTCGTACGTTGCGATAGCTTTCTCGATTATAAACCTTTTTTTGTAAGAATGGTGGCTCATATGTAATCCCATTAAAGTATATTGTGTACTTAAACATAAACTTCAGTTCTCATCTCGTTTTTTCGTGATTCCTTCACTCTTTATCAACTTAATTTAACTTACTTTAAAAATTAGCAAACTATTTCTTAAAGTTTATAAATACTAAACTACACAAGTGGTTAGAATCGAGATTCAGCCTTTAAAAGAAACACTTGAAATTTTTAATTAAAGTGAGTATTATGGATTTTTAATGAAAAATGCTTCAAGAAGCACCAGCACCAGACATTACTCCGAAATGGAAGTCTAATACACAACCTTTCACCATCCGGGCGATTACTCGAACTGTTGATTGATTTTTATGCATTAAAAATATATGTCAGTATAGCATTGTGAATGCAAATGTAATGCACAGGTATAGGTTATTATAACCATAATTTTATATTTTATATTTATAATTTTATATACCATAATTTTAAACATTTCCTGATTATTATTGTTTAAAAAGCTTGTCCCATAAGCACTTTACTTTAATGCGAATTAAGTTTCCAATTTATTCGACAGTGATGAAACACCCGTATTAGTAACGCAAGACTTACCGCATTGTAGAAGATTAAGCAAATGGAAATTGTAAACTAAACAATAGAATACAATGACACTAGTGACCAAGACTTAGCATAATATTGTTAGACTACAAGTGGGGCCATTAAATATATTTTGAGGTGAAAATCTTAAATGGACAATTACCCCTATGAAATTAGCGTATAGCCTCGGAATAAAACAAAAGAGGGTGGAAATTTCATTTTGGCGTTCTAATATTATCTTCAGTCATATTAAATTTTTGGATCAAATATCTTGGATCCTTTCCCTTATATTTAATTGACTCATTCCGATAGGTCACGTTAAAGGTTTGAAATTAATGATGATTGCGAAGCGTAGCATAACGATTGTTCTTTACCTTTTATTCTCTGCCAAACATATTTCCACACTTTTCGAGACGAAATTTATTATTTTGTCTTGCCCATCCATCTTCTTTATACTTTTTATCAAGAAGGTTTCATCCATATGTAATTTAAAATTCAATATTCCAAAACCTATTTTGGAGGATCGGATCCAAGCCCTCCTCTAAGGATCGATATAACTGGATATTAAGCCAGCTCTGCACCATTAAGGAATATGGCAAAGACGTTGTGTTAGTCTGTCATTCACTGTTAGCTTTATTATTGTATTCTTATCGCCCTTTTAAAACATTATTATCTCAAATCAGTCCAGTCATTGTCTGTCGGTTGCTTTTCCACGGTGCGGCATAACGCCACAGCGATACCTGCTAAGCGACCCATTTTTTAAATTGCATCATTTTTATGTAGCTTTACCCACTAACATCCCGCAATAAGCACCTAACAAAGATGGTTTCAAAATTACCCGTCAAATGGGTAATTTTAGTGCCAGTAAAAGACTGTCAGCAATTTACATACCTCTTTTATGCATTGTCAAACAATTTCAATTGCCATTTTTGTTTCAGGAACTAATAACGACATTGTATATAGGATTCCTTGGGTTAATCTTCGCGTCATTCTTAGTTTACTTGGCAGAGAAAGATGTTGCCGATACAAAGTTTAAAAATTTCGCTGAAGCTCTGTGGTGGGGAGTAGTAAGTATAATACGTATTTGTAGTAATAAAAGTGGAAGGGGAATTTATATAACTAATTTAAAAAAAGCAAATCAATGTACAGCAGTGAATTATTTATTGCAGATCACGCTGTGCACAGTGGGATATGGCGACATGGTGCCACAAACGTGGCAGGGGAAATTCATCGCATCCTTTTGTGCCCTCCTAGGGATATCGTTCTTCGCGCTTCCTGCTGTGAGGAGCTTTCACCCATTTTCCGCTAACTAATTAGTCATAATTGTTATTTTTCATACTAACACATTCAATAAACATTTATTTTATCTTAATAGGGTATACTAGGTTCGGGTTTTGCCTTAAAAGTGCAACAGCAACAAAGACAAAAACATATGATAAGGAGAAGACAGCCAGCTGCCACACTAATACAAGCTCTGTGGAGATGTTACGCCGCAGACGAACATTCGATGAGTGTGGCTACATGGAAAATCCATCAAGTTCCTCTTCCAAGTCCACAAACCAGGTAAACAAAATATTGATGTACCGAATTAGTATTATCGACCTCCATGACCGCGTGGTTCGTACGCAGGGTTCAACGTGTTCCCGGGTTCAACCCGAACGGGAATCGAGGAAAACTCTTAAAAATTATAAAATTTTCTATATTATCTCGGGTCTGGGTGTCGGGGTACATTAAATGATTCAGATTTCCATAATATGTGCTTATCTATTTAATTTGTGATCTGAAAAATATTTAATAATAATAAAAATATTAATATTTATTTAGTAAGTACAATTTATTATATCTAAGTATTCATTAATACGCTATTACGTCATTCAATAAATTTCAGTAAATTATAGTTAGAAGAAAATTAAGTTACACGTCACATTTGCCAATCGTTATAGTTATAACGTGCTATATTCTGTAAGAGATTTGTCAAATGATTTCCCTACAGTAAGTGACAAGTATGTGTGTATTGGCAGCAGAGTGATGAGTGCGTCATTCAAGAACAATGCATCTTTTGTATCGCGGCTGCCGACGATCCGACGACACAAGAGTACCTCCCTACACTCCCCTGCGCCGCACTCGAAGCCGGCAGTACACCGTTACGACGTCAACGCTAGCGCTGAAAACCTCGGTAAGCTCACCGTCCTAACAACACTTCATTATACTCATGCACAATCGTTACAAATATATTATTATTACAATAGGTATAAATTCTTAGAAATTACGTTTAGTTCGTTTTGATTTGATTACGTAATTACCACGTATCATAATCGCGATCCAAATTAAATATTAATCTCAATGTATCCGTTGCATGTCAGAATTTTTTCGTTGAATTAATAAAACGTTACTAAAATAATTTATTTCGTCCACATATCACTATACATTTGTAGCTATTAAAATCTATTTCACGATAAAATGTCTGTATGTACAAAACACTAAACAAATTCGTTAAAAAATTGTATATATCCAAATTTGAATTGGCCTTAGAACATTAAAACACTCCATATATATAATCAACAAAGAAGAACGTAGCTGAATAAAAAATATCTCGGAAAACCTGGCACCCCATTAATTTCATGAATACCGAAGCAAGCGAGGAACAAGAAGAAAGAAATTGACTTAATTTTTCAAAGATGGATTGGAAATGAGTAGCCAAACATAACGATCTTAGTTGAGAAAATTACCGCCATCAATCACATCACATACAGCGCACTCAAATATCGAACACGTACGTTATCATCCAGTTTGTTGTTATTTACTGGTAGATGCTGAAGGGATGGTGTGTGATGTCATTTATTGCCCTGTTTCGTAGATAATCGCACACCGGGAGGGGACCGTGCGTGTTGTCTACTCCATTGTTGGAAAAGCTGCTTTAAAGGTTCTATTCTTCATCTTTTAGACGGCACTATGGCATGACCAGTTACAGTCGATAAACTTCCGCTGCGTTTCTTATTAATTCTTTTTAGTACAAACTTCCAGAAATGTGAATACACGAGAATCGAGTATGTTGACGACGTAGGACCATTGTCCGGAGAGAATTTCGTCTTCCGGCGATAATGGCTACGCCTCTTAGCTCCAGACACGATTTGCTGACATTCTAACTACCTTCTACTTCTTTCTATTTTTTTTCACTTTTTGAAATAAATTGCACCCGCGTAGATGAAATGACGCTTCGAAATAATTTTATAATATTGCAATCAGAAGCTTCACATATATTTGACAGAGTGGCTTCTCAAAATGATGATCGCTTTCGCGTATTATATGTAAATGCTACGGTAGAATATGGAAATGAAATATATATATATATACTGAGACTGCAAGAGTTCATTTAGTTTTATAGAGCGTGGTTCACACAATGAATTTCCAGATAATACTTAAAACTTTGCGTACATAAAGTTACTGGAATGGCTTAGTTCGTTCAAAGCTTCTATTAAGTTCGGTTATCTTGACGTAAAATAAACCTAAGCAATTTTATTGACACTGCTTTGCATTCTTTTATTATGCATGCCAGATAGTTTGTAGGAAACTTGTAAGATATCGAAATAATATACAAATATTTGCCGAGTAACTTCCGTACACAACACAAAGCGTAAGCAGATCTATACTATACATTGTAGTTGTGTTCGGTCGCATCACTATCGAGCGAGTTTCAATGAAACTTGGATAGCCCATAAATTCAATACGTAACCACTGCAGTTATCTTATTTGACGACATGAGACATTAAAGATACGGTAATAGATATCTTCAGCCTTTTTTATATTATCAGAATTCTATCTTAATAATTCTAAAGTTGTTATCTATCCTTTGTATAGGTTATTATAAAAATTAAAAACTCAATCATGTATGTCATTATTACTTTGTTTTAGGAAGCGTCTGAGTGGCTCTTTTTACAACAAACCATTAACTCAGTTATGTACAGTCAATAAACGAGTTTCAGTCTAGACGGTTTCGCTTTGTCTTCGTTTACATTTACCTATTAAATACTTGGGATAAGAAATGTTCTAACAACCCTTTTGTCTACAATGTATATAAGTATAGAAGTAGTATTATGTACTATATGTCTCTTTTTATAATGACTCGCACGATTCAGCCTGTCACCCGTCAGTCATTCTCGTTGAAAAGGGAAACGGAAGTATTCATAAATCATATAAAGCTAGATTATATTTGTAAATTTTAATAATCAATGTAACTAAACATCTCGTGAGAATTAACATATAAAAAATAATCACAGCTATTCACAAATAAAATAACTAACCTAAAGCGAAAATAATAACAACTAGATAATATCGGTCCAGTGAAAAATCGAAGCTTTTAAAATTGATACAAGAAGATATTCTCATCTCTATTATGGTTCATTTATTATATATAAACTACATATTCGTGGACAGGATTGTGTCGTATGGATATGTCAATTTAATTTAAAAATTATTATGCTATGTACTACCACAATATACGTCGCAGCTATATTACCGTCGAGTCTGATTGCGGTGGCAATACTACAAAGCACGTTTAATCAATACTTTACTCTTTGATCACCCTGTTTAGTAACAAGTAATGTCAACCATATAAATAACGAACAATCGTGTATTAAATAAATACCGCTCGCTCGACTCTTGGTTTATGGTTGAAGTTGACAGTAGACAATTTATATTGGCAAATCGAGATTTTTTTCTTTTGTTTTTTTTTCATCAGATTCTGGTACACCATTATTTACTTAAAAAAAATAATTTGATATAAAAGAGTAGAACCAAGGAGACATTTTTTATTTTATTTTGAACTTTGTGAAACTCTTACCTCGCGGACGATCAAAATACTTCCTAATTTTTTGATCGAAAATCCTTCTCCGTAATTCGATGAATAGCTATAAAAGAGGGAAATTTTAAAAATATCTTATAATTTCAAAAATTCAACTGACATTCTGTTTATTTTTATTAATCATGTAATACTAATGTCAGAAGTAAAAAGTCTCCTCTGACAGGGGGCCCCTTCCAGCTGAGGACCCGTGGCATTTTGCCGACTTGCCACTCTGTAATTACGTCACTGCTCTTTTAATGTATTAGTCCAAAAAACAATATCTTAACCATATTTACCGCAAGCAAATAATTACACATTTTTTTTTTTAATTACTTTGAAACTCTTCAACATTAATATTTAATATCAAGTTGACGTAGAACATTTGCACCTGAGCAAGAAAGAGATAACAAACGGATCGATAGTTTGTAGAAACATTAAATGGATATCGTTGCATTGACCTTGTTAAAGGCTTTCCCATCACAGTAGTTTTCTATAATGCAACCAAAAGCCGTGTTATAAAATATGCCAGTGACGTATAATTACCACTGCAAAGACAGAAATTCTCTAGGGTAAACAGAAAGCATATTACACGAGCCTTTCCAGAGCATTTGCAGTAATTTATGATACAACTTTTTAGCCTTTTTACTTCGAACATAAACAAAGTTAGTGAGTAAATACTTTTTTTCTATTAAATATACTTTATAATTTAAAGTTTATACAGCACGCGTAGCATGACGAACGCGAGAACGTTTTGTCTATACTTAAATGTCACTTTTCTCGGGTGCGCCCATACGATATCTCACTCTCAACCCGAGAAACTGACAAATAAGTGTAGACAAAGCGTTTCTCGAGTTAGTCATGCTACGCGTGCTGGTTTGAACAAAATATATCTAATCTAATTAATGTTCTAAATTTGAAAATATATATCACATTTGTGGAACTTGATTTTGTCTTTTAAGTTTATTTAATTCGTAGGATTTCTAAAGAAGTCTAAAGGGCAAGTATGCAAACAAATAGGTATAAAATGCCCCCCTTATCTTCTCAAGAAGCCTATAATTTAGGCAAGATGAGAGACGGTTCCTACTTAGCATAAGCTATAGGGCAGGGCAAATTTCATCTGGCGCATTTATTATTCAAATCTATTTTGCATTACGTGACATTTAAAAAAGTGTTAAATCGGATAATCCTTACTAAAAAACAAGAAACCCATATTTATGACCAAAGCACTCTAAAATATTTCACCTTGGTTTTAAGCATTTTCATCAAGAGATTTTTAAAAGGTCTCTATTTTATAAATAAAAATGTAATATTCAAGTTTGCAAAAAATGTATAAAGCTTTTGTTGATAAGCTAAATCCACCATATTTAAAATGTTACCAAAATAAAAGGCTGACAGGCAGACAGGGGGATTCGTGATTATGATTAGGGTGAAAGGCTGACATGACCAAGAACACAAACTCAGTACACAAATATTAAATAGATTTTAAGTTTTGCTTAGATATTTCTCTAAAACTATATTCCACTTACTATACAAACAAGTTTCTGTATTATAGGTGTTTCTTAAATATTTTCGTCAATTTTAGGTATGTTATTAATCAATACTATAGGTACGATAACGCTAAATAATAAAAATATAGTTTTAAAGACCAAGACAATCATTTAAATTAACGCAATTAAAATTTAAAACGGATAAAATGAAATGTGAACTTATTATATTTGAGAAATATGCCATTAGTAGATATTCTTAAAAAAATATATTTCAAAATATAAAGAACCTCTGAGGAATATTAGGAAATAGAGAGGTTCAAATATAGTTGATACCGCAAGGGAACAAAGGAACATGCAGTACCCGTAACAATAACTTCGTAATATCAAAGAAGCAGCATAGTTGTGAAGGTAACAACGACAGCATGCGAAGAGTAGGTCGCAGAATTGCGAGTTGCAGTGAAGCTTTAGCCCGTGATGAAGTGAGCGTGTGTGTGGGTTGGCAGGCGCGACCAACGAGCGTACAGGGCGCATCAGCCGGACACGACCCGTCAACCCTTCACACAGCGAGGACTCGGTCGTCGAGACGGCGCTCTCCAAGAAAAACTCCGACGGTAAGCCGCGAGCCCCTCGAAGGACACAACGGTTACCATCACAGTCCTTCAGTGCTAGACTACTGTTCGTCTGTTCATACCTTCTTGTGCTTTCAGTAGATTAATAACAGTGTGTAACTAATTGTTGTACTGACTCTAGTATAGTTTGATTAGATATCATTGGACACTATTTATCACCCTGATCTTTTCTATATATATATTTAAAATACTCACATAAAGATAAAAAAAAATATGTAGGGTCTAGAGAGGTGGGATACAGAATATTATTTATGTGAGGATTATCTGCAAAAGTGACTTCTGCGATTTAACTATTATATGAATAATCTCTATTACTGTGTTTATGACTATATAATCAATATTTACATAATAATTATGTTTGAAAATATACGAAAACATTTATTTATTACAAAGTAAATATTTATTGCATATTTATTCTATCATAACTTTGTTAAAGTATAGAATAATAAAAAATAACTTTATCAGAATCACTATTAATTTTTTTTCCATTAAGTAGCTTATTTGAAATTAATAAAAATGGATATTCTAAAATAGTTCTCTTCATAAAATCACTGTAACCCACCTTCCACTGCCTTAAATAACTAAATACTTGAGAAGTAAAAATAAATATATAGCAACCTAAAATATCTAACTTATAACTTACTTTATGATATAAACAAATAACTTTGGACTTTTCTTCGCAAAATTATCATTACATCTATATTCTCTAATAAATCCTATTTCATCTGCTGATGATTAAAGAAAATAAAATCACATCTTCAGTCGATTAGATGAACGCACTTATTTTCATTACATCATCATGTCTTAATTCAGTAACAACTTCATACCATTAAAGTAAAGAACACTGTAGCATGAATAAATCTGGTAAACGTACTTCACAATAGCATGCAAAATGGAAATGCAATGTGTGAACTGTGTTACCTAAGTTTAAACCAGAAGCATTCTCCGTATATACTCGTATCCTGCACTAAATGTTAAATGCCACCAACAGTGCCCACGCGATTCGATTCATTCGATCATTCCAACGTTCTCGACACCTGCCACTTTGTAATTTGCTGAGAAATCCTCACTAATGTCATATTAAATACGCCGGAAATGAAACGGCAGATGTGCACAAGTCTTAAGTAGGTACGTAACGTGTTTGGGTAAGTTATAGAGCGATTCCTTATAAACTGAATACAGTGAAATGTTTTATAGATTACAATCAGGGTCACAATACAAATATTTTAAGAGAGCGATAATCTAACGGAATCTTTTCAAGTTAAAACCGATTAAGATGTCTGTAATCATTTGCATACCGTTGTATTATATGTTATGTTTCAAACTGTGTTGTTAAAATATATCCCCAACATGTCCCAATAATTCAAAAGTTCCTTTAATTTATAATGTGAAAACAGTGGTAACACAAAAAGTTTCTAGAACAGACCCATTTATAAACGTTATGAGTTATAGATAAGATTTCGATTTATATATAAATCATTATAATGAATGGAAAAATAATTTTACTTTTCCTTCTTTCCCGTCGCAATGGAAAGTCGTTGTGATATGAATAGTTGGGAGGAGAATTAGCTGCATGGCGACAGGTGAAAATAGCGCAAAAATACATATCATTTCGTTTGATCACGCAAGAGCAGACGCTGGTAAACTGTTACCAGCTTTTGTGTGGTTTGCCCACGCTGTGAAAGTAACGCACGAACGTAGGTGAACACAATTTCACTGCCTATTTGCTGAAATCGAAAAGCTATGGTACTTTGAAATAACAAGGAATTACAGTAGGAGCGATGGAAAAATGGATACGTTTAAATTCTTACGATCATGAAGTACTACTGATGATGGTGTAATTCAATATATCCGTACAAATTTGAAACCAAAATGCAAACAAGCAAAAAATATATATTCGATATATCGTGAATTGTTTCATCGTCTAACTTACATTAAATATATTTATTGGTTTATGTAATGCCTCAGAATAAAACAGTAGATGACGAAGTTCACGATATATTAACAGTTCATTTTTAGAGGATACTCATACCACAATTAGTATTTAAGAAGAAAGATAGAATGTGAAAAGACGTTTTATTCTTTGGGTGAACTGGTGATTACACTACAGTTTAGATTGACTGATAAAAGAAGAATTTAGTGGAAACTGACATACTAAGCAGCAGCATTCTCAAATCACCATTATAACACGTCTACGGAAAATGATTATTATTAGAATATTTGAATATAAAAACAAATCAAAATACTCCCAAAATAGCACCAACCTGATTTTCTCCTTTACTAAAATAAAATAAAAACTTAAATACCTCAACGTTCATTTTTAAAGATTCACGAAATCTGGAGTGTATCTCAGTAAAAGTTTACCTCGAAAGAAGGGTCACTGCTACTTTAATTATATGAGGAATTGACGAACGAAAAAGACGAAATGGACTGGCTGCTCCAAACTTTGAGCCACTTTGAATATTTCAAAAACTTTTAGTGTGGCTAAAATATTTTCAATGTAAATCCACTACAAGAAAATTATAATTATTTGAGGAATTTTTATATTACAATTATTTGAATTATAAACGTTAGAAGAAAAAAACTGTACATTGAAAAACTGTATATTTAATAAAAAACCGTTAACATTTATAGATTAAATAAAAAAAAAACAACAAAAACATATAAATATTGATAACTTTTGCTACTTTTTAATAAATAAAAATTATTATCATAACACAAAGTCTTGTAGGGCTTCTTCATAACATGAATGTTAATAATATTAAGTAGTTGGGGCGCGTTTTCCACAAACATTAATCATTAAGAGTGATGCGCATTTGTAGAAATGATGAATGACATTTTATTTATTTATAACTGGTTGCCGAAAATCAATAATTTTATCTTATTAAGGTCATATTAAATCATGCGAAAGAGATAGCGCACCCTAAATTTGTGCAGTCACATCAATGATGTTTGTTTATTACAATTCATTTACGTATACTCTAAAACTAGTGTAAAAATAATTATACTCATATTATATGATATAACCGCTATTGTGTAAATAATTTACTAGTTAGATCGATAAAATAAAACAAAGAAATCAATTTCATGTATGTGACATACTTTAATGGACAATTAGATCACTTATTTATTTTATTTATAGTTGTCAATACTTAACCAAAATAACTTTACGACCAAATATTTTAAACTAATTTATTGATTTGATTTATTCTTTATAACTGTATTAATATGGAATATACACTTCTAAGTATAAGGAAGTTTTTAAGCCTCTATTTTTCCAGCAAACCAATTAACATCTAGTAAAATATAAGCACACAAAACTACATACTCATTTTGCGCAACAACATGAAATAAACATTTTTATTTTATATTTATAATATATATATTCAATCAAGAGCTAGCGTTTTCTTTTCCCCATTAAAATACTATGTAGAGTTTATATCAATTACAGCTTCTATCAACTTTAAGATTCAATTTATATACTTTTATATATTTAAATAATATTTAATTATTCACTTATATTACTATGCATTCGTATTTTTTCTGCAGATGAGGATGAAGAGCCACGTTGTGTTACACTAACAGCACGGCACAAAGCAGCCATTCGCTTTATAAGAAAGGTATGTTAGAAACACTTACAAATTTAGTTTTAAGAAAATTAGAATGCTCTATAATGTACCAAAGCAATTCAATTTTAAATGTGTAATACTCTTATTGGAAAATCTGCAATATCCCTAATAATTTAATTGTTTACCAACATACCTCATAAAGATGGAAAGACTCTTTTTTAATGTAAATAGATATTACTTATATTATGACAGACTTAGTTATTTGAGGAGCATATTACATTTCTAAATATAATATTATGTTTATATATTCTACAGGGTCAATTTTAGATGTCCTTGTGCGTATAACATTGGGCGCCTTATTAATATATACCTATTAATATAAGTCTTCCTTACAAAAAATTAAATAAATTGTTCACACATTATAAAATGAAAAATGAAAAGGAAGAAAGTACCTACTTATAGTCTCACTGCATTCTCGTGTAATTCTTATAAAACCAGAAGAAATGAGAGATCAAAGCTTTGGGAATTGCTATTTTTTGTGCCAGAATTAGTAAATACACTTTTTATTGCATAGCTAAAAGCTAAAGTTATAAAGTAGTCATCGCTTGGTAGGTATAAGAATAATTTATTCTGTTTGCAGTCCGTTTATACTCCACCTTTGTTCGAATATCTGGTTACCTACTATAAAGAACCGGAAAATGGGTCGGTGCCATTGCACGAACAAGTCCATCGATTTAATTCAGCCAAGGCTAATTGCAACAAGCTTTCGATGTTTTATTTCAGTAGCGTGGTGACTACTGTCAAACGTCTGAAGCATTTAAGTACCAATAGTTATACCTATTCAAAGTCGATCTATTTACTTTAACTTTTTAAATATTTAAATTATGAATACCCTTAGCTAAACTTTGTAAGCACAGAGAACTTCCTTCATATTAATATATTATTATTTACAGTTCAATAAATTACAGCGTCATACAATTATGCTGCTAATAAATATATACACTTTAGATCTCCCGCCTTTTCGTAGGTTAACAAATTATGACGTAGCTAATTACGTTTTGAAATTGGATTTTTTTCATAATATAGTAATTCTACCACACACATTCTTTGGTAGAAATGGTACAAATTATTAATATTTAATTTTAACTTTCGAAGTACTGACTTTCATATTTAAAATTTATTCAAATCAAATTGAGTAATTTTTATCGAGATGGAGAGCAACAATTTTTATATTAGATAGAATTAGATGTCCTTAACAAAACCCACTATTATATTAACTATTATTGTAAAGTGTATTATGTTGTTGTCAAATTCTGACAGATGAAGTATTTTGTGGCCCGGCGTAAGTTTAAAGAAGCGCTAAAACCGTACGACGTAAAGGACGTAATAGAGCAATATTCCGCGGGCCACGTGGACCTGCTGGGCCGAGTGAAAAACGTCCAGACTAGGTAGTACAGCTGCAGAAACCTGCTACATGCACCTCCATTTACTTATCATGCGTACATAATTTACCTTTCCTATCGTCTGGACTGTACCTACTACCTATGTCTTGCAATGTGATCTGTAGACAATTTGGCATCAAACCTAATCTGCCCTATCTGTAGCTAGTGTGTGTGCAACGCTGTTCATAATGGGAATTTGATGTCCTGAAAATTTTACTTGAGATTATCACGTGATCGTGGACAGTTCAGACTTGTTTTATATTAATAGTTTCAAGTGAAATTAGCAGGAATTCATTGCCATTGTCCTACTTTCAACTGTATTCTGAAGATACCACATAAATACTAGTAACTTAAGGAGCAATGCATCGTTACGAGGACATGCATGTTATCAAATTTTGCTATCATAATAATGTAACCCGTATATTTTTAATTCTCTCCATCGACACTCTTCGGCAGTGTTATAATTGGACTGGACTATTTAATTTGACCACGTCGAAAAAATGAAGACCACTAAAGATGTCAAATGATGTAGTTTTCATGAAACACGTTATGTGTTGTTTCCGTGTAGCTCAAGTATTTTGTCGCACGCAAGAGATTTAGAGAAGCGTTGAAACCTTACGACGTGAAAGACGTGATAGAACAATACTCGTCGGGGCACGCTGATCTACTAAACCGAACCAAGAACCTGCAATACAGGTGAGGCGAGAGAAAGGTCGTCCCGAATACGGCCCGTCGCCACCGCTTGTTCACATTCATCAGCTCGCCTCTTGTGAAAGCCACCCTACCACGTCCGATTACAGAACAACACCACCATTATACTAGATGTACATTCTCTAACATGACAAATCATCATTGGTCACGATTTGCTGGTCAGGTACAGTGGCAGCAACAGGTGGCAGTTATTGGCACGACAATGTTCAAAAATTTACCTTAGTTAGGCTCCATTACATTAGGTTTAGGTATCATCGCATAGTTATTTATAGTGTGCCCCCTGAAAAATACCCTAATATAAAAACCAAACTAACACACGCTTACTTGATATTTTAACATAATTAGTACTACTAATAATAATGATAAAACATTACCTATTTTCAGCAAGAGAAATAATTCGAAAGGTTTTATACAGGAAGACTAAAAAACAAGCTATAAATGCTATTGAAAACATCAAATATTGTTCAAGATTCAACACTATGTTTTGTTGATACATATATACCGTTTCAAATTTCGGGCCTTTACACATTTTATTAGTCTTGATCACGGGTCACACTTTGTGTATATATAGTTTTGCTTTGCATAGGTTTATCAACTATAAACTAGGAATCAAGGTTTAAATAATAAATTAGTAATGAACTCGTTAGAAGTGAAATTCCATTCTGTTCAACCAAGTGGTCCCACAAGATTGCTTTGATTCACTAATTAGTTTATGATGGGTCACAATATTCTCGCAAAAACTCTTGATTAACTTAAAAATAAACATTTAATGAGACCATCTACATTTTTATTCTATTATTTTTTATAATAACAGAGGCACTGTAATCGAAAAATTAATAATGCTCTACGTAAATGTTATCTGTCCCGTGAAATTAACGAGTGGAACAAAGCAGATTAAGATTTCAGGTTGAGCAGACTCTAAAAGGAGTTTATTTCATTTTACAAGTTTTAGAGGTTTTATTACGTTTACGGTTTTTAATTAACTGGAACTAAATAATGTAAACGCTAGACTTCTCCCACTAGTGTAACAATTCGATAGTGTCATTTTGACTTGTTGTCAATCTACCCTGTTTTAAAGTTTTTAAAGGTTGCATACTTAATTAATTAGTTGTTGACACGAAATTACTGACAAGGTTAACCTCCAAAAGTACAGTTACCATATTTTAACTTTGGCATGAAAAAAACAAATTAAGACATCTTTTTCTCAATAACATGACTCCCGTTCGCTTGAGAATGTAAACAGCAGAATGCTTAGAGAAATGAACTTTATTTTCCTTTGTTTAGATTAGATAAACACTATTTCAATTAATAAAATTTGCATTCTAATGCACATTTAATGTATAGATTGAGCTTTCCGCGTGAAATAGAAAGTAGTATTATTGTTGGGTTCTATAATATTGATGAATTTACATAAATTAATTAACGTACGCTTCGCAATCAATGCAACGTTTGTTTATTTTTACATGATAGATATTACTTAGTGTTACATCATGTCGATTCATTTCATGCTGCACATCACATTCTTCATTCCTCACTTTACAAGCATGGTGTATGTGCCGTTCTCATTTACGTGTATTATGTTACTGTTTATAGGGAGCCAATTGTGACGATATTGTATGACAGTGGGAACAGATATGATACATTTATAGATTTAATAACAAATCAGTTTATTCGAAATTGTTTAATTTCTAAAATTTATTTTTTAAGCTTTGTAAGTTTGACAATTTAGATTACTAGGGCCTCATCTTGCTGATGTTTATCTACTGAGCCTTAATATTTTCAATATAATGGCGTCTTGATAAATCAATAGTGACAGATACGATTTTTTTTATATAGTAATAAGAACTGTATCAAAAACAGATGTTATTAAAACGCCATTAACACACTAGGTATACGTTTATACTGTACTATATTACGTTACAAATTGAGACCCTAATATACCTTCTGCTAGTATAAACTTATACAAGTGCTACGAAATTCGTAGCGGTGTGTTTTCGTAATCTCATTTCGTAGCACTTTTCAACAAAGGTATTTTTAGATACTTAATTTAAAAACAAATAATATCTGAAACTCGCTATTGTTATTTAACTGAAATTTTTGTTTTTCAATAACAAGAGCATCTCTGTTCCCCACTTCATATATGAATGAAACATGTTTACTTGCTTTTCATACTGCTATGAGTGACATAGCAACGTAATTAATGCTTTATTGATGTACATATTATAACAAAATATTATATAATTTCAATAGCTCTGTGTTTCAAACACCACCTGCCGTATATATATACTGAGTTTGAAACAAAATAATTATTTGCCAGTGTCGTATGTGTAATGTTCCACAGCAGTCTTATATTCAAATAATATATTTACAAACGATATGTTAACAATATATTTTGAATACGTCTTATTGTTTTATGTTTTGCCACAGACGGTCGGAAACGCTTATGTGTAATTTTGGTACTGGAAAACAAAACATTCCATGTTGTTATTTACATATTTTGAGCATAAACAAATGTAAATTATGTATCAAATGTACAGTTAAATTAGATAATATCAACACCTTTAAGTGTATGCCAACATAACATACCTATCTTGTTTACTTATTTCTAATTTAATATTAACTTTTTAAACAGGTTAGATCAAATACTCGGTAAGCAAGGGTCGAAAGCTAAAGACGTCTACGCATCCAAAATCAGCCTAGCTTCCAGAGTAGTTAAAATTGAAAGACAAGTGAGTTTAACGACTGATGTAATTGATATTTAACAGACATGTTAAAATTAAAGCTAATTATCAAACGAAATTTGACAATTGAATCGAACAATAACTTTATTTACAGGTAGATGATATAGAAAGTAAGTTGGATCATTTATTAGAGTTATATGAAGAAGATAGAAGAACGACAAGAAGAATAGCAGGAGTTAGTAGTACAGATGGTAGTAATACTGGTGAAGGTGGTGCTTTAGCACTGCGCGTGCGTCCTGCACTGTCTGACAAACAGTGTTCGGAGCCAAACTCACCCGTGTCACGCACTTTCGAGCCGCCAGCTCCTACCTCCGCGCCTCCGCTGCCGCACAAGCGACCTATGAACAGAGGATATTCTGATCTTGGCACAAGATTCATGCGGAAAAAAGTCATAGTCAAGTAATAATTCATTTTTAACTATGTTTACAATTAAGAATAGCTATTTAGTAACATACTACAAATTGTTTACGGTTATATTTTACTAAAGTTAAGGGATAAACGATAATTTTATTAAATTATATCTGTTTGGCGTCTTTCGTCTGTGTAAATTACTTTCTTTGTAACCTGCGTACGTTGTAGTGTAGCTTCCCGTACACGAAAGAAACTTCATGATTGGATCAGTGTTACCCCATACAAAAAGAAAGTTAAAAACTTTACCTCTTTATGATAATAGTATAGATAAAATAATACCATGAAATAATCACAGTAAACAAAAAGTGTCCAATAAGTATTTTTTGACGTTAATTACCTAATTAGCGTGAAGAGGCACCTGCCTCGCCTCAGTCAGAGCCCGATCTAAGGGTAACCCGGACATTTACCCAGAACGAATTTTCTTTGAAAAATTACAGTTTTATTAAGTTATTAAAAACCCTAGCAGGCTAAGATATGATCGGTAACACGCTCGACACTCATATAATGTTAGTATAAAGAGCGTTAAATAACTAAATCAAGCCCTGATGTTACTTTAGGGACTACACCATCTATTTTACCCAGAGCGGCTAACTAAATCGGGCCCTGATATCATTTTAGGAACCACACCAGCTAATTTACCCAGAGCGGCTAACTAAATCGGGCCTCGATCTCAGAATAGACAAAGATCCTGGAACATATACCTATGCGTTACATGTGCGCCATCAAAACCGACGAAATAATTTTAAAAATATTTTTACAATTTCTATAGCAGAATTTATGAAATCGAATTGGTCAAACTAAGTTAACTTATAAATAGAATTTATAGCGTTACGCACCTCAACTAGACAAATTGTGGAAAAATAGACATTAGATTGACTAAGTTATATGTCTACCCGTCTGTCACAACTGGGATTTTCTGGGACACTACTGCACCGATTAAGTTGCTTGGCACACAAACAATACACAAAAATCTGTTAAAAGTCTGATCTTTTGTATTTAATGATTTTATGAAACCTTTGCTGACTTAGGAATTGATTCTCGCTCTTGGCAGTTTTTTTAACCTAATATAAAGTGCATAAATAAAATGTGATCAATATTTAAAGTGAAACCATAGACTTCTTACATTAATCGATAATGCTCTGGTTAATCATACTATAAATAACTTTTGAAAACTATTTAAAAAGTATTTTAGGTCAGTAGATATTTTTTCCCTTAAGAAAACAATTTTTTCTCTTAAAATTACATTAACCAAACCAAATAGTCCCCTATTATTCTAAGTCATGATAGAAATACTACTTGTAATGACCACGTAACCCGCCTCCAATTTAGTAATTTATTTGTCCGAATGAATAATAGGTATTAGATAGATTAATCATTAACTGTAAAACGATTAAATTGTCAAGGTAACTGATAGATACAGCCACGTTATAACCAAACAGTCCCTATTTTCAGTAATGAAACAGCGATTCCGTAGAAATTTAATATGAATATTAAAAAATATATTTGCAAGTTATAATGCTTAATTATATCTCCTGTTTACCCTGTAGATACACTTGGCAAATTTTTATTTTCCTTTCTACTTTATATGATACTTTAAACTACCACTCACGAAACAACCACGTCCGTACTAAAAGACCTGTGTCCTGGCCTTTTCTTACAGAACATCAGCTAGTCGGAATGGTGAATCGCCGAGGGACGACGAAGTAGTAATAGTGGTTCCAACTGACCGCGAAGATACGCCGCCGAGACTCGTAACCGACAGCTCAGGTACTATAATAGCTATTGAAACTAAAAATTCAGCCAACTTTACACTACCTAACCTCAAAAAATTATACATTCTTTTCCAAAAAACAAGTAAACTTCAATTAATCACCATAGTTCAATCAATTAGGAAAGTTTTTCAAGGTTTCTTATACAACGCTTAATAGAAGTCGCAGTTGTCTAACACACAAGTTCCGATAATTTTATGGATTATACACTACACTCTTAAAGACATCGCGATGAATCATAACAACAATAACACTTTCCAAAATCAGTTTGTTGCCTCCAAAATATCGATGCATCTTACATATTGAAGCTAATATAACTAATTGAACGTCGTTGCCATAGGTATAAATATGCGAATGTTACAAAATTGCAGCATCTTATGAAGACTATTCGTCGTCGACATCTCTCTGACCGCCAACTTGGGAGAGCCCCATTCTAATCGGCCGCCGCCGGCTGCGTGAGTCCTGCCCCTCCCTATCGATGTGGAATGTGTATGATAGACTTTGTCCACCCTTCTCCTCACTCCTAATTACTACTCCTACCTGGTGAATGCTCCCAATGAAGGTGTTGTATTTAGTTCTACCTCATCTTTACATCTTTATCTTTAACGTGTGCCTGTTCTTTTAGCATATTTTTCTCTTCAAAGAGGGAGTTTTTAAAATTTATCAAAAACCGTCCATATATTTTATTATAAGTCCCATCTTTATATTATGATCGCAATTAAACTGATACAGAACGCAAGTCTCAAATGCCGCGGTTTACCTGACAGCTGAATCATAGTACCTAATGTTGCATATGAAACTACACTTTTTATCACATAATTTATACGAGCAGGGTTATCTGGGCTTGCACTCTTGAAATCGACATTCGATATATCAGGGACATTTCGTCGTATGTCTTGGTCTACTTTACATAAGTATTTTAAATGCAATAAGAGTGGGACGGAGCATTATGAAATTCCCGATATATCGAAAATTGGTTTTAGGAATATAGCCCCTGGGTAAATGACAAGATCAGGTAAGCCACAGCTATAATTCCCAGTGTAAACATCAATAGCACAGTCTACTAAATAACAGCATCAAATATAATAACTATCGATATATTCATCTAAATGGTTTTAATGTTTGTTACTAGTTTCCGTTAAAAATATTAAACTTTATCGATGTATAATTATACTTATTTACTTAAACATACTTAACTAACTAGACTTTTTATTAAGTTATTATTTGTACAACCTCCATTTGTTAATTTATTTTTACTTTTTACATTTTCCATATGCCGCATGATTTGTAAAGTAGAATTTCGTACCGTAGAAAGTTACTATGAACGTATTACAATTTATTATGCTATAGATAATAAATATTCCATAATTAAAAGTATCTTACATGTTTAATAATACTTACTTTGTTTTAGAAAATATTGAATCACTTATTGCTTCGAGTGTCACCACCTTGAACATCGTACACAAATAAACAGAATACTCCTATTATTTTAGTAAATACAATTTTGTTTCCGGCAATGTATTTACTAGTGCTTAAAAATGTATGATATCGAAGCAAAAATCTTTTATTTAATATGAAGTGTATTTAATAATCGATTAATAAAAAATAATAATGATACTCGTATTTCATATCATAAAATGCATTCTCCTTCCTTATCAATAAACGGTGTTTCTGTTAGGCACCGTAAAAAGGAGATCGGAAAAATCAATAACAGCCCTCCAGTCCGCACTGAATCAGCAAGAAATTAAGTACCTGTGAACTAGGCAGTCCAGGGACGCTCTTTTGTAGCCTTTATAAAATGACTTCTGAAAAATATGGAAGTAGACCAATGAATCCATTACTGTCATAAAAAATAACCTTTTTATTTCGTGTCCTGTACAATAAGATGACATTTTACGCCATATTGAAAGACGTGACTCTACATTATATTTCAAGAGGGTGTATAAACAGTTATCACTAATTTCAAATTGATATTAATAAAATAAACTAAGTGCAAATAAACTCTTATTAATAATGTAATGATAAAACTATATCATATCTTTAGTGGGTCAATATTCCTTTTTATAGAAATAATTGATTAGTTTATTAGTTACTGTTTGGGCATAGTTTGATAATGAATATTACAATCATCAATTTTAACGCTCTGTTTCGTACTGTCTCTATTTCATGTGACCGAGACCGAGATTTACATATACTCGTAAATGTCTGAACTCTATATAATAATTAATTTGCAGTTTCTCAATGTATATTGTGGCCTTTTGCCAGCCATAATATTTGGTAAATTATCTTTATCTTTACTAACTTAATTTTAATAATGATAATTTGTATTATTATTAAATTAGTAAGAAAATTGAAAGTGTATCTTTTTAAGAAATACAAGGAATATTTTAATACTCACCGATTTATTGTATATCATTGGAAATACATTTGGGCGGGCAATATTTTCCATATTCGAGTACGCATATTATTTGCTACTGAAAATAAAATAGAAGTACAGCAATGTTTAAAATAGAGTTTAAGTTGATTAATAATGAAATTATTTAACTTTTTTGACAAACCAGAGAGTAAGTTAGGAAAATTATTATAAATATAAATTTAATTTGAATTAAACCTTTATTTTTACGTATTTATATATGTAATGTACTCGTAATAATCTTTTCAATGCAGTTGCTCATAAAGCGCTATATTATTAATATTAATTATTTTTAATCCATTGTAAACACCGAAAGTGAGTCTTTAATCACGTGTTAAATAAAAATGTACTGAAATACTTTACTGCACACGTAAAAGTATTTTTTTAATTTTTTTTTTGGCCGAGCACAAAAAAAATTTTAAAAAAAAGATGAAAATATGTCAAACTTTAGAGGCAAAAGTATTTCAAGGAGCCTAGAACGAATATTTTCGAATAAAAATGTCTGACACGAAAACATGTTCAAATATCACGTTTAATTTTAACAAATAATTTTTACCTTTGATACATACTTAGTTTTATTAACCTATATATTTGTTTTTTCCTCGCAAAGAGCGTTGAAAAATGTTGTAAGAAACTTGAACGTAAAAGGTTTTTCGAATTCGTGCCAAATGAAAACTATCGCTACACTCGTGTTTTCAATTTGGCCCTTATTCGTAAAACCTTACTTTCCGCCCTCGTATCTTAAATAACTATTATAATACTGTTATGTCGCCCTCATTTATGTCATAAGAAGAGTAATATGGTAATTTTATGATTTATTATTCCAAAGCACTAATCACTTCATTAAAATTATTTGCAAGTAACATTAACTGATGTTAGGTCCTTTTGATGAGTATAAAATTGAAAAAATATTACATGTACTTTTTTATGAAACTTAACTTAGTGCCTACTAAGTCACTATCGTTGTTAAGTGAACTTAACGCAGCGATAAATTATTAAAATAATTATTCGACTTGTTTTTTATAATAGAATATATGTATATATTATAATTTAGGTATATTGAAATTCACTTCTAGATTTAGAAGATTCTAATATAATTAATTGAAATAACCCTCCAATTTCATTACAGAGGTTTGCGCGAGCTGCTCCGTAGACGTAGAAACAGAAGCTGAAGGCGGTGGTTCGCGTTCAGGCAGTACAGGTTCCGCTTCGTGGTGTGAAGGTGCGGAGGAACGAGGCTACGGGTCAGGTGATGGCGACTCGTTAGCCGAGGACGCGGCGTTGCTAGGCGACGCTGCACAACCTGCGCGATTAGTGCGCGCGCAACGCAGAGATGTCGCTGTTGACCTACACCTGCTACACCCGGATGCGTGAGACCGGCGCCAGGGCACGCCTACAAAACACATTAATGAGTCAGCCGTATAGCACAATGTGTGGATTTCAAAGTAAAACATTATAATCAGATATTTACTTATATTTGCGAAAGTTTCTTATCAACAACGCTAGTAGGCCGCGGCGCTTATTCACTACGCCACCGAGCTACTCAACAATTCTTTTTATTGGTAAAATCAAAAGAATTTTAGTAGATTTTAAAGTTTCACTTTGAAATTCCTTTAATTGCATATGTTATAATGTTGATATGCGTGTTTGTAGGCAGGGCTGTCTCCCTTATTCTTACTAAAATTACCCAATGATTACCAACTACTCAATACTGTATACCTACTGACATTCTGTTTACAAATGTTAAGTCCAAGTAATAAATACCACATTAGATTTCTTTCCAACAAAGAACTAAGAAATTTAAAAGAGTTCCAGTACAATTTAAAACAGGACAATATATATTCTCCAATTGATCTGCCCAAGAATACGACATGATACGAAGATAAAATTTATTATTATGAATTAATAAAGTATGTTGAAAAAAATTTTTTATGTAAAATATGTACATATATGAATTTCATATTATATTCAACGAATTCATGTGATATGAGTGTACCTATTGAATTAATATAACTTTTAGCAGGTATACTTCCCAACCAACAGATCACCACTAACTAAAGTAATGGATAAAACAACTGACTTATTGCAGGTTGAATTAAAAGTATTAGTTTAGATTGTTCCACGGTGATTTTTATAACATAGCGCACAAAACGAAACACAAAAACAACACGACGCTACAAAATCATTCACGTTTCTTAAAATTTAGATAGGTGCTTTAAATAATTTCATAAGCAATCATAGTTTAGTGTGGTTGAGTGAATTAAAGAGGTTAAAGTGCGACTTTTGCTGCTCCAATAAGTAGTTATACAACGAGTTAACCATTGTAGCTACGACTATATAAAGTAAGTGTCATCAATTCCAATCGTTTTAAATGTATAAAGACCAAAGACTCGAAAATAGTTACGTATATTGTAAGCTACAAATATTGTATTTTACGCTTAAGTTCTTTATTGCGTTACTTTACAACAAAGAGGCAACTCTCGCGGTAATTTGCCTAAAATTGAAAAGAAAAACTATGTAAAAATATAAATATTTCACTTAAAAACAGCATGTGTATTTTTGTTTGGAATATTTTTGTGATATCATTTACAATACCTACTTTCGATGTAAAAAGTAAAAAAGACAATAAAAACTATTTTTGCGTTCTAATCGTTCATTAAAAAATTATTATAAACTATTTCAATAACAAATACTTTGTTTTCTAATAAAATTCGAGTTTTAATATGGCCTAAAAAAATCAGTGGCACTAATATATTTTAATTATATAAACTATTGCAAAGTGATGTATTTGATAATGAACACTATAACATAAACATGAAATTGATAAGATTACTACGAGATTTGCCATTTTGTCAGTTAGAAAAACTATAGATTCAAGATATTCGGCAAGATATTTGTAGAATAAGCATTTTTTATAATGGAATGTCTTGTCCATTTATGCTTTTGATTCACAAATGAATTGTATTTTATTAGTGAAATAAGTAAATAAATAAGCTGTAAATATTTTTATCATGAGACGATTTTATCTAATGATAGAATGGATCGAACACGATAAATGTACATCGAATTAATCATAATCGTTATTTAATATCTTATCTGGTGTACTTAAATGAATCTTTAATTATTTTACTTTCCAAAGAAATACAAAAACCTAGTATTTACATTAATATAAACATATTTAATTTGTTAAAATATATCCGATTTGAAAATTATTTGGTTCTTATAACAGTAACAATAGTACATTTTCATAAATCATTAGTAAAAATTCCCTGATATATTAGTATACCTATAACGCTAATTAATATATGCCACCATGTTTAAATAAACCTAATTTTCAAGGATCATATAATATTTTAATATTAACATTTCAAATCTTGAATTTCAGTAATATTATAAACTAAGGATATGCCGGTATAAATGATGTTCTTTATTTGTACATGTACACTTATCGTGTTTATACCTACTATGATATGAGAATAAATTATATATGTACATCATATATTTAAGTAGGTATTAAGGAGAGTTATCTTGTCCGAAATTAATCAACAGTACTTACCTACTTCGCAAGTCGTGTGAAATTTCAACCAGTTTGGTTAGAAATTTGTACTAGGTACTTTATTTAAGTTGTTAACTAAGTATTTCAATTTATTAGCTATATTAAACAATTTTCTAAAGATCTGTGATAGAAATTCTGTTTTATAACTATAATTGATGGCATCTATGTTTTTGTATGTCTATCTGTTTGAATTTTAACATCATGAAAGTGTTACTTTGTACCTTATTTCGTTACTGTACTACGAGTATATATTGAACCAATTTTTCAAAATATTTCGACACGTCTTACATAAATAAAAGCAGGGTAAATATTTGCCTGACGTTCGGATAAACTATCTCTAAGATTTTAACATTATTAATAAATTAAACATAAAAAAATATAAGGGCACACTATCAAATAGACAACTAATTGTACTACCAACAACAACAACTCACGCAGATATTCTCCTGTATAAAGATAAATAGTGATTTATCTTATTGAAAATTTACCTAATCTAATAGAGTTCTTACAAATATACATACTAACGTGACTTTGATGCAAAGGAACCAAACATTGGCCTTAAAGTATAATTTTTTTTAGCGGCCTTTAGCCAATTCAATAAATAATACCTACATACAATGGGACCTACTGTTGCCTATTAGATTTTTTATTATAATTGTGCATTTAAGAACCTAGTCAATTAAGATTTCTCACCAGTCCCGCAGAAGTTAAAGTAAGTTTTTCTTTTTCAAAAAGAAATTATTTTAACTGTCTTTTCTGTGGTGTGAGAACATTAATAATTCTATGATTAAAGTGTTAATAATTATAAAATTTTAAGTTCTCCGATATTAATATATAGAATTACGTACTTGCTAATGAAGCTCAGTTAGACATGAACGCGAAGTCGACTTATAAAAAATTTTACTAGTATTTAATATTTAATGTCTTATTCGTTACCTAATTCATCACATCATTTTAAGATAGATAAAATAATATCTGCCTATATATTTTGAAAAACTACCGACCTCTTTACCACACAAAAAGACGAACTAATAAAAAAAATACAGGCATATTTAATATTTACATAGATATATTTAAGTAATCGGCAATTATTTTCAAAAATACATTTTTTGAAAATAATTTTATTAATTCTTTGTAAGATTATTTTCCATAATATAGTAGTGGTACACATGTTATGTTTATAATATTTTGAATTCAAATTAAGCCTATCCTGAATTTAACAGATATAAGCTCGATAATTTTGAAAACAATACAGAGTAACAGGTAAAGGTTTCAGTTTGAAAGTATTTTGCCTCCGATTCTATTTTTAGCATTCAAAATATAGTTTATTGTAAAAAGTAGACGAACAGATGAATTTTATTGCGTTGAGTATAAATTTATTTATGTTATTAGTATAAGTTGATTGATGATTCCTTATGTATGTTGTTATAAATTTGAAATAATGATTAAAATATTTAATAGCCTGCGTCTCTACTTTTAATTGTACTTATTTATTTCTACATATTTACCTTGTTGCCTCCAGAAGCACGGAAAAGATAGAAACAATAAATCTTTGGTGACGCATCCTATGACCAATTCCCTCTTCCGCTCAGGGCACAATGGGCGCGTGCCCGGGGCTCCGCGATCGATTGCGGCCCCCTAGCCCCTACTTGATTACCAAATCACAAATAACATATGACATGGCCAATATTAATATCTATTTAAATTTAATCTTAATTTAAATAATCTGAATTAGTACATTATTAGCTACTAATCTCGTCCGAAAATGGCTAAATCAAGAGAGATTGAACACTTTATCGCTTACGTTGATAGAATGTGATATGGATTTTGAAGATGTGAATTGAGTTTGCTAAAGTAAAATCTAGTGATATCTCTTCAATCAGCCTACTACTGATCTGTACAATATTACTAGTTGACCGGGAGAGAATGCCTCTATGGCATTAAGTCTGCAATTTGTCCTTAGTTAGGCAATAAAGAATAAATAAATATATGTCTATATAAAGAACTAATCATGGATACCAGGGGGTCAATACTACTAAATAAATTTTATTTAAATCGAATCATAAACGGATCGAAAACAGATCGAAACCGAACGAAACTACAGTTTTTAATGGTTTCCTATTCTACAAAGTGACATACGATACAATTCCATCTTGGCTGGAATTGTATCGTATGTCACTTAGTAGAATAGAAAAACCATTAAAAACTGTAGTTACAAAGTGACATACGATACAATTCCATCTTGGCTGGAATTGTATCGTATGTCACTTAGTAGAATAGAAAAACCATTAAAAACTGTAGTTTCGTTCGGTTTCGATCCGTTTTCGATTCGATTTAAACAAAATTTATTTAGTAGAATTGGCCCCCTGTTAGATACTTAACCCATTCCTCCCCACTGTCATATTTTGAAGACACCATTTTCAACATTTTTTTTATATCTTTTAGATCATTTATTTTTATTATTTCAGATAAAATTCGTATTTTTACACTGTTTTTCTGGTATATATATATTTTTTTACTGCAAAAATTGTATCCGTAAATTTAATGTAATTTTTTCAAATTGATCATTTTGTTGCCTAGAAAAAAAGCATTATATTCTGATTTTATATACCATAAAAGAAAAAACTTGTCAACTCCAATGTATATAAAACTGATTCTTAGACCTCTACTAAATGTATACAAAATTAAAACATAAACAAAACATGGTTTCAAAACTTGTGGTAATCTTTCAAAATAAGCCGTATTATAAATATGACACTGGGAACATGTCTATACATTTTGCCGCGAAAGCACGTTCGATCTTGCAACGCACTAGTTCAAACGTTTCAATTGTTTGTCTCTTGCGGGTCTTGTGTTTATATTACTCGAAAGGTTAGTTCTGAACACATAACATGTCGTGATATAATTGTGATTTATTTATCAAACTAGAGTTCAAAAATAGTGATTACGTAGAAGGTTGTGAATAGGTGAGTTAAATATATTTTTATTTTGTACAATATACCTATTAGTTGTTAGGTAAAGGTGTAAATTATATGTTTTTATTCTTTATAGATCATGAATCCAGTAAATAAAAAGTATAAAAAAGCTTTGAAGTTGTCCGAAATCACAGACTATCTTCAAGATTTAGGAGATTGTCGAGATGAGGAATTGGACGACATTGAAATTGCCATATTACCTCCTGATGAAGTGGACGAAATGACTGACATAGAAGAAGGTCCTGACGACGATATGGGAGTTCTACCAGTGTCAGATGTAGCTGGTCACGTGGAATTTTCATGTACAATTGACAACGAGGAAGAAGATCATAATACCCCATCCACGTCTCGAACAAACAAGACAGTAACTTGGCGTAAGTGTAATCCAGTATACTCTGGAATTCATTCGGAATCTAATACTGCTAAACAATATTTGGTAAATATGAGAACGGAGTTAGAAGGAAAATCAGCGATAGAAATATTAGAAAACTTGCTATGTGAAGATATTTTAGAATATATTGTGCGAGAAACAGTAAACTACGCCAAACATTATAAAAATGATTTGAATTTTAATCTAACGGTAAGTGACTTAAAAGTGTTTATAGGAATTCTGTTTTTTTCGTCGTACCATCACTTGCCTCAAAGTAAATTATATTGGTGTAGAGATGAAGATGTACATATTCCATTTGTTGAAAGAGCTATGTCTCGTAATCGTTTTGATAAAATTAAATCTTATTTACATTTTAATGACAACTCAAAAATTGATAATACTGACAAAGCTTTCAAAATACGCCCATTTATCGACAAAGCTAATGAATCCTTCCGAAAGTTTGGAATATTTGAATCCAATTTAGCCGTTGATGAGATGATCGTCAAATACTTTGGTCATCATGGGATCAAACAGTTTATAAAAGGTAAACCAGTGAGGTTTAGATACAAATTTTGGGCACTGTGTGGAGTCAGCGGATATTGCTATAACTTTTCGCTTTATACAGGCAAGGAAACTCAAATCTCTGATAACGGTGATGGTTTGGGTTCAAGAGTGGTGAAAAAGTTACTTGCAGTATGTACAGATCCCAGTGCACACGTAGTTTACTTTTGATACCTTTTTTAGCAGCATGCAATTGTTAATCGATTTGAAATCTCAAGGGTTCAAAGCTACAGGGACGGTCAGAGAAAACAGGACTAAGAAATGTCCTATCATGACTAAACAAGAAATAAAAAAGAAAGACCGTGGATATTCCGATCATCGTTTTGATAAAAATAATGAAATATTATGCGTGAAATGGCATGATAACAATGTGGTATGTCTTTTGACAAATTTTGATACTATAGAACCTTTTGTAAAAACTAATAGGTACTCGAAAACAGAGAAAGCAAATGTAGCTGTGGATCAGCCAAAGCTTATTCATAATTATAATAAAAACATGGGAGGAGTGGATAAACATGATTGGCTGATTTCTAAATACCCAATTCGCTTTAGAGGTAAAAAATGGTATTGGCCGCTAGTCATTCGTATTTTAGACATGTCCCTAGTAAATGCATGGATTATTTACAACGAGGTAAATAAAGATGAGACCATCTCTCTACTAGATTTCAGGCGTAGGGTTTGTTTTGCTTGGATGAAAAAATCGGAAGGCAAGGCAAGCAAACCAGGCAGAGGAACATCAGAAAGTCTTTTACAATCCATCAGGTTTGACAATATTGACCACTATATGACGAAGAGAGACAAACAGAGGCGTTGCCAGGGACAAGATTGTAAAAAAAAACCTCTTACTTTTTGTGCTAAATGTGAAAAAACACTCTGCAGTGATTGTTTTATACCTTATCATACAACATTCTTATCATTATCACATTCTCATTATCATAAGCTCTTAAAACTTAATATTTAAAACTGTTTATGGTCATAGTTTTCAAATACAGTTGATTTTCTTATAATTGATAACTTTCATTATTTTTGGTCACATGTCCCCACTGTCATATTTATAGGACAGGCTGACTCAGCATTAAAGGTAGTTAATATTTTTCCTTTTTCTTCATATTATTTTTTATAAGCCTATGACTGGTCTTGCTCGGAAATTCTTTAACCTTCGCAACGGAGATCGAACTCTCTGAGCATTACGCTATCGAACACAACAAAAGTTCAGATATAATCTTAAAATTATATTTGTATACACAGTTTCCCACGCATATTTGAAGATGCCCATAAAACCGTATCTCGAAAACGCAGTGGTTGGTGCGATCGATCTGTTCTGTTATTTATTTTTTATCATAATCAAAAAATTATCGGATTTGACGTGTAAATTTGATAAATTAATAAACAGCACCTGGCGTTCAAATAAAAGTAGGTTTTATTATATTTGATCAATTTTGCATTCACCATGCTATACTGAAAAATATTCTTAGTGGAAAATGCCCAACGAGTGTAAGCAAAAATTAATTAAAACTTCGAAAATTTATTTTTAATGAGGAAGTATTTAAAAAAATATTAGTTCCCGAAATCAAACTAGATGTCGCTACGGTACGTTCTTGATTTCTCCATGACAACCTTTCCGGTTTTCTTTCAAGTTTAAAAGTAAATTAGTTTTCAAAACTCAATAAATAACTCGTATTCTATTTGTACTTTTTCGTATTTGTTTTGATATCTAAGTTAACTTAAAAATCACTTTAACTTCAAATTAAATTAATTAATTATTGTAGGCTATATTAACGAAGATTAAACATTAATACACAGCGGCGCTCAGGTCTCAAGTTAACTCTTACGGGCTACAACTGCCAATAAAAATGATTAATGAAACGCAACTTTATAGTATTCAAATAGAGTATCTTTTATTCAAAATAAAACAAACATAATTATAAAAACTAAATTGAAGGAGTAATCTGATGCTGTTTAATAAGCCTGTTTGATTAAACAGCATCAGATTATCAGGTTCCAATTTACTCAAGAACAGTCGCAAGTCGCCATGTTCGGTAACATACAAACGTTTTCTCTTTTTAGTAAGCAGTGTTGCCACACCACTAAATCCACGTTCACACAAATATGACGATGGGAATGCTATCAAGAATCGTTAAACTATTGACCACTATGAGGAAATATTAAAAAAAAACGAAAGCACTAAAAAGGCACCTCCACTAGATGACGACTCTAACAAAAGTTGATTTTTGCAGGAAACGGATGGACTAAAGACAGTCATTCCCATTCCTTTTAACTAACATATCAAAAAACTGAAATTTAAAAAGTTCGAAACTTGGACATCAATACAAAAAAGTACAAATAGAATATGAGTTGTTTATTAGGTTTAGAAAACTAAAAACATGAAAGAAAACCGGAAATATTGTCATGGAGAAATCAAGAACATACCGTAGCGACATCTAGTTTGGTTTCGGGAACTATTTTTTATTTTCAATACTTCCTCATTATCACAAAAAAAAATTTGCAGTTATCTTCGTGTTAAGCCCCGGGAAATGTACTCTAGATATGCTCATGATTACTAGATGATACGAGAATAGCAAGCCAAAATATGGTTGCATACACGTAAAACTACTAGTTATGCCCAAGCCATAGAGATTTTTTAATGGCCAAGTACCACAAACATATTCTCACAGCGCTACTGACAGCACAGCAGGCAGGATATGTCAATGTCACTTAATTGATTGTATGTAAAAAAAAGAATAACTTAGCTTTGTTGTGTCAATTTAAATAATAATATTATGATGTTTTATTTGTTCCTCCATAATCATAGTGCTTAAATTCTCTCTTCTGCGTAATAAGGCTGTAATTTCTAATAATAAATTATTTTCATTTTACTAAAATGCCTAGCCAATATGAAGAAGAACGTGGTTGGGATTCATCCAACCACAATCAATACGAAGTAAGTGCTTAAACCTACTGATTTTTCTATTTAGCTACACAAAATAATATTGTCAATTATATATAAACATATAAACTACAGGATGAAGGTGTTGATGATGTTATCGAAAATCCTGAAGAAGTTCTACAAGAATGCTTGGAAAAATTCAAAACCCCAGATTATATTATGGAACCAGGGATATTTAGTCAACTGAAACGATATTTCCAAGCTGGAGGCAATCCTGAACAAGTTATTGAACAACTTTCCATTAATTATAGTGCAGTAGCTCAAATGGCTAATCTTTTGGCAGAATGGCTTATACTTGGAGGTAAACAATATACACAACAAGCTATTTTTCTTTTTATTTATACCTTGTGCTTACCCCTTACCCTTATATTGGAAAAACTAAACAAGGAAATGGATTCATATTAGTAGAATTTGCAATAAATTTCAAGTGTAAGCAAACTATAAAATTATGATATTGCCACGGCTGTCACTCTCCTATAGCACAATTAATATCAACAAATTATATAAAAGAAAATATATGGAAAGATATCTCATGCTAAACTTATTAAACAAACACCATTATATTGCAAAATGATATTTCCTACTTCATAATTTTTATGTATCTATTCTAAAGCAACACAATATTTGATATATTTTTTAAAAAAATATAGAAGACACAAATTTAAAGTAGATATGCTTTTGTGAAGAGATTAAATACTGCTCACTTTTTTTAGGTGTAAAAGTAACAGAAGTACAAGCGATGGTAGAAAATCATCTAAAAGACATGATACTAAAAACTTTTGATCCAAAAAAGGCTGATACTATATTCACAGAGGAGGGTGAAGTAAGTTTTTTTTTTATACTAATATCATTACTTGAAAGTATTATTTTTGAAACTGGTAACTTTGATAGCACAGCAGTTATTATGTTCAGAGTTTGATGCAGAGGTTATGCAATACTTTTGCAGGGGCCTATCATAGAAGATAGCCACCCAAACTCAAGCTGTTTTGTACTTTAGTATATACATTAAGTCCTGGCACATCCCACACTGGACCCTTTTAGGTGAATTATGGCCTAATCTCCCTATTTGATTTGATTCCACCCTTTGGGAAGACAGTTATGTAACAGTGTATTAATGTCAACTAAAGCAAATATTTCATTTATAGACACCAGCATGGCTTACGGAAATGATTGAACATCCTACTTGGAGATCATTGATATACAGACTGGCAGAAGAATATCCTGACTGCCTTATGCTTAACTTTACAATAAAGGTAATAACAACTTTATTACATAATAATAACAAATGCCTAACAAGGCATGCCATCTGTAAACAATAATGTTAACTTTTCTGTGTCATTGTTTCTACTTTATAAAAATACTATTGATGTTGTGTTCATAAAATGGTTCTTACATTCTATTTTTAGTTGATCTCTGATGCTGGCTTTCAAGGGGAAATCACAAGCATATCAACAGCAGCACAACAAATTGAAGTATTCTCAAGAGTATTAAAGTCTGCTATAGTGGGATTTCTACAGAGTTCTGATGACTGGCAAAACAGTGTCAATGAGTGTGCTGTAAGAATCTAATCTTAATTCATATATACTTTCTAAGTATTTATATTCTTATGACAGATCACGAAAGTTATGTTCTATAGTTGACATAAGACATGTACCTACATTGCAGTTTTAATGGTTACTTAGTATAAAAGTCAAGTAAAACAATTATATGGTTTAGACCTGTTTTTTAATTTCATAATAGTAGGTATTCTTGTAATTTATAGGTAAAGTTAGACTTGTTTCACTACTTTGGAAATCAGACATTTAATAACAATGACAACAATATAAGGGTTGGTGTGTATATGACGAAAAATGTCACATTTCCTTTCGGTCTCAATGTTTAGATATTGAACCTTCCACACTACAAATGATCCGTTGCATGCATACAAATACTTCCATGAGATGCCTAATGAACCTTCTGTCGCATTGCCACTAACCCTTACAATATTACAGCATATCTAAGGATCAAATCGCATTACGATGAAATGCAAGTCTGAAACTTTGAAGTTTGTATACAAATATTCTTCATTTTACAAATGTGGTAATTATTACTATTGTACAATTCATCCCTAACAATACTAAAATTTGCTGCCAGGAGTTTTGTTTGAAAGGCAAATCGTAAATAATACCCAGATTATCGATATCAAATAAATAGTTGATATGTTATTATATTTATTTATTACAGAAAATGGTTTGCCATGGAGCTCACACATATGTTTATAGTCAAGTAATTGTGCATATACTGTCTCAAGAGCCGAGGGGTGGTGCAATTATGAAAAGATTAGGTCAAGAAATAACACGATGTGCTCAACAAGGGTATAATGCTTATTTTTTTTTTTATTTAAATTTTTTCACCAATATAAAGCTATATTATTAGCGAAAAATATTAGATACATTTTATTTTGAAAACAAAATGCACTGTGATAAATTATGCCATATTTATTTTATAGAAAAAAACTAAAAGAAAATTAACAGTTGTAAATTGATTTCGAGAAATTGGAATAGATTACTCAAAGTCTATTATGAATTTAAATCTCTATTCATATACATTGGCGTCACTACAAGCGCGTCAAATATTCTCGTAAAAGACACGTAGTGGTTTCTTGATTTATTAATACATTTTTGTTGTTACATTTACGTTTTTACGCCTTTATTTTTTAACATTTACAAATCAATACAAATTATTATATAGAAATATTTAAGAAATGCATAATCCCAATAATAAGTACTGGAAGTAGAGTAAATATTAATAATTTTACATTTCAGTGGTCATGATGTTACACCAATAACGTTAGCATTAACAGCGGGAGAATCATGGCGGAACGCCCGCACCGCATTGGCGGCGATGCTGTCACGCGGCGCTCTAAACCCAGCCGACATATCCGTCCTGTTCAGAGCGTATACACAACCTGAACCACCTCCTGTGCATCTACTGAGGATACCACAATTCTTAGGTATAATAATAGGGATAGGAAAAAGAAGAAATTCTATTTAGTCCGTCAGTCAGATAATTAGATTATTTTACTTCAGGAAGATTTATTTACTTCAATTTTGTCAGCTAAAAGACGTCCTGAACAAGTGGTAGGGGAAAAAAGTTTTTTGGACGATTCAAAAGTGCTTGTAATAGCCTACTTGAATAAAGATATTTTCATTTCATTTCATTTCACAAGAAATAGCTTAGATAACAGACATTAAAGTTGAAGAGTGGGGGCTCGCTACGTCACAGTTTTGTAGAAAATATACAAAAGCGCGTAGTCATGTGAGATTTTAACGCGATGTATTGTCGTAATTTAATGATTAAAAAAAAAGTGTTTAATATTTTTCAACAGTCCACCTGACGCACTAACAAACAAAAATTAATCGGCATCCCTTTTCGTATGGATTAACATAACACCTGAGGGCCTATTCTATTTATCCTCAAGTGATTATTGGAGAGTTTCCGAATCTCTCTTATAATATCGTTAAAATTATATTGGTGAAGATGCTTCTGACTCTGCCGTGTCAGGTCCTTCCTCGTTGTAACATAAATTATCGAAAATGTATTTCTTTAGAGTAGTACTCGTATTACGGATTTGGACGAAATTTTGCACTGAGATCAACAAAATCGAATGATGACCACATGTATTATTTAAATTTATAATAAATTTTATTGTATTTTCTATATAATATGTAAAATTAAAGTATCTCACACTCAGCGGGGTTAGGAGCATAGATATTAGTGACTCAAGTGATTGTGTGATACTTGACTAATTCTGATTACTCTATTAATGTTATTATTACTCTTGTTTCAGAACTCCTCGTTGATGCATTATTCAAATTGGGTAGTAAATTAAATCCAGAACATAAACCAAAATACATTTATCTTTTGGCGTACGCGGCCAGTGTGTGTGAAGGTCTTACACCAGGAAGGCCAGTAAAGGATGAACTGAAAGCGACTGTTCAAGCTATTGAGAAAGTACACGTTGTATGCAGTAGCTCTGCCAGTTCAAGCGAACTGATTGCTGAATTACCCACTTTGTACCATTGTATAAGGTACGAATTATTCATATTAATTGAAGATTTGGGGTCAGTGCAAATCTGATGGAAAATTCGTCGAGCGTAGGAACGAACTGCGTTAAACGTCTTAAAATGGTGGTCGATAAGAAATATTGGAAGATTCAAAAATACTTTCAATAAGTTTATTCGAAAATATTATTTTACTTTGGCTTTGGTCATCGATTGTGTGTAAGGTTAAAAACATACTAAAGTGAAGGCAAATCTGTCTGGGTGTCTATTACGTTTTCACCCCTAAACTACTAAACCGATTTGGAAAAAGACAGGAATGGGTATATCGCGAAATATGGGCTTACAGGATTTCCAGGCTAGCGAAGTCGCATACGAAAACCTAATGTTAACGTATGCACGAACCCTTAGGCACTCTTGTACCTCCGCTTTAACTACAAATGCAACTATAAAAAAAATCGATCTAGAAAACCTGTTTAGAGACATCTTTGTGCTTTTTTTCTATCGAGCCATTTATTGAAATTTGTTTCTGTTTTTGCAAACCATAGATGATGTTTCATTTTCATAAAATGATTTATATTAACCGCTTAAACTGTAACGTATCCTGCACACACAGAAAATTTCATATCATAAATAAACTTTTCTGTACTGCCTCGATGTCGTAGTCCTGTCATTATTTCAGATTTTTTATAACAAAGTAGTTAATTAAGGATCTGAGCTATTGCCAGATATTGTTTAACATTTATATTTATCTTACTCAATTTTGTTTCAGATTCCCTGTAGTTGGTATGGGTGTACTTGTATGGGTAGAATGTGTTGTAACAGAACCGTCTTATTTCAAACTTTGTACAGAACATTGCCCTGTTCATTTGGCCCTCCTGGACGAAGTGGCATCATGCCATCACTTGTTACATCATAGACTGTTGCGATTACTAGTGCAACTGTTTGAATCACCTCAAGACGAATTGGAAATATTAGTTCAGGTTTAATGACACTTTTTAATTCATAATCAACATAAATGACGTTATATAAGTGCTCATTTTAATATTAATGAATTTTGCATCTTATATTTCAGTTGGAATTGAAAAAGATGCTTCTTGACCGCATGGTAAACCTGCTCAGTCGCGGTTGCGTTGTTCCTGTTCTACGTTATATAAAGCAATGTTGGCAACGTGGTGACACAGACATTTCGTTGATCAGATACTTCATTACAGAGGTATTATTTTGATGATAAATATTTTGGTCCAATTCGCACTATATCTATCTACTAATATTATAAAATGAAAAACTTGATGTTTGTTTGTTTATATCAAATAGGATCCGAAACTACTGAACACCGATTTAAAAAAAAATCTGCAGTAAGCTACATCATACTGGGTTGACATACATTACTTTATATTATAAGCATACATTAATTTATATATTTTGAAACTTTTACCTCTCGATACTAAAAAAGATCGCTTTAATATGCTGTGCTTATTGTAGTAAGTGAATCCGCGAAAATATGCGATAATAAAATATTCGCGTGACTATTTGTCTTAAAAGAAATATTAAATTTACATTCTTGAAATAAGGATTAATCATGATCATGACGCACGAAGCTAAGGATTGTTTTTTCAAAGCATGAATTGACCTGAAGTCTCATAATTTTTAAACGTTACATATTGCAGGTACTTGATGCTATAGCACCACCATACACTCCTGAATTTGTGCAACTAGTTTTACCTATGGTAGAAAATGAGGAAATAACGGGAACAATGAGAGCAGAGGGCGAAAATGATCCAGTCTCCGAATTTATAGGTGCAGTACTTATAATAAGCATAATTATTATTAAGCTTTTGTTACTTCATTTACTAACCTTAATTATTTGTTGAATGAATATGAAAACATGGCGAAAGGTATATAATCACTTGCATTAATAGGAAAAACTGGACAGCGTTATACCCAACAGTCCAGCAACGAAACCCGCTTAGATTTGGAAATAGCTCTAGCGCTATTGAAATAAGTTCAGCAGAGTACCTTAGCCTCGTTTATCTTTGAAACTACGTGCAATTGGCAATTTGTCGTGAAAAATCTATTTCAAAATCCAAGAATAGCGTCGCCCGACTAACTGTCGATTTTATTACTGTAACTCCGCTGTTCGTCTGTCATCACATAAACCGTGATAGCTTCATTAAAAATTTTTACTTATGTTACTGTTTCCACTGTAACATCAAATATACACTAAAAAATATTAAAGTGTACTGCTATAGAACAAACGTTTTTATGGTTTTTTATAGATAATTATATGGAACCCTTTATGAGCTTGTCAGGCTTGCACTTTGCAAGTTTTAAAGTCACGGATTCTAATTATTTATTCTTTGTTTCAGTTCATTGCAAAGCACACTATGTCGTAGTATAAGGAAACCAAATAAGTGTAAGATAGAACTCTTCTATACATAAATGAAAAAGGCTACACATATGAAGAAGGAAAATATCAAAATTTCAATATAAGTTTATTGATGTCCAATTAACACTGAAAGCTCTACCGTTCTACTGAATAAATAAGACTACAATCTTACTATATGCATTTTAATGATGTCACACGTTCAATATTGCAGAGTTTTGAAAATACATATACTATATCTACCTAGAACGTAACTAGAATAACTAGTGTTTCTTAACCTATAATATAACATAATATGCTAGTGCCTCAGACACAAAGTGCATATTTGACGGAAGATGCGTCGTCGGTTGCAGAACATCAGAAGTGACAAATATATGATATGACTGCACTTTCTATGGATAAGCAGTCACGTACTAACGCATACTTCCGTATGATGCTCGACGAATCTTCCGCCTGGTTTGCACTGACCCTTAACAGATAATTTAAGCAGGTGCTTTAACTTCAATGTTGTTTTTTTCGTTGGAATTCTCTGTTATAATAGCATCCGTTTCTTCTTCCCCTTCATTTTTGGGCTTTTTATCACTCTTCCTGTATTTTTCATACCTGCAAAAGTATAATTTCTAAATAACTTCAGGAAATGCTGCACAAAAAAAAATCATTACGTACATTCAGTATTTATGAAAACCGCATTAAAATGCTCTTTCTCATTTAGAGGTAAACCTCTAAATGAGAAAGAGATAGCGTATTGAAACTATTTGATAGTAGGATAAGTGAACATAATAATTTTCAAACCAACAAACTTAAAATTTCTAAATTATTACCTGTCAAGGTCATCATCATCATCACTGCCTTCATTATCTTGGGGATCGACTTCACGCAGAAGTTCACCAATATCTTTGTCTACATCTGCCCACAGTTTATCTTCACTTCCTGTAAATTTGTTACACATTTAAGTCTATAAAATATATTGAAATAATCACTGACATAGAAGAGAATACAAATTAGAATAATTAACAGTCAAAACTAATTAATAAAACTATATAAACATTCTATAGATATGACTTGCTGTGTTAGCGTAGTGACCTAAGCACTTCAATGTACACAACATACAACATTATACTCACCCGACATATTAACGGCTTCAGAACCATTTTCATTCTTTTTAGTATCTTCAATAGTTTCAGTTTTCTCTTGTTTAACTTTTTCTCCGCTTTCGTCAGCAGCCGACGCCTCCTTCTCTTCCTCTGTAAGTAATTCATATGATAAAAATGTGAATACATATCACCAAAACTAAATCCTATTAATATTATAAATGTGAGTTTCTTTGTTAAGATGTTTATCGGTAAATCACACCGAAACTACTGAACGGATTTTGATGAAATTTGGTATACAGATAGGATATTAGCTGACTTAGATAATAGGATACTTTTTATCCCACTTAACATTTCCTTAGGGTGCACGCGGGCGAAGCCGCTGGCGAAAGCTAGTGTATAATAAATTAGAATAAACTTTTTAGATGAAATTGATGACTAGCAAATGCAAAATGAGTTTTTTTGGCATTTCACTAAACACGTGAAATCATGCTATTTAATTATTTTTTAGTCTTTTGAAATAAACAAAAGACTATCTTGAACCAATTTCCATGGTATTATTATAAATAATGGTACTATTAGAAAGTAACTCTGTGTTATGTTTTCACGCCCAAAATACTGAACGAATTTTAATTAAATTTGTTACACAAAGATACCTTCAGAGAGGAAATGAATGATTTTCATGATATTGCCCACCTTTCTGTTGATGCAGCTGCCTATGTATGCGCTCGGCGTGCTTGCGCAGTGTACGCGTGTCGCGATGCTGCACGTAACGTCCGAGATGTATACGCAGGCGACAGTGTCGTCGCAACGCCTCAGCTTCCTCCGCGCCGCCAGGTTCCAAGCGCGGCAAGTAAACACGGCATAACTCACACCACCATACCTGACCATATAGTTAAATGGTTAATGGCTTTTTTTAATTGATTCCACAAAAAAAGCATTTTTGTAGGTTCGTAGACTTAAAATCAACTTTCAATCAATGGAGCAAATTATTAAAAATTTTTAAAAGTTTTTAAAAATTTCATTTCTTTTAATATTTATTTAATAATACAAATAAATTTGAATACAGACATTTTCATTGATAAAAAAACTTCATCTAACAATCAAAACTAATGAACCTGACAAGAAAAACTATTTAAGTAAACAATTCAAATTTTACCTCCATCTTTTTTATATGTTCACTTCCAATGTTGATCTCCACTTTTGGTTTCTTAGGTGCAGACTCCTCTTTCTTTTCACCACCTGAGTCATCATCTTCCACTTCTGTAATGAAATGACAAATATAAATATTTTGTAATAAAAAATCTAACATTATAAAATTGGATGATAGTAATGATTGGTTTATTGTAATCACCGTCAACGTCGCCTACTGAATCGAGGGTCATAAAGTTATCCAAATCAACATCCATTCCCTCATCACCACTACCCTCCGCCTTAGGGCTCGCACGACGTACAGATTGGCTTGCTTTTCTCTGTAATAACAGAAAAAAAATAAACTGAATCAAGTTGATCATCCCTGTACTAAACTAGTAATCCTAGCACTAAAAAAGAAACTAAAAATAAAATAAAACCAACATCATAATTTCACTGTCATTAATATTATAGTAATAGTTATTTAGGGTATTGCTGCCATATATCAAATTGAAATAAGCTAAAAAAGGTGAAAAATAAGTAAGGCTGCTAACACATTCAACAAACTTATGTTGAGGTTTTTTTTAGTTTTTAAGGTGCTATGCAATTCCTTGGGATTTAAAGAATCTTGGGTTTACTGTTGTGCCAGGTTCTGTACAACTCTTTTCAATACATTTACCCACCTTGAGATGATCGAGGGAGCATATATGATGCTCGTAGATCATTGGGGAGCGGAAGGTGACGCGGCAGATGCGACAGAAGGGCATCAGGAAGCGTTTCATCGCGCGATGTGTGTCGGTGAGATTGTGAGCGTGTCTCGTGGTACGGTGATTGAGGCGACACACTAGGCAGAACGTGGTACGGGGGGCTAGGTCCGCGCCCGCCGCCGCTTCAAGCTCGCGCTGCGCCCCACGCTGAGCCACGCGCATGCGTAACAACTGAGCCTTATGACGACGAGCCACTGCGCTCATCGCGGCGCGGTGCTTACTAGACAACAGGTGCTTCGCGTACCCCTGTGGACGAGACTCCTTGTGTGACCTTCGCTAATTGAACATTTATTGAACTGATGCAAATGATATTTGCAAATATTTAGATCCTGACAAGCTGTTTTCAAATCCGTGAATTAGTAAGATGACAGTAGTCTTGTACATGGGAGGCTATTTAACTCCTCTAACGATTTCAAGGTGAACGATGTGAATTAAACTATGTGTAACTAAACAACGGTTATTAAATCTTTGTTATCAATAATGACATAATATTTTTAAACATGTATGTGAACAAAAGCATCGAAAAGCATCGAAACAACAGAATTGCCATAGTCATTCAGGGCAAGCAATGTGCATCATATGAATGCTTTCATACATTAGGGTGTTAGATTAAATGATTTAAGCCTGAATTAAAAAATATATGTTTTGGAAGTGAAACTTTCAACTTACACCAAAAGTGGCACATTTCTCCTTGCAGTGCACACAAGACAGATGTATGTAGGAGCGCGTACGTGGTGGCGCTGCATCCGATGCAGTATCGGGCTCCTTGTCAGTGTCATCGCCAACGTCGCCTGCCTCACCATCTGAAGCGTCCACCTCTTCTTCTTCTTCCTAGATTATAGAACTGTAGTTTGTAGACTTATCGTTTTGGCTTAGCACAATTTCATTTATCGTTATTAATTAGCATTAAAGAAAAAAAATTGCTCATTTCTGGAAATGGCAATAATATGAAAACAATAATTACAAATAGCTATAAAAGAAAAATTATGAAGATATTTGAATGAAATTTGTTCATTAAATAGAACTTTATATTAATTTTATTACAATCACAATTATACATACCTTAGGAGATTTAATCTTAGATTCTTTCTTTTCTTCAACAATCTCTTCCTTTTCATCAGCATCCCAATCTTCCTCAGTTGAAGAAGCTTCTTCTTTAGATTTAACAGAGCTGTGTAAAATTAAAGAAATCTTAATTTCTATTAAACATAAGTTTAGATTCATGACATATTATATTATAAAAAGGTATTTTTATGGTAATATTCTATTGTAGCTCTTATTTGCTCTGGCATAACTAAAGAGAGCTATCTCTTCTGGGTAAATGTGTGATTATACACCAGATCACATACAGCCCTTTCCTGCTACTTAATCCCATAACTTGGTAATATAACCATATTTATTTTTGCAATTTATAGTTTAGTCTCCTGGTACTGCCATGTTTATTACATTTTATCTATATCTTGAACCATTGAACATTTTGCCAAAGGAAATAACTCCCCATTATCATTGTAAAATAATAATCTGTAAATTTATAATACTATTAGATAAATATTATTTTCCACCAATTCTTGGATGGTCATAAATTATATACATACCATTTTCACAATATTTTTCATACCTTTTGTATATTGTTTCTCAACCACATTTCTAAGTTTACTGTTCATAATGAAAAATGCCACCAGTTATGAATATCTGGTTCACCGTGTTCGTGCTGTAATCATTCATAAGAAACTAGTGTAAATATTCAATAGTGAGTTCAATAGTCAATTACCTTCTCCCTTTGATTGATTTGAACGCTCGGGTATAGCCGAGCGAACGATCATTGAATCTCCTGGCGGTAAAGGTGCCGCGTGAGCGCGGTGCGCCGCGGAATGAGGCGCGCGAGCGCATGGTGCGGCCACGGAACGAGCGTCGTGCCGCGCGGGGACGCACTGACGAGCGAGGCGGTTCTCGCGGCGGACCCATGCCACTAGGCTTGCGGTACGTTTCGCGATTCGGTGAACGTCTTCTGTCTTCACCACCGAATGATCGCCTTTCGCTGTTGTAACTTTCTTGTCTACCGCCGTAGGATCCACCGTAATGCCCGCCGCCATCATGGCTACGTCTATCGCTCGAGGACCCCTGTACATAACTCTCTAATGTTCCTCCGACAAATATTTTTAAATCAATTACAACAATAAGAATTAAAAACACTCCCTGTTTCAGAATTTACCCTTTTTATTGAATTCCTCTTTGTGATATTGAATAATATATCTGAGTATGATTCTCTACCAATTATTATTGATGATACTGTACATTTGTACATAATGTTGAATCAACCAAAATAAATAGTTTTTCTAATAAAAGTATTCTGGTGTAATTCTGTTTAATTAACCTCGATTTGCTAAAATGTTTATTTCTGCTCATTATCATTAAAGTAGGTAATTCTGATTTTCCAGTATTTTGACTATTCAAAATTGTTTAGATAGGACAAGATGGATCTTCTCCAATGTACCTCACAATTGCAACAGTTGTAATGTTTTAAACCACATGCATATAAAACCCAATTTCAATGTGGGTGCATATTTTATCCATGTTTCTGTTTTTGAGTATATATTATCATTTTTTAGTTCAAGACAAAAACATTCAGATTTAAGTTTCTGTAAAAGTAATACCAATTTATTTTCGTCATAACTGTCCCATAGGATTGGTGGCATAATAGTCCTTCTATATTCCTTCCATCTCTTTTTCTTGGTTTACATCATCATATGGTCAGAGGCGGCCTTAACAAGATTGCGGGGAATGGGCAAGAGTAAGTTGGTTGGGTAGGAGGATTCTTTTTGCATGTCTAACTAAATATTACAAAAAGAAGCATTCTACTTGGCTGTAGATTTTAAAGCATCTGGTTTCATCTATTTGGTATCATAATTCAATTGCAAAATATTCTCTTTCCTTTGATCACTTCTGTAGATATTAAGTATTCTTAACTTGGGATTCCTCATGTAGGCAATGAAATCTTTTTTCCCCTAAGGCCGCCACTGTAGCAATGTCTAATCTGACTATAAATTTTCTGTCAAGGGTCAATTAAATTAAACCTAAATACTCACATCAATTCTCATCCTTTTTCGATCAGGTGAACCTGATCGACCACCATAATCTCGGTTTGAGTAACTTGCAGAGCTTTCCTTTAACAAAATTTTTATACATTGTAAACATATTTTGCCCAAAACTGAATTATTTTCATTAAGAATATTAAATAAACATATCCAAGTCTTTGACATATGGCATTTTTTTTCTCTAAATTATTTTATTAGTATTAATTTAATAGTAAATATCTAAACATATTAGTGTGTGTGTGACAAATTTAAGTCTACATAAAATTTTGCACATAACTAGTTAATATAACTTAAGATATTACTACTTAACACCATTGTTACCAAAAATATCCAAAATTCAAAACACTTTCTGTTACAAATAACATCACAAAGAGGTAACATATATCCTAACTTTTATAGTACAAGAAGGATGTTTGAAGAACTTACAGATCTATAATTTTTCTTGGAATAAGACTCTTCTATCCTGTCACGAGTGCCGCTATAACGGTTGGTGCTGCTGTTGTTATAGCGGGAATCATTGTTGTAGGAAGAGTAACCACCTCCACGTCCTCCGCGGCTTTCATATGAACCGCGGTGGCTACTTCCACGATATGAGCCCCTGTAACTGCTCCCGCGGCCATTGTAACTACCTCTGTTGCTATAACCTCCATAACCTCGCCCTCGTGAAGACATCTGTAGGTACGCATTTAAACATTTGAATTAATTCAAATAGGAGCTTTTTCCGATTTAAATATTAATACACTGGCTACATTTAAAATGTATCTTTTCCATTTTCATTGCAAAATAGATGAACACCTCTACAAAATGGAGGACACGTCCCATCCTCGCTTACCATACATACGACACAATTTAAAGAGAATCAATATGTGTATCAAATATGTAATAACCAAATATAAATATCATATCATATCTGACTTACCTTCTTGGACGTTAATATTTAAAATTCACTGTAGATAATGATAAAACTATAAAATTGGAAATCACGTCACGAAGCACGAACCACACGAAAACGAAACGACGCCACAAAAACCAATCAGCAAGTGTTGCCAATTATAAAGTACTCTTTGGTTCAGAATGACTATTTCTTTGGTAGGGTACTAAATGGAGTCTTTGGTAGGGTACTTATATATTTCTTTCGTTTTCCTCTAAAATAAAATACTGAGATATTACTTTATTAATGAGGTAGTTGTGGTACATCTGTTTAATAATCTCTGTCGTCCACCCTGTGCGACGTAATCTGTAACATTTGTAATATAACCATTAATGCATTTGTAAGTATTCATTCAACATTAAAAGAGTCTGATAGTAAACTCATAGCTGAACACGTTTATTCATTTTACCGACCCTTCGTATAAATAGTCAGATAGTCTACTTACTAATATACCAATAAATAAGTACCCAAGATACGGTAAAGTGGTGATCCCATACAATATACGGTAAAAAGTATTTAAAAAAACATTAGTTCCCGAAATCAAACTAGATGTCGCTACGGTACTTTCTTAATTTTTTTCCATGACAATTCTTCCGGTTTTCGTTCATGTATAAAAGTAAATTAATTTTCAAAACTCAATAAACAATTCATATTCTTTTTGTATTTTTTCGTATTTGTATTGATATCTGAATTTCATACTTGCAAATTTCAGTTTTTTAATATGTTAGTTAAATAAAACGGAAATGACTATCTTTGGCCCATTCGTTTCCTGCAAAAATCAACTTTTACTAGAGTAGCCATGTAGTGAGGAGCTTTTGACGTGGATACGTCTATATTTTCGTTCTACAGGGGGGTCATTCTGTGAGCAGGAGTATATGCACTAACGCCATCTATTGGCGAATAAGTGAACTATGCTTGCTCTGCAGGGGGAGGGGCATTCTGTCAGCAGGAGTATATGCACTAACGCCATCTGTTGGCGCTAGTGAATACTTTTTTCATTCAACAATGAACGCAACGAATATTTATTTATTTAGTGTTTAGTGTCTGCAATTTGTTTATTTATTTTTGAATTATTCATTTATAAATGCAATTATGCCACAACGTTGCATAATTCCGGGTTGTTTTGGAGAATCGAATCGTTCAGTTTTTAGAGTGCCAAAGAACATTGATAGACGTGAAGAGTGGTTAAAAGCTATTCGTGATGTGTTTCCTAACCTGGATGTAGGTGAAAATTTTTTTTTTTTTAATAAATTACTCATATATCCATTCATACATAGACGTATCCACGCATAAAATATGGCTGTATCAATGATACAGCCAACCAGGGTTTTTTTTAGTGCTTTCTTTCATTTTCCTTAAAATACATAGAATTTTTTAATTTTTCGAAACTACCTTTAATTTTGTTTTTATTGCCAAAAATATTAATGATATAAGTGTGAAACTTAATGGAACTAATGCATTTTTAAACAATATTATCCGTAGAATATTATCCTATGTCATTATCACAAATAATAGTTTGACATTTTGTCATCAGTGTTACCACTACTATTCACTTTCATTTTTCCCAACCATATGGGAGATTTTATTTTACGTGGCTTTAATTTCTCTAAAAATCTTCTTTTAATTATTTATATGGCTCAGCTTCAGTATAGGGGAATACGCAAATTGAGTTGATATATGCGGCGTAATCGGCATCGTTATGTCAAATGATGGTAAATAAAAAGTTTATAGAATAAAATCATTTATTTATGATTGAACAGGGTAGAATGTACAAGATAACAAATAGTTGGAAAACTCTAGTAACCTATTCAGCTATAGTACATTAGCATACAAATCAAATATGGCACAATAATACTCTTCTAAATTATGTAACGTAGTCACGATAAAATTAAACGATAATGTAATCATCAATGCATGCTTCCAAAGACACTTATATCTTCTCATCCATTCGTACCTCAAACAGCCATATTACATTTGTCATAATAGGGTGAGGGAAAAATTTCTTCACCTTTATGTGAAAATTTAAAATATTTTTTAATAAAGTTTATTACATTTAACTTAAGTATTTCAGATATCATTTTATTTGATAACTTTTTGCCATCTTGTAGGATGATCAAGATGGCAAAAAGTTATTGATAATAACATAATCTCATTGCTATTGAGATTTTGGGGCTTCTAATCAAAAACCCGCGACAAGTGATTTTGACAGGCCTCGCGTGATGTTAACCTGACAGTGGCTATAGAATTTTGTAAAAAACCGAAACAGGTGGAAATCTGAAGGTGCAACGTCAGGACCATACGGCGGATGCATTAACATCCCCCAGCCAAACTCTCTTAATTTTTGCTGAATGTGTGAGCTGAATGAGTGTGAGGTCTAAAGCGTTATCATGATCAAAAACCAACCACCCCTTCTATTGATTAATTCTGGCCGCTTTCTCTCATTTCACCGCTTGTTCGCAGTAGAGTTCAGAATCGATGGTTCTGCCGGCGTTAACAGCTCATAATGAATAATGCTCTTCCAATCCCACCACACACAACATCACCTTGTTGCGAGTTAACCCACGCTGTTTACGCGGATCTTTCTAACCGATCAGTGGAGGCGTGTCATGATCGGCGGCGTCGGTCATCGGCTCGGCGCGGCGCACACGTCTATGCATACTATCATGATTGATATATAGGTAATATTAAACCGCATTTAGGGCGCCCCTTATATAAAAATTAAAATAATTTTACTTAGCTAATTGTGCATTGCCATCTGTGATTGAGGATAACTGCTTTTAAATTCATTTGCAAGATTTGATGAGATACATTGCGATAAAATTAAAACACTTACTGCTCTTCCGAATGGAATCTGTTTATATTCACGTAATCTTGAAACAAAGTCGGAAATTTGTAACTAGTTTTATTTCTAGGTCTTCTAATATAAATGATAAAAAGGCGAACGGATAAAAGACAGTGAACGACTATATAAAAAAAAAATTAGGTTTATTAAAGAATTTTTCAAAGTTATAGTATTTACGTAACTGATTTTATACACATATCTACTATTCGTTCATTCATTCATTCATTAAGCATGATGGTTGAAATTTTCGACAGCTGACAATACAGTATCAACTAACTACCCATTTTGCTTGCTCTATCAAGTAACAATTCTGTCTTTGTTTAATTTTCCAGTATAATATTGTAATCTTTGGTTTAATATGAGGGAAAAAAACATAATAAACCTTATATTATCTACACTAATATAAACTTTGTTTCTTTGTTTGTTTGTATAATGAATAGGCTTAAAAACTACTGGACCGACTTTCAAAATTCTTTCACCATTCGAAAGCTACATTATCCACGAATAACATAGGCTATATTTAATTTTGGAAATAATAAATTGGGTTCCGTAAGATATTTGGGTTTTTCGGACACAAGGTGTAAAAAATCAACCAGAAAAGTTACTTATTTTTGTTTGACGCTGAGAAATGCGTTACGCATACCCGCTACACCCAGCGCGGTTTTCACGGGTTATGTAGGTCTCCTCCTGCGGCCCATCCCCGAAGGGGCTAGATAAGAAGCAGGAATTTACCCACTAAAACTCAGCGATGTCCCTCGTATGGAAGGCGATGCGCAGGATCAGCCCAGAGGCCGTACACCGCGCGGTTCGCCCTCATTTCGGCCCGCCCTGAAAAGCATAGTTCCCGCTGCGGGTTGGGGGTGCATCTCAGAGACATTTAAGATGTACCCCTCCCCACCCCCCGACGAGGCGGGAGCGTGCAATGCCGACCGGCGCGCAAACCAGCCAACTGCCCGCGACTAGAGACCGGAGATGCGCGACTGTGTAATCTCCAGCTCCTTTTACTCATCGTGTTGGGAGGATCCACACTGACATAGCCCTTATCGTGGATCCCCCCCCCCCCTCGTAGGTCGATGCGCCACAGAAGATCGACTTCATCGATCAGCTCCGAGAAGCAGACAGGACGAGTCCGGCCGATCGACGGGTCGCACTCCCTATCGACGCGCCGCGGCTACGGCGCCACCGAGGTCCCGGTGCTGCACCAGTCGTCGAGCAAGTACAGTAGGTGAATCCCCAGGTAAGTACCCACCATACTACTCTAGACTAGTACGGCGTGTAAATGTGTGTGTGAGAGTGTATGTATGCAAGTGTGTGTGTAGTTGTGGGTGTGTGGCTGTATGTGTAAGTGTAGTGTAAGATAGAGTAGCTGTATTTGCATGTACGCTGCCTAAACTATAATAGATAGAACGATAAAACGTTCTAATTAATTGTAGATCTAAGAAATATCTACCAAAAAGTTTAAAACTCATTGGTAATAAATAATTCGCGACTTTAAACTCTCAAAACATTAACTTTTAAAATCAAATAATGAATTTGAAAAATTTGTATAACCTGACGTGTTCATGAATAAAAAAAATATAAAATAAACTATATTTGTATGTGTTGATTCTATAAACAATTATTATGTTTTATATTCACACACACACATCATTCTTTGACAACATATGATATTTTAATGTTATCTTACTGAATATAAATAAAGAAATTAATAATGTGTATGAAGATGGCACGATAGTCATATTTTACCGAGAAAATTACACGGTGGTAAGAGGTGAAACTACACTGTACAGTAAAACAGATAAGGTTAGGCACAGGAACACAGAAAACTAAATGTTACAATTAAAATTCTTTATTGTCTTGTTTCCATTTTACAGCTATACTCTAAAGATGGCAGTCGTTCCGTAAAGGTAACATACACACACAATTAAGAGGACATATAATCTTACAACAAATATATAACAATAGACCTCAATAAATAATACATAAAGAATATGTATAAAACCACAGTCTTGTCATGAAAATATAAACTGCTAATAAATTTTTATTTTGTTTTTGCATTATTTTTGCCTCTGAATATTTCATCCTTGTATCCTCTTAAATTAGTTAATGTATCCTGAAACAGAAAATAGTAAGTTTAACTATTTTAGCTTATCATAATATGTCAAATTTTGTAGCTCGATGGCGTAGTGGATAAGCGCTGCGGTCCTTCGCAAGAGTTGGTCACGGGATGGGTGATCATAAATTTGTTGTTTTGAGCTCCTCTGTGCTTCGGAAGACATGTTAAGGCGTTGGACCATAGTTAAGGATCATGACCCATTTTACCTATTCGATTCGATTCCATCCACAAGGAAGGCATATGCCCCAGCAGTAGGGACATACATTAATGGACTAGTGATGATGATAGTCGATAATTACATTAACAACATATTTTTCAATAATATAAATGAGCAGTTTTGTTTTTATTTTATTTTTTTTATACATAGGTACAGCTGCACGTCAGGTTACCTACCACAACATGTCAAATTTCTGCAACAGCTTTTGACGTCTACTCTCAATGAAAATTAAAATCGAATGAGGAATTTTGACAGTTTTGTTTAGTCTGACGTGTTGTTGACTGTATATTTTCGGAAAAATACTAAATATGATCAAACATAAAAATCAAATAACCAACAGATATAATAACTTGGATGAATAAATTCACAACGAGATAAAAAAATGTGGATACCTTTTTAGCTTCCCGCCATTCAAGGTTTCGAAGACGAGCGAGACCTTTGAGATTTCTGTCGAGTACTTTCAAAAATTCTGTCCGAGATAATTTAGGCGCCTCAGTGGACCCATTAGTAGCTGCTTGAGGCATCTTTTTTAGAGACTTAAAAAAATTAACGAATATAAAAACTTTAAAAAATAGTTAACTTTTAAAAACTTCAATCTTTAAAAAAATTATAAACGATATTTATATCTAAAGCGACTTATTCAAGAAAATGATATTAACTTTTTTAGCTGGCGACATAAATAGAGGTGGATATTGTTGACGACATAAATATTGGAGGTTGAAGCCCGCGACCCTGACGTGTTTATTTATCTATCAATCTTAATACCTATAATAACATGATGAGCTAAAAGAACATAGTTAGCTCACAGCATCTTTTGAAAATTCTAACCATCCAAACCAATACCGGAGATTAAGAAATGCAGATGCACAGAATAGCCCCTCCAATAATAAACAAAAAATAAATAAAAGATTATCAAAATTCATACACTTTTTAAACGACAACTGGGTCTAATGACCCATTTGCACAAACTTCCGTTAACATTTAACGGCTTTAAGATCTAATTAATGTTCTAAATTTAAATTATATGTATCGGACTAATGACAATGATACTTAAATCAAATCGGAAAGACTTTTCAGTGTAAAATTACATACTTATTTTATAGCTACTATAACTTATATTTAAGGTTTCTATTTACATAAAGATGACCCTTTCTAAATAAATATTTCAGAGCAGTCATATGTTCATGTTTAATGACAATCGTAACAACAAAAGGTCACGGTCACAAAGATTGCGTAACTTCGCCGTGAATATCATGAATGATCTATTGCCGTATACAATAAAGAGTAACTTATACAGCAAATATATTGCAGTCAAAATATATTACGCTTACTAAAAAGATGATTATTACATTTTAAAATTGTTTCTAATAAAAATAAATAGGTCCAATAATAGTACTTACATTGTCGTTAGAAAATCTACTGTTGACTTCTTCATTTATCTGATTGTATGCACTTTTGGTGTCATTGATTTGCTGAAACGAAAAAACAAGAAATTAGTAAGTAATCTTAGACCATAATAATAATTTTACAAAAAGGTTTGACTACATAAACTACTACACAAAGTACTGTGGTACTAATCCAGGCTAGCGAAGACTAGGAAAAGTATTTTTTTTTGATTTGAGGAACTCAGACCAAATAAAAAGTTGAGAAAATGAAACATAAAAGCTAGTAATTTTATGCTTTTAGTCGTAAAAGATGAATTATTGAATAAAGTGAATATTAAGCAATCACTTTTTTTAATTGTGAAAGATTAAACTTGACAAATCAAGTAAGAGTTGATTTTCGTATTTTCGTATCTGAAAAAATAGACACCAAACTTTATTTCGGCCATTAACTCCCGGTAGTACAAACGGCCATTGAAATTGTACGAGGACTTCGAGGCATTACCGTTACAAATTTCAAATTTAGAACATTGATAAGATCTTAAAGTTGTTAATAAACCAAATATAGTTTGTGCAACAGGGTAAAACTCGCTTACTTTTAATGTCAAAAACAAAAATAAATATTTTTCAAGAAAACGTTATTTGATATTCTCTCGAAAATTCTTTCTATGTCACATGACGTTGAATCTATTGATATCGGAATTCGTTAGTATAATACTACATTATCATCACTAGCCTATTAATGTCCCAACGGCTAGGGACCATACCTCGCCTGTGAATGGAATAGAATCGAATCGTTTAGGGAGAATGGGCCATAATCCACCTCGTGGGCCTAGTGTGGATTGGTGGGTATTAACAACGGGCCAACGGCTTAACGTGCCTTTCGAAGCACGGAGGAGTTCGAGATAACAAATGTTTGGTCACCCATCCTATGACCAGCCATTGCGAAAGTTGCTTAACAACCGTATCGCAGACTGAGTCCGTTAGCTTCTGCGCATTTGAACTCCATTATGTACAGAAACATTCTAAATTCAGTTTATAATTAACAAATAATATATATCTGCGAGAAGGGTCATGGCCCATCCTCCTTAACCATCCATAAGGAAGACCTGAGCCCCTGCAGTGGGGACGTAAAAGGGCTGATGATGATAATATACTTGCCAACCTCTAAAATCAGATGAAATATGGTTCCGAAGAATCCCCACTTTGGAGTTGTGGCTACTTGTCGACCCGCCTTGATCGCAGATTGTCTGTTTGTACGATCCTTTTCAATTGATTTATCCACGCTTGGCTGAAATTTATATGATCGGAATCAATTTTGCTGCCCCTCATAATTAGGTATTTTATATATACATTATATATATAAATTTTAAAGAATTTTTCGGCCAGAATTGTGTCATCATTATTTTGCGTTGTACAGGTTAGATTTCTGACTGCACGGTTGGTCGAGTGGTTTAGTTTTCGCCATGCAACGTACGTACTTTCTTAAAGGGAGGAAATAAATAAAAGTAATTCTTACTGATTATGTAATAGTAATGAAAAATTCTGTGCTCTTTTCATTCGGTCCGAATTTATAGTTGCGTAAAAAATTCAATTGGTTCAAATATAAAAAAAAAAAATGTTTACTGTGAAATTCTGCCGCCCCCTAAAAACAAACTAATGTAAGTCGGAGTACTACATTTCAAATTACCTACACTCACTTTATATGTTTAAGTAAGTATCGTACAGTTTTTAATTTTGACGAGATTTTAAATCCTAGATTTTAATCTGCGAAAACATAATAGAATTATAACATTTTTTTAAATTTTAATTTTTTTTTTTACATTTACTTAAATTTTATTTTGTCGGAAGAAATATGTAGGTGCATGCAATCTAGCTATTTAAGAACATAAGCCACTCACTGGTTGTGCTGTAAAGTGCGGAACGACGACAACGGTGACCATGAGCGTAGCCAATAATGCCCTTCTCGCTCCTTGCGCCATCTTGTGTATGTTTATCAGTGCTTTGTGTAAACCTTGGAAAATGTACATTTTTTAATAAATTAGAATTAGTTTACACTTTAGTAAGTGTACTCAATGACAGCACGTACAGTTAGTTAATATCTGGCATACGACATTTACAGTGCTGCTTGATTTTTAAAAAATTGCTTAAGCTATCTCGTTTGTAAATAGAGAAATAGTTCCTAATTAAAAATGATCAACAAATCCACTTTGTCTCTGGCTTTTTGAGAAAGGACTCGAACCCGTGACCTTTCGCACTACAGAGGGTATTTTTATCAATATTCAGGCAGCCGTAAGAAATATTTTTACAAATACATATTTTAACTATCGATTAAAGATGAAAAAAAAGAGAAATAGTCGTTGAAAATAGTTGCTAGTTGATTAACATAGTCAGTGGCTTATAATCTTTTGGGAAAATTATAATTATATATAATAATATTTGTGACATTACAAAGTAGCGCGAAAGTTGAGGAAGAAGTACCTACATACTTGATTCGCAGCCAGGTATCGGGATTCAAACCCGATACCTAGCTATAGTAGGTATACTAGGTATTAGTTAAAAGAATGACTGATAGAAAAATGCTACAGAAGAAGTTAATTTTTTTCGTTGAATGACAAGATAATTAGGTGCTTGCGTTGGAGCCCTCGGTTTTTATTTTACCACTAAATATAATCAACGTAACCTTAAACAGCAATATCATTATTTTACTTTGGATCAATACGGAAGTTCAAACAGGAAACCTAAGAAATAAATTTTGATAAAACATTTTCTGTGATAATTTCAATTCCAACGATTACGGTTAAGAATGTAGCAGACAGCAATTAGGTACCATAGTATATTAATAAAGTCTCGCTCAAACATTTTGCATACGCACTATAAATTACACACATTCATTCATAGAAACTTTTATGAAATAGTTAATGATGCATTTCCACGTCTTTATTCACAAAACCAATAAGAAATTCTTTTTGGAAACATAAAATTTTAATGAGCTTTCGTTAATACCCACTTTTTAATTTCACCCGGAACAGATCAGACAGCCCACGCCACTCACCAAACGTGGCTCAATTTAGATAGAACAATAAGATGGAGTCTAAAAATACAGTGAGCTGTAATTTAAAAAAAACCAGCCAAGTGCTAGTCGGACTCACGCACGAAGGGTCCCGTACCGAAAACGATTAAAAAATCTCGTTCGTTGTATAGGAGCCCTTTAAATATTTATTTTAATATGGTTTTTATATATATGTTGTTGAAGCGGCAACAGAAATATATAAACTGTGAAATTTTCAACTGTCTAACTTTGACGCTTCATGAGATACAGTTTGGTGACAGGCAGCGAAGTCTTAGTAATAGTTCCCATTTTACGTACGGAACCATAAAAATGAGAAATATACAGATGCGATTGAGTCAAAATGTGAATTTATAAAATTTATAGAAAAAAAAGTCACCTGTAAAATTTACTATTTAGTCCACTTCTCGTAATTATAAGTAAACAGGATAGAAAAAATTACAATAGTTTTAATGTAGGTAATCTATGCATAGAATATATATATACAAAGTCTCTTCCCGCTGTCTGTGCGGTGAGATCGCTAAACTACACGACGGATTTTAATGCAGATAAAATAGTTTTGACATCTATTTAAAGCAATTCGCCGTCCTTACCTTCTAATTATATACCTATATTCAAAGATATATTATACTACTCTTTGATTCAAAGCCGGTATATTTATTTCTGCAGTCCCTACCTAACTTATCTGTTTCAGTCGCTGGTTTGTTGATTGTCTCTTTTTTCCTTTTGTTTTGTTGTTTACGTAGCCTTAATTTTATGATCTTAGTCAAGATATGATATGTATAGCCAGAGTGCAGCATACGTAACACGATAATTGTAACATCAATGACGTATACCGTAGTAGTGTGACTTAAGAATGTTGTAAAAACTTATCTTATGATTGTATACTTGACTTCCCTCATACTAGGAAAATCTCAGCAGATGATGTCACAATGCATATTTCATTTCAACGTAAGACAGTATCGTTTAAACAGCTATAAATCTGATTTGATCCTAATTTATAATTTAATGCATAATAACTTTTGTATTCTAATAAAATATTTAAACAATTAAAAAGATTTATTAAAAAAACGAAAAGCTATCATTTAAAATATTTTTTGGGCTGAATTAAGAAGAAATTACCTACTAACGAAGTAACGAACGTGATAAATAAAAACCTTGAAGTATATTTCTATAAACAAGTGACGTTTACAGGCTCTTAAGGTTAAACTTCAACCGAACACCACCGCACCTCAAGCCTACATACTTTCGAATGTATGCAAATACGCAACTCTTACAGATGATATGTTATGAAGCAACTTTATTCTCCCAAAAATTGGGATACCGTTATTCAAGTATACACAGGAAATTGTTGACAGTCTCAATTTAAATATGTCATATCTAAACTTTCTCTATATAGGAGAAATAATCATGATCATCCTATTCGGTTCCGAATTGTTTGTCGTCGACCCTCTGTCAGCCAGAACTCAACTCTTTATTCCATCTTTTACGATAACATTGTTACACGTCGTGAACAAGAGATGGAGTGCACATATACCACAATAACTAGTGGACTCTTACCATGCTAAGCAATAACATCACTTTTCCTATCAACTTGATTGTCTTGCGTGCAGGATTTTTCTTGTACCATAAAATATCGAAAAACACCCTGAATTATCAGTAGGTACACTCTTCGACGCGGTTTATTCTACCGAATGCGTAAATAAGATTTTTGTGAAGTAAAGACAGTAAAGATTGGCTCGGTGGTGCAATGGTTAGCGCCTTCTGTCTGTGATGCGAATAGCAATTTTCTCCATGTTTGTTCGTTCGGTCATCAAACATATCAAGCAAGTATTTCCTCTGCTCTTTTTTTTCCCTAGTCAAAATATTCCCCTATTCCACATATCCCTACTGACAAATCCCCACTGGTAGGGATACTTTAACTATAATTTTAACTCTATACGAATCATGCCAGAGCAGTATTCAGAATGTCATCCCTGATAACGAGCTTACAGAGATTTTAAGGAGACTAGCGAGCCTCTGATCAATAAATTATTTTTTCTGGTCAGTGTTAAAAAATGCAAGAAATAAAATAAGCCACGCTTCTGACTTAACTCATATATTTATTTAAGTATTAACAAACAAACAAATAAAACTCAAATTACAGATTAGTTGTGTTGTGCTGTGTTATTCTGAATCATATTTTACTGTTTGGTTTGCTTAATCATCATCGTTGTGCCCACAACTTTTTGAAAAGTCATATAATATAACGTACTATTATTTTGTTGGTAGACCTCAAAAATAAGAAGGCGCTACAAATCAAGAAAAGTGTGTGTTGTAAGAATTTTTATTTTATTTCTATTGAGTTAGACTCAAACAATCTCAAGCAAACCAAGGAGGGGTCAAAGAATTTGCTACAGGCTCCGCTCTAACTTAATCCGGCACAGTACATATAGAATCAGATTTGAATTTATTTTCTATTTTTTGTAATATTTGGAAATAGACGAAAATATTCAAAGCACAGAAAACTCAGATGGACAATGTTTGAATTAATCCGGCACAGATTAGTTGTGTTAAGTGTTTTTGTTCCTTCTTTGTCCGTAAAACTTGACACGCATCTCAGAATTTGTAGCTTTAGTACCTAAGTATAATTTTCCGGACTAATAGGATAGGAATAAGATAGGATGATTGATATTAACCTAGCACACTCATATTTATAACAAAAGTTCTTTTGAAGCAAAATCTAATAACATTTTTTTCACGCACACATTAGTAAGTTAAACACAAAACAAGTATCAAACAAACCTAAAAATACTTGTTGTCGATAACAAAAGAAATATAGGACGTTTACTTTCGATTAGGTCGATAAATGTATACCTACATTTATATCATTACCTGGTTCATAAATATGATGATATAAATTAGATGAACTGGGACAAGCAACGAACACTGTTTTAAACAAATAATAGCGATATTAATAACTTTAAATAAACACCAAAATTAAAACACTCGCCACAAAAAATCAAACACTAAACTGCACAATAGCAAACGCAAAATAACTAATTAACCAGAGACCGATTAGCTACTAATCAATTACTTAACGCATGCTAACTATAAAACAGGAATGTTAACTTTAATTAATATGGGAATTAACAAATCAATAATACTGATATTAATAACTAATCGAATGACGAGCCATTACCAATACATGTAAGCGGAAAACTTGACACCCGCCACTATCTATGCGCAAACGCACCGGCGCGGTCGAGTATGCGAAGTAGCCGATTGCACTGCGAAGCACAAGGTGTCCACAGGAGCGCGCTCGCGTCGGTACCATCGGGGCCAAGGCCGTAGCTGGAGTTGGTTGCGAAGTCTTAGTTATGTCAGCTTGCGTTCTACTTATGCAATGCTTACCGATTTAATGCAGTTGAACGAACCGGTCCACGGGTTCATTAGTATTATTTGATAACTGGAGGGTTCTTCATTAGGTAATTGAACTATTAGACCTTTCCAATGTTTTAAACTATTCAACAATGGTTTCTGTAAACTGCCATTGATCATAAAGTGAACATACCAGACTTCCACATTGTGAAATAAGCTTTCTTTTCCGTTTGAAAGGAGAATTGAATCATTAATTCGAGTTCAGATGATTAGTTCAATCGTCATCGGGGAGTGTGCAGTATTACAACAATAAATTCGACATCATGTCATTTCTATTAAATCTTTGTGGATTTAGGGTATAATTGTAATGAAACAAAAACAAATAAAGTAAATAATATATTATTAAGAATCCATCTAGTACAGACAATACATACCTCTATTTTCATTATCGGTACAAACGATTGTCCAAAATATGGACTTTAATTTCTGTTTCAATTGAATATATTAATAATTGGTAATGTGACAATTTTTTTTGTATTTCCTCAATCATACGTATACCACTACTTTCTTCCTTCTTGTTTTTCTACTGTTCAAATTACACCTTAGTTTCGAGAAATGATGAGGATGCCTATAGATCATTAAGCACGTGCTATTTATTGCTATCAATATTAGACATTATAATTTACAATATATTATTACTTTATATTCCTAATACTTCTAGTCTTTCTGTTTTTGATGTAGCATTCTACTCGGCAACAGCTTGTTCTTTTCTTTAAGGATGATTTAAATTTAATTATTTAGGTATCTATTTTTATTTTTGCTTAATTATGGGAATAACCATAACTACAATTCACTGTGCGTGCCTATTAAATTACTATTTATTGAGATATAGGATTTTTATAAAGGATTATGAGGTTAATAATTCCATTTTTCTATATTTCTTCCTTAATGTAGATACAGGGTCTTTAAATAATATGGGATCTAATCGAAGTATAGAACGCATCAGTGGCATATAACCCCATGCTGTCGCAAATGTATTTAAACAAGATTGTCGCTGAACGAAGTGCTCGGGATCGCTCCAGGAGGACCTAAAACAAAGTTTGTTATCAACAAATATAATTAAGCCAACGTGAACTTTTGGGATGTTTTATATCACTATTATTAGCAAAATTGTTTCATTTTTATCAGCGGTAACATAATGAACTTTATCAGTATTGTGATTATTTAGTATGTTATAAACAAAAACTTATTAAAATATTTAAACATATTTATTGAATACATATTTTTGACGATAGTTAGATTTTTTATGCTTTGTATATAAATAAAGCAAAACTCGCGACTTTGAATCAGCTAAGGGCAAATATTTGTGAAATTAATAATTATAATTATACGAAGTTTTGAATATTAATTTCAAATACCTAATCACGCATGGGTAAAAAACCATATCAGTTTTACATTCTTTTTAATAACCTTTTTTTAGAAAATATTATTATTAATTTTACTTTTATCGTATTCCACATACTTGTAGCGGTGATGTGCGGATTTGTACCGTCGACGCTGCGCGAGCTTGAGAGGTGGGCGTCGCGTCAGATGCGCCACGAGACAGTTTAGTAGAATATCCTCGCAGTTGTGAGCACGCTGCACCGCATGACGCAGCGCCGGCGCACTCGCCCCGTACAATGCCAGGGTAGCGCGATGTACCAACGCTGCTCCTGGCAGTACCATAGAATATGCGCCACCCCACTTACTGCTATACCCCCACGCACCCTGGACATGCCAAGGGCAAAATATTTTTAGAATAATACATTTATTATATGATCGAAATAAAAGTTTGGCATCGTATTACAAAAAAGTTTATTTTTCATATTTATATTTTAAATACTAATTTACCGATATATATAACATGTAGTTAGCTTGTCTATCACTTACTTTGGCTTCATCCCAGTAGTGACTTCTGGCTGGATAACCAACGATTCGTTCGGGGAAATGCTGCCACACCCTAAATGCGAAATCCAACTCTTCTGCAAGCAAAGGTGCATCACCATCTAATGAAAAGACAGCAGCTGTGGGCACTGCCCAAAGTGGTTTCCACCTAGCTGAAACCCCTTCCCTAAAATATATTTTAAGATATTGATATTAATGGAATGTCACATTCAACTATTCTAAGGAAATTAAAATGTCTAAAACTTACCCTGGATAATGAGTAGTAGCATCTATGACTAATACTGGAAGTGGTTCGCGAGCATCTCCTGCCACTCTCGCCAAAGATTTTAACGACGGTGCCGCACGTTCACTATCCCAGACCAGCACAACCTAAAAGCAAGTATCAAAATGAGACTAAGTTTTCATAAAACTGAAACTGTATGATTTTTAATAGAAATAATCACCTTTTCACAGTACTCGCTGTTGGCAATGTTAGCGAGCAACTTATGCAAGGCTGGTGAAGTGGCTTGTACATAGAGCAATGCAGTGTATGTGCCACTATAGGTGGGAGGCGGCGCAGTTAATGGCACAGAAGGGGCAGGTAATGGTGATGGAGGCGCATTAGGGGCAAGCGGTGCTGGCGGTGCAGACACAGCTAATGGTAAATGCGCTCGAGAGTCTCCGTAGGAAACTAGTGTTCCTAACGCTCCTGGAGAAGCATTCCAAATAAGTGCCTCTCTTTGGCGTGATGTCCTGTGTACCGATATCCTCTCTAATATAACCTATAACGAAAAACAAGCGTATCATGAAACATTGATGATTGATATGATGTTAATTCCACCAAACAACAGTTACGTTACCTCTATTGTGGTGAAAACTATCTTTTCAATTGACGAAAAATATTGTTCCCACAAAAGCTGCGTTTGCTGTCTTAGTGCAAGGACGCGCTCAGGTGAAACTGAGCGTACGAGCTCCGGCACCTGTTATCAACAAAAGATTGGAGTGGAAAATAGAGCGCAACATGCAACAATAATAGAAAGAGAAATCAATTTCTCAGACCTGCAATAATAGCCGCTCATCCGCCCAGATAACAGCACGTCGCCAATCAATTCGCTCATCGAAAGGTAAACGCCAACCATTACTGAGTAATACTGGCACGCAACCGGCTGCCAAAGCTTCAAGAAAACGATACGAGCCCAATCGTCGACCTCGTGCTACCAGACAAAAAGTAGAATTCGCCAACAACTGCTCATAATCAAATCTAAAAACGAGCAACGTAATAAAATGTAAAAAAATAATAAGGCATTAAATATAATGTTTAAATTAGAAACTCACTTATCATATTCACGGTTATCTTCATCACATCTTTCATCTCTCAAATCTTTCCATGATTTTCCATGACGACATGTAGTCACTAAAATAAGATTGTTGCCGTCGTGTAAATGCCATAACGAATTCCTGGTTTCACTGCCAATCCCATGAACATATCGCTTTCCTTTAAATGCCAGTAAATGTTTACGTGGTGCTGGGAATGTATTTGCAGTAGCTGATGGGGGTTGGCCTCCTCTCTCTGGATGTTCTTTGTGAAACAATGGCAAGGATATATCAAACCCATCACGAAACACTGTTTCAGATGCACTTGCACGAGCTAATATTGAATCACCAGGATCAAATCCAAGAGAATTTTCAGCATAATCAGGCCATGTACCAGCATATAAATTAAAAATTAAGTGATTCCTACCATTTTTCCAATACGGTAATCGAGATAGCCGCGATGCAACATCTGGAACATGTTCTGGAGAGAGAGGATCGGCATCTAAAGTGTCTACAGCCGGTATAAATAAACATGCTTCGTTTGGATCTCTTGTAGCATATCGTGATTCTCTAATTACTGATAATACTTTACGATACGAGGCACTTACAGGGCCTTCTGTTGGGTACACATATATTTTAGGATCATCACCACACTTGGTAAAGTCAAAACAGGTCTCCATTCGACATGGCTTAGAGGTGGAGCGTGGTTGTCTCTGTAGTAAAGAAGGAGCTTCAGACAAATCTTCAAATGATGCGAATGTTGGTAACTGATCACGATGACTCTGTTGACTTAATTCCGATTTAAATCGTAGTCCAGTATAACATCCATATAACAAAGTACCGCAAGTAACAATAAGAACAATGTAACGTTTTTTAGCCTGCATTTCATAGAAATGTATTCCAAATATGTAACATGATACTGGATATTTCAGAGCTACATGACTACAAAAACCAACAGCAATCTGAAGCTATCCTTTTCATATACCTGAAATATATTTATTGATTACTTTTCAATACTTTAACATAAATAATTATCATTACATTACAACAAAAGAAATTTAAAACTTTTGAAAAATAAATAAAACCAACTTTAAAAAACGTGAAAACAATACTCATCATGTAAGCGGTTCAAATATTCATGAAACTTCTATTGAAGTCAGACAGACATTTTAGAAGTTTGATTTTATTTTATTTTTAGTGATACTTAAAAACTTGGAGAAAAAATCTTAGGAGAGTAAAATACATGTTCTTTTTTTGATGATATACACGTAATTATGTTGTCTCAGTATTTTTGTTAATAAAAATTATATTAATATTTTGTCATAAAAACAAAACTCCAGTTCAGCCAGCTATATATATATCTATCTATATAGATAGCTAATAAATATTTATTCAGATAAACACTATTGTTACAATACTTATCAATTCTACTAATTTATATATAGTTTGTGAGGATGCATGTATGTTTGATACTCTTTTCCACAAAAAATGACCAAATGAAATTTGATAAAAAGATTGTTCTCAGTCTGGATTAATATAAAGATAACTTTTTATCTTATTAAACGGTTCCCTGGGGACTGGCGAAAAATATACCTATTAGCTAGGTATATATTTTTTTCACTTGCCCATGTCACATCGGAGATGTACCAAGTGAGTATTAAAAAAAACTACTGAAATAAATGTGTCGAACGTAGGATTGCCATCTAGTGAAGATGGGGACACTTAGTTTAACATAATAAAAATTTATGTTTCTTTAGACATAAAGTAATAAATAATTGAAATTTATTATTACTTTGCCAAAAATAAAAATGAAGACTTAAAATAGGGTAGATTAATGTATCTGCCAGTAACACCCGCCTGCAAGATTTCAGTTACTTCTACACTGATCATGGTGTTTGCAAAAGCTAAGAAATTTCAATGACTCAAGAAAATCCTGTAGATAACAGCAATTATGATTTTAACAATAAGTAAACATGATTTTAAATTTCTATTTTTTTTTCTTTCCATATCCCTTAACATTTGCATATAAATTAATTGTTTTCCAAAAATTAATGCAATAAATTAACAAACATAAAGTTATATTAAAATAATATAACAATATTTTGGGGATTATTCATAAATATTTCAATATTTCCTATTTTCATATGGTATCACATAGGTGTTATTTAGAGAAGGTTGCTATTTTCATATGGTATGTAATGCGCTGAGCATTAGCAATTTACAGGACTTATACTATGTTAAAATTCTAAAAGTTATATTCTACATACCATCTAGATCAGGTAAAAATGCATAATCCAATACAACAAACATAATTTTCAACCCAGTGGCCATTTAAGTAAGCATGCATAAGATGGTAGTTTATTTTAATTTATTAGTTAACTGCATAACATCACATATATTATAGTAATTTTACTACTATATATTTATTATCAATTAATTGATAAACATGGGGAAAGTAACTAAACACAAATAGTATGCTTTTCTCAGTAACAATTTCCATTTGGTCAACAGCTGTCTAGTAAGCATTTTTTGTTGTAATCTTTGTCATGTAATCAGCGCTTCTGAACTGTACTAATATTCAAGTGTTCATGCAGCTCACTGGTCTTTAGAAACCAAGGAAAACCTATTAAGATTCTAAGTACTTTTTTGAAATAAATTCAGTATTTCTACAGTAATGTTATTGCTTTACTGAGCCCCATAATTCAATACAAACTACAAGATTATATGATAAGAAAATAATTGTACTCCTTAGTACAATTTTTGCAATGCTATATTACATATAATTTGTTATTTAAAGGATGATATCTGTGAGATGGCACATGGTAAAACTAGAAAATAGCCTATATTAATGGATGGTTCTCTTTTTTAATAATTGTGTTACAATTTTTATGTTTTTTGAAAAGTATTGTCAGTAGCAAATTCCACTGATTGAATCTCTATACGAAAAATGTAAAGTAATCAATTTAGTATACAAATAACCTCATATAATTATTTGTTTACTAAATTGATTACTAAAATGACAATTAATTTTTAATTATCAAAACTTATTCACTTTATTTTGTCAGAAAGAAAATTTAAACACATATCATAAACAATTTGATTGAACAATACAAATGTTTCATAGTTTGATTTGAGATTTTTTTCGTGGTAAAATTGATTTTTACTTTTTTATCTTTAGAAGATAGTTTGTTTTACTCTTTTAATTTATTTACCAAACTAAGATTAAATTAAGTTTTCATTCTGTTAAACTACGTTTTAAATTGTGAAAACAACTAAGACAATTAAAATTATTACTATAATGTGTGTATGTCCAACATTATACTTTCTTGATTTAAGTTGAGTTTTGATTTAGAATGATACAATAAAATTGGCACCATTTTCCTTATATTCGTCAGTGTTTATTTTATTTATAATGATGTTTATACCATTTCAAAATTAGAAAATATTAACTAGTAAAGTAACTTACATTTTCGATGAACTGTATTATTACAACTCACATTAATTAGCCTTCTGTAATAAGTTCTACAACTAAGCTATAAAAAGTACAGGATTTGGAAAACTCCTTTCTTCACAAAATAATTGTTTAGTTGTTCTGTGTTAGTAACATAAAAATTTCACATGAAAACATTTACATTTCTAAAGTCGTTTGCGTTCGATAAATTCATAATAAATAAATTATGTCTGGTTCGGATTTGACACTTCTCATATAAATCGGTTGGACCGTAAATAAGCAATTTACCCGATTATCAATTATACATGACATATCGATTTGTTTATGTAAAAGAAAGCACTAAAAAGCTCCTCCACTAGATAGCGACTATAGCAAAAATTGATTTTTGCAGTAAACGAATGAACCAATGATAGTCAAATAAGTTCCTTTTAGCTTACATATTAAAAACTTTACATAGTTTGAAACTTAGATATCAATACAAATACGAAATAGTGCAAATAGTATACGAGTTGTTTATTGAGTTTTGAAAACTAATTTACTTTTATACATGTAAAAAAATTTAGATGGGTTTTCATGGAGAAATCAAGAAAGTAGCGGAGCGACATCTAGTTTAATTTCGGGAACATTTTTTTTTATCATTGGCTATTTAACTGTTTTGGAAAGGTATTTTAAATTATTCATATAATCATAAGTACCTATTAACATAAATTGTTATAGTCGCCGTTTGACATTGTATAGAACTTAACAAGTCAAATAAATTGTTACAGATTGATGAAATCAAAACGTTAGAATTTTACTTTTCAAAAACTTTAATATTTTTTATTACAGCAAAATGCCTCAAAGGAAATATCAAAGATTAACAAAACAGCGCATGTGTAAAAGAAGACACTATAACGATCATTTTTGTTTATCTTAGCTAAAAAACAAAAATGATCCAGAGCTGCTTGCCATCGAAAAAGAAAATCAAAAAAATCAATATATTAAAAGAAAAGAAGAGAAAAAGGTTGTCCAAAATAAAGATAAAACTCCTCGGTCACAAAAAGAACCAAAGTAATGGCAGTACTATTATTTTCGAACTAAGTATAATAATTCGGTTTCGTAATAAAATATTTTCACACACTTTTACTAAGTATAATAAAAGTGAGTGAAAATATTCATTAATTGTCATTTTGATTAATCAACAAGAGATGTGTTCGGAGGACAAAACGCTTGCGGTGGGTCAAAAAGCATCTCACCACTAATTTCTTTTAGATGTCAGAAGTGAGTGCTGGATGCTGGATCTCCAGCAGTAAGCGCTTTTGCCTTTCAAACGAATTAATTGAAAGTCCTTTCCGAAACTGGGAGTTAATTGAATACTTAATGTCGATTATTTCAAATGTAGGGCCGCCCTTTGAGTTTTTTATCACCACATACAACAATAAAAGGTGTTTCACGTGATAATGTGCACTTTAAAATGGCCTAATTTAAAATTATTATAAGAGCCTTAACAAGATAATGGTAGTAAGCGTTCATAATTATTTAAAAAAATATTATTCCTAAAATAATGTCGAAACTTAAATGGTTCATTAAATCAATAGTTGTCATTCATTGTTGACTTGATTTAGTAAATAACCTGTAGATAAATTAAAGACTGTGATTTTAAATTATTACCAAAGAATTACCTAAATATAAACCAAGAAGACTTTAATGATTAAGTTCAGAACCAAATAGCTACTCAAAAATCAAAGATGCACTTGGGTCAGTTACCTGGCTAAGTGCAACACGGTCAAGGATCTCATCTAGGTATATTTTGTTTTGTTTGTTTTTATGCCAATGTTTTATAAATAAAGTATATATTAAGATTATATAAGTGTTTATTGTGAAGTACCCAAATTAAAGTCTGTTATATCATTTACTCCAACACCTCGTCATTATCATATGCAGATATCATTCTCCACGTACGGTGTCATTTGCCTCAACATGAATAATTCTAAATTTAAAATTATTACAGTAAATATTATAATTCGATGAGCGCCTTTCATTTTAAAATTCGATTTTGCACCCATAAATTACATAAAAATGGATAATAAGTCATGTATTATTTTTTATTAATAAGTCATGCACTGCGAAATTAATATCATAAATTCAAGAAGCTTGAATATTTTCACGGTAGGTACAAAGTTATTTGGAAAATGAAAAACGAGAACTAGCTTATTTATGTTTTGGAAAATATCTGAATGGTCTACACATTAGTTTGTATAAATATTTATAAAGTAATAATTTTCTTATGCTGACCATGACAAAATTGCTCTTGTGTTTCTAGGATCCCAAAGGATAAAAGTCTAGCTGAAAAATGGAGGACAATAATACCAGCCAAAGTTATAAAATGATGCGTTGTATTCTAATACAATTAATAAAAATAAAAAAAACGTTTCTATCCTTTTAATTGATTTATACATTAAAGATGATTATAATAACATTTATATACTTGTTTTATTTCCTACAAAATAAATATCGGTAAAGCGATAAATAAAAACTATTTATCGGTTACATTTCTAACATCATCATTCATAATATCTGTAAAAATTTATAAAATTCTGTCTGTAAATGTTTAATTTAGGTCATGTAACATTATCATGTGACAAATGTTTTTAGGCATTCACCGTTGCCTCGCATTTCTGCTGCATATAATGATGTCGGTTCTTATTTGCCTAATCTAGATATATTTTTCAACTCGCAGTTAAGTTTTAAAGCTCAGATTCAGGAATTCTTTAGTTCTATTGACTAGATTGGGTTGGGTAAAGGACTGGGTTTGACGTGCTCTCTGAAAGCCTGTGATCTGTGTTACGGGTATTTTGATCTGACTTTTCACTGAGAACCGGAGAGTGCCTTAGCCTTCTTATTGGTGTTTTTATCAGTGGTTGAGTGAATTGTAGGTGTCGTCTAAAATTACACTTATATGTTAACAATGCTGTGTCAACCTATAATTGGTATATATATTAGATTTAAACCTAACTGTAATTTACTGAAGTAAGTTGAAATATGTATGCTGTTGGTTGTCCATATGAAATAAATAAATAAATTATAAAATATTACCTATTTATGAAATTATTAAAAACGCGTGGACATCCTACAAAACTACTAAGACAGAGATGAAGAGTTACTAATTTACTCTCTCACTCTGCCCGTTTTTAATGAAACACTGCACAATCCAGTTTATTTTGACATTCGTGGATACGACAGAACTAATTCTGTTATAATGGTTATAATACTCTAGTATTGTTGACTTAAATCGATAAATGTGTTCTGTGATCAAATCTCTTTACGTGTAAAGACCACCAATCAACGTGCCATTAGCGGAATTGTGTAAACGCAAATAAAAAAGAAGAAGAATTTATCACCTATACGAAGTTTGATAATAAAAAAATCACATAAATTACAGTAAAATTATAACGGAAAACATTAAGACGCAGATATATAGCGAAACATATTGTAAATAAAAGTGTGAACGCAATGTCGAATAAAAAGTAAGTATAAAATCCAAAAAATGTAAAGATTTTTTGCGTGATTGTTACCTCGGGACCTTTCGTTGGAGTTATGTATATTATTTTATATTTCTTTAGATATGGTCTTATTGTATCCGACAAAGTGAAACTGCAACATCCTGTTTTTCAAGCCTCAAGAAATGTATTTGGAAACGACTCTGAATCTGATGAGGAATCAAATAAAAAGCCAGTTTTACTACGACCTAGTGACAATATAAACAGACAGGTAACTATCTCAATTGTCCTAAACTAATACAGGAAGGTTTTTTTATAATAATGTGCCTACTTTAAGTTAATATGTATTGAAGTTTTGCTTTGCTTATAACTGCTCAGGCGAAGATAGCTCAAAATAAAGCTATTTGTGAAGATCCAACAGTTTTTCAATATGATGAAGTTTATGATGACATGAAAACTGAGAAGGAAGAAAAGAAAGATAAGAAAAAAGAAGATAAAAAGCCAAGGTATATAGAAAATCTATTAAAATCAGCAAACAAGCGAAAGATAGAAAATGAAAGGAGAATTGAAAGACAAGTGAGTCTTTTAAAATTATTATTGCACTCTTAATGTATTAGTCTTGTGTTAAATGCTTAAGGATTTTATTTAAACCTATATCTGCTCTGGACTGCGAAATTGCAACTGGTTATGTTGCAGTCTTTCAAACCTTTCTTTCAATAGGTCTTTATAAGTCCCGTTAATTGCTAATGCGAATATAGACTATAGAACCTTCTCTAAATAACACCCCTGTAGTATTAGTTAAATATAGAAAGTATAGATAGTAAAACATGCAATTGATAAATTTGATTTAATTTAATTTGTTATGAATAATCCCCAAAATATTGTTAAAATAATTTAATCAAAATAGCTTTAGTTTGTTAATTTATTGCAGTAATTTTTGGGAAAGGTTAATTTTTATGTCAACCATAACAAGTAACAATAAAACTTAGCATTAACAATATAATTTACAACACAAACATGACAAAAATTGTGTGTGATCTCAAACCAACCCTACTCATTAAGTGTAATTGTCAACCAATGATTTGTTGTTAATAATGGTACTGATTGTTGAATGCCATAACATCACCAAAATGGCAGCCAGACACATTAGCAACTTGTGGGGATTATACCATTTACAATAAAAAGACTAAAAAAATATATAATATATGAGGACACAACCCCCCTTTTTAAATATTTAATTTACAGCTATTTCATAGACATTGTTATTGTTATCAAACAGACATTGTTTATATCATTAAGTGCAGCTTAAGCCAGTTTTGAGGCACATGTGAATCGTTTTTTTTTTCACATATGAAATATTTGTGAGAATGAAATAAATTGTTTCATTCTTTTTTGTAATCAATCATAGATACAAAAAGAAAGAGAAGAGGAAGGTGACCAGTTTGCTGATAAGGAAGTGTTTGTTACTACGGCATATAAAAAGAAATTGGAAGAATTGAAACTTGAAGAAGAAAGGGAAAAAAGGGAAGAGTATTTGGAGTCTATAGGAGATGTAACTAAGCAATCCGATTTAGGTATACATATTATCATTAAAATAGAAAACCATTATTTGTCTAATTTAGTTTGATTCTGTTTATTGAAATAAGCTCCTTATTAAAATTTGCCTCAAACTCAATTAGCAAACTATTTTTAGTGATTTAATGAATATTATTTACTGGATTTGCATATCAAATGTACTGTTTTGTGAATACTAATCATTCAATTAGTAGTTAAGTAATACTTCTCAGTTGTATACTCCACTACTGAAGATCTTACTTGTCCTGGAATGCTTAGGTTCAAGAGTCAATTGACTGCTTTCATTTCTTCATGTCATCAGCCTGTCTAAAAGCCCTAACACAATTCATAAGAGTCAGATTAATAGGTTGTAGAACACCCTCGTGATCTCTTTCCATCTACCTTATCAAATTAATAACCAGTTTAAATTATCTATCTTGTTTTCCTATCAACCTTTCAGTACGTCTTTCGGCTAACAAGAACATATGTGAAATAAACTTACCAGCGCTTAGCAGAAGTAACAACTTTTACATAAGCTTATCTATCTTTGATGGAATTTTAAAATATAGCATCTTTGCATAGTATATATTTCTTTAGTAACTTGTGAATACAATATTGATCAAATATTAAAATCATATGTATTGGTTATACAGGAAACGATACAGAGGTGTACACCTCAATATTTGTCTAATTATCCATTTTTGGCCTGCCCTAGGAATAGACAAAGTTATTTTATTTATTTTTAATTGAAAAAGCAGCGTTATTTTAAGTTTCTATAATTTATAGGTGGTTTTTACCGACATCTGTATGAACAAAAACTGGGATCTGAGAAGAAAAAAGAAGGGAAGGATGCCCTTAATGTAAAAGATAAAACACCCCATACTGTCACTAAAGAAGATAAAATAACAAGTAATACTTCAGAAATAAGTAAGAAATCGAGTATGTCACTTGAATCATCTAAGAAAAGGAATTACAGGAAAAGAAAATCATCTAATGATGTAAAGAAACTGCTTTCTGATGGGGAAATTGAAGAGTCAGATGAAGAAATTAACCGTCTCAATCTTGATGATATAAGAATGGCAAAAAAATATAAAGTGGGCCAAGAAAACATAGATGCAGATTCAGACTTTTCAATTGACGAATCAAGTGATGAAGACGCTGTAAGTAATGAAGGCGAAAATACAAATATTTCGAAGAAAGCAACCGCAGAAGTTGATCCTTCTATGAATGCGACTATAATTGGTGATAGTAAGACCGATGAAAAGGTGGTGTGTCAACCTAAAATAAAAATAGATATTTGGAAAAAAAGAACTGTAGGTGAAGTATTTGAACAGGCTTTAAAAAGATATTATGAGAGAAAGGCATCCAGGGGTGTCTGAAAGTATGTGTGAAAAAAAAAATTGGATTAGGTACATTTTAGGTTTAATTTACTTAGGTACATTTGTTAATCCATTAAATTTTTTTTTTTTTTAAAAAGCCTGGTTTATTATTCATATCCTAGACCAGCGTTTCTCAACGTGTGCTCCGTGGTAGCCCTTAATAAGGAAGTATTTAAAAAAAAGAAAGCACTAAAAAGCACCTCCACTAGATGGCGACTCCTAACAACAGTTGATTTTTGCATGAAGCGAATGGATCATTTCCGTTCCTTTTAACTAACATATAAAAAAAACGGAAATTTGCAAAGTTCGAAACTTTGATATCAATACAAAACGAAAAAGTAGAAATATTATATGAGAATTTACTTTTATACATCAAAGAAAACCGGAAGGGTTGTCATGAAGAAATCAAGAAAGTACTGTAGCGAGCGACATCTAGTTTAATATCGGGAACTAATGTTTTTTTGTAAATACTTCCTCATTGCAACTATGACCTATGTAGCAGCAGATTTGCTTGCTCTTACTGTTTTAAGTTTGTTTCCTTTAGTAGTATGAATATGTGTGTATATATATATATGAAAAAGACCTCCACATTGAGAATAATTTGGAAGATATGTAGTTAAAGTTATCTATCTATATATATAAAAATGAATCGCAAAATGTGTTGGTAAGCGCATAACTCAACAACGCCTCGACCAATTTGGCCAAATCTTTTTTTAAAATGTTCGTTGAAGTTCAAGGATGGTTTTTACGGCGAGAAAAATTAGAATTATTGCTGGAAAAACCCTAAAAATAGCCCTTTTCTTTTTCCCATACAAATGATTTGTAACTAAAACGTAGTCAATTTGAGCTTTATTGCTATGGTATAAAGTTCATATTAAATTACAAGCACTCACTGTTGTCTAAGCAATGTAGGTGTGTTCCTAACGTCAAAGATCATATCTATCAAAACAATGTGCGTGTGTGCGTTGGAGCACAGAATACATAGTTGGAGGAGTTTAATGTCGCGTTCCGAAACTCGCGTTTCTTTTGTATTAGTTTCGGCACGCGAGATAAAATGCATCAGTTTCCACGTCATTACATGTATTGCCGGAACATTGATGAAAATACGCTCTGTAGTAGCAAAGCTGTTGGGTCCTAGATAGCTCATTGGTTAGAGCAGTCCCTGGATCGCGAATGGGTTCGAGTCCCATTCCGGGGTACAGGTAGATGGATTCTTCCAGCATTTTTCCTTGAGAATGTTTATATATTTTTTTAATTCGAATAGTTTACTTTTATAATGCTGTTGTGTGTAATGTGTTTTTATGATCATAAAAATCTCTTTTTACTATATTTAATACTATTACTATTAATACATTGCAATAATAATTATGATTCACATGATTAACAATAAAGCGATTACTTACTTTTAAATCCTTATATATGTTTTATTTAATTATTTTTTATTCACAACGCCCTATCACCAGGGTGACGGTTCTGTTCAGGAGAATTTTTTTAAATACGTAGGCAAAAAAACTGCCACATTACAAATCTTTTTGACAGGACGAAGTCTGTCGGGTCAGCTAGTAGACTATAATTAGGACAATATAACTTAATAGACAATTTAGAGCAACTAAAGCATGCTACGTTACATTTTCTCTTAAGAATGTAGGTATTCAAATGGACAGGGAACCTCTTCTGATACGTCCACTGGTTTTGCTATTCAAAAGTTCCTCGATATCTAAAACACTGGGAATATTTTAAAGATGTACAGTGGTCAAAACAACTGTCAAATTCTCCACTTTATTTTAAATTTTATTACATTGAGGGTAGAGTTAAAATCAATTACGAAAATTTGACATTGGTAGTCTGACATGCAGTCGTGTACGTTACCTTAGGTCTTTGACTATATTGTGACTGCTCTATCGAACTCCTCCCTAATGAACCAAGAATTTATTTCAAAGTCCAAGAGCGGCTGCCGCCATATTGAGAAAATTACACAAACCAGAATCCAGCTAGTGGTATCTGCTATATGCACTGCAGAACATAGTTTATTTTAGCATTTGTCACTGTTTCACTAGCAATTAATACCTTTGCAGAACACTTCTGTTGCAATGTTGGCGGTTCGGATGTCTGACTGATTTTTAATGTTTATTTACGCTCTAAATTGGCTTATATAATGAGAGATGAGTGTGTGTGTGTACACACACTACACTGTTACTAATGTTTAAATCGACAGCAAATGAAAGCCAGTGTGTTTTGTAGATGTTTATTTATAACACTAGTAGATACACCTAACTTACTATAAAATCTTTAGGAATACATTTATGTTATGTATAATTGTTCAAATATTAAGTTACTAAATATCTACATAAGATATATCTAAACGTACATAACATTGAATACAGCTCAACTATAATTCTATATTATTAAAGAGGAATAAGAAAAGGAATGAAGTTATGACGAATTAACATCTATTAACGAAATGAAATAAGTACAAACCTAATAAATATTTTAAAAATAATAATATAATTTAAAATTTTAATAATACTGAGATTACAACGATGACGTTTTAACGAAATAACATGATAAATTAGTAACGGTTTTTTTAATATAGCATTTTTTATAGACTGGCTACATACATAATTAGGAAAAATTATAAATACAAACATTCAAATTTCTAAACTTTCCCGCAAATAAGACCAATAGCCATTCCAGCGAAAAAAGACGCCAAAAAGACATGTGTTTCTGTAGCATGGTATTGTTCATCTCCAATAAATTGATAATACCAATTTTTTGCTTTTTTTTCTTTTTTCTTCAATAAATCTTCAGCTTTATCCATTTTACGATCCACAAATCTTTCTACCTATAACAAACCATAAATTCAACATTTAGGTATGTGCCGCTTCATAACGTCGACACTTGTTAATGTAGGTACAAATAAAGCTACCCACCCCTAATCTACATTTACTTTTACGGAGAGTAGTTAGGTACTTTTTATTCCAATAGTTTTATTTATTAAGTAATTATCTGGCATAGAATGATAAATTACAGTACAATAGTATAGTAAGATATTAATAATTTGGTTATATGTACTCACTCTTACCCGCACCGAAGACTAAACTTCGTATCTAGTCGTTCGTAATTTACCAAATAAAAAAGAAATTGAATGAAGAAAGAACTAATAAATAGTAAGAATACTATTATTATTAGCACAGTTCTTACTCCATTCAAATTCTCGTATATTGTTTGAAAATATTTGCTTAAGTTATGACATTTTCTCAAGTGTTAAGTTATAACATGTGTAAACGAAGCGTAGCAAATTGTGGCCAATCTAAATCATTAGAAATCGAGATCCGTCAATCGTTTCGTAGAAGTATGCGTTAGGACACAACAGATCATCCAACAAGTGAGCAAGGTTATGGGTCAGTGCAAATCTAACGGAAGATCCGCGAGATATCCCGTAGTGACTTATCCGTCCAGTGGTTGAATATCATTTCAATTAAGTACTGACGAGATGCGACAAATCTTTCGTCAGATTTGCACCAAACCCCACCGGCTACCGCATGTCTTGATGCTTCAAAAACCACTGGACGGAAAGTACCGTGTTTTGTGCTGAGATATTGGAATCGGACGATCCGTATGCGGCAGGCACTCGCAGTGTGGATTCGACTAGAACACCTATACGGACGCATTAAGACAAGCGCGTAAACTTCCATACCTATGTCCATTCATAACAAGTCTTCGGGAACGTTTTGCTCTGCGAGGTCGTGGTCGGTGACTACACATTACCTTACCACTGCTCCTATTGTTGGGTCTCATTGTATAACAATACAATCCTATTGGTCTTCCACTTAAATGGATTGAATTCGATTTTAAACAAATGTGCTCAACGTTTGAGGTTAAAATTATCAAAGAGGGTTGTATGTTGTACGTCCGGCTACGTCAAATATAAGCCCATCGAGCTACGCGGCAACTCTGTAGTAATAAAGTAATAATAAAGTGAAAACTAGTACTATTAAAACTTGACGGTGATAGCACCGACCAAGAAGAACCAAGTCTCATAAGGATGCCCTCAGAAAATGGTAGTTAAACGATGAAGCGGTATGCGCCCGAATGTCTATATTTATATAGGGTAAGTTTTTAATCTGAGCTAATTTTTTTCTTACGGTTTAGTGTCGTTAGTAGAATAAAGTTAAATACAACAAAATATGTAGGAAAAAGAAAAGTTTTTAATTTTTCATATTTATATTTGTGTTTAAGATCCTCGTGTTTTGTTTCAACATTTAGTACATAACTCTGTAAGAAAAATTTTGAGCATTGTTATAATTCGATAAAAATGACATAAAAACGAAAACAAAAACGTAATTTCATTTTAACATGATTACTTTTTATTTCGGAATTACTTCTAGTAGGAGAAATTCTATCAAGATTAAGTATTTTCTCTTATTTATAGTATTAAGCTACTACTTACATAATAGTTATCTCTTTGTACTTTCATTGTAGCAAAACATAACCAGCCTCGCAGTGACGTAGCAGGTCTTGTAGGGGCCTGTATTGAAATTAGTTGGGAGGCCCAAATGAAGAGTATAAATTTTGTTTAGACACGTTAGAGGCCTCTGTAGCCCAGGGGCGCCGTATCATTTGTACTGTCGTAGCTACGCCCCTAAAGCTTAGGATCTAAAGCGGAACGACAAGCAACGACAACGCAGTTATAAGGTGCGCCAAAATTCTATTATTCAAAAAAGGGCCTTATTGTCCCGACAAATCAGAATATATCCAATGTATACTACCACTATAGACGCTTTAAAGCCTAATACAAGGAAGCTATGTAAAATCAAATTAAAATAAACGGCATGGTTTGAATCAATTAAAGCTTACAGAAGTGACATCTCTACAAAAATGAAACATGAAAATAGATTCATTTGCCTAAAGGCAAGAAAGCCTTACAAAGCAAATGGGTATTCAAATTTCCATACTTTATGTCGAGAGTGAAAGCACAATGAATTAGGCTCATAATCCATCTCATGAAGTTCACGGTAGTACAAAACATATCAAGCTTAGAAATTTCTTATAAAGAGAGTGCATAGATGATAAAGCATTAAAAATGGAGAATATTGATGGTGAACTACTATAAAACCGAACCTACTATAAATATTTATGACTGCCTATATGTTTCCCTGCCAATAGTTGTTTTAACAAACGATATAATTATCATTGACAATTAAATAAAAAAAGGTATTTTCCATTGCCGAAGTATATTTTATAAATTAATAAAATTATATAGTTTTACACTATGGCTACACACTGTACTTACATGCTTTAATGAAAAAATCTAGTGTCTTGAATGTCATTCTTTAAAATCACTTTTAATATAGATCGCTAAGAAAAGACAACATTTCACAAAGTTACACCATGACCATAACATTATTATATCGATGTTTTAACGTCAATAAATGTACTTATTTAAATATTGTACATATATCTGTTACGCTCAAAGATCGAAATCGCTCATTGAGCGAAAAAAAAATAAAATAAAAAAAACAGTAAAATAAGAAACAGCGAAATTCTTGTTATGGTTCTCACGGAAACGCTCACGACGCGTTGTGGCAATCACAGAATAACGCGTTGTGGTCGAATAGCATGTCAGCCATGACACGGATTTCGCTATTTAGTTATTCTGTGATTGCCACAACGCCTCATAAGCGTTTCCGTGAGACCCAGAACACAAATTTTGCTATGTGGTTATTTTACTTTAGCCACAAAGCATTGTCATCTATTTTTTCGCTGGATAAGCGATTTCGATCTTTGAGGGTATCATATCCATAGAATTATAATAATTTCGCATTACAAGGCGAGATGTGATTTATGGAATATGCAAAATAAATATTGCAACTCTGTTTTATAACTAATATGCAATCGTTATCTAATAGGCAATTATTCGTTTCTATTTGACAAGGTCGTTTTTCAATGAATGACTGACTACAAACCCTATAGGTACCTAATGAAGTTTTGTAAAAGTCACCGAAAACCATGTGTTAATCTGGATTCACGACGACGCGATACCAAAAAAGAATCCTCCTGTAAAACCGGCTGAATAATAAGAATTTTGTTGGACAAACAATAATACCTGAAACAAACAAGCATATAATTAAATTTAAACAATAAAAACTATTTTTTTAATGGAAATGACTAAAAAATTAAAAAAAAAATAATCGAGCGGAGGTCTTTTTTAGGTTATAAATTATATGTTTTATGTGTTCTATGAACAATATTTAACGATATGGGCAGATACTTTCAAATCAATCGGTTACTATCTGATCGCTGCTTTGGTCTTTAATTTATTACCACCTGGGTTCAATTTTTTGACAACGTTCGCTGTCATGTTCAAAACTATCATGATAGTTTTGAATATTATGGGTGTTATGTATATTTGGAATATTCCCCTTAACGCCGTCTCTTGTGTTAATTTAATAGTGTCTATTGGTATTGGTGTAGAATTTGGAAGTCATTTAGCGTACGCGTCTGCTACTAGTCAAGAGCCTCCTAACGAAAGAGTTTTCACTAATATCCCTGTTATAGTGTTGGCCTTTTCGTATTCACAAGTAATAGAGGTCTTCTTTTTCAGGATGTTCTTTAGTTTAGTAATATTCGGCTTATTATACGGAATAATATTCTTCTCAGTTTTCTTGAGTTATTTGAATGACTTGTTCATGAAATAAATGTTTAATATAGTAAGTACAATTTAGTTGACAGATCTTATATACAGCGTCATTGTTTGTGTGCTTTTAAGTTTGTTATCAAATTGTTGTCGTTACAAGTTTTGTAAAAATGTGAAATATATTTAAAACATCCTTAATTTTAATTACTCTTATAGTTATAAGTTTTTTGTAAATTGCATGACATTGTTACATTTCTATATTTTAAGACTTTGCAACGAGTGATCTGAATTAAGATTTTATTTGACTAATTACTGGATCCCAAGCCGGTGGTATATGCAAACCTTCATCTCTGTTAAAATTCGGATGTTTTTTTAACTTCAATTGCATAAGATTTGACAATACGCGAGCTATTGAAATTAAAAACATTCAAATTTGAATAAAGATGAAGGTTGGCATATACGCAATGTTATTATTTGATGTGAAGTATCAATCGATACGCGATGTTTCTCAACATTGAGTACTTTTTTATTTATAATAAACTCGCTCTTGACATCAATTTTCTGGTCTAAGTAGTCCAAGGACATAAATGAAAATAAAACTTACTATTTACAATATATTAACAAATATAATAGTTATATTAACAAAATACGCCCTAGTGATAATATTAAGTTATTTTCTTGTTTTACAACAACATACTTGTCTGAGTCATGTGATTGTTCAGTAACATATAACTACCTACATATCGCCGATGACGTAACTATACTTTGTATTTGTTAGTCATACTTTTTGCAGGAGAAGAAAAAAACGATTATCTTATTCCGTAAGTAAACATTTTGTAGTCGATAAAGCAGCAACTTCTACAACTTTTTATTAGCTAAGATAATTTAAGATAGAAAAATATTTATTCCACGAGAAAATTGAGTTTCGAGTGTATTATTTTAAACTCTTGGGTTACAATATCTCCTATTGTCACTTCATCGACGATACGATATCTTGCCACAGGTTTCCTCGTGGTGCTCTGATTATGTGGCAGATGGATGAACAGTTAGTATTTAGTAATGATAGGGTTAGCTCGGTGGCGTAGTGGATAAGCGCCGCGGCCCGCGATCGTTGTCGTTAAGCAAATTTCGCTAGGGTCGGTCACGGGATGGGTGACCAAAAAATTATTATCTCGAGCTACTCCGTGTTTCGGAAGGCACGTTAAGCCGTTGGTCCCGGCTGCATTTGCAGTCGTTAATACGCTCCAATCCGCATTGGGCCAGCGTGGAGGGTCACGGCCCATCCTCCATAAGGAAGGCCTGAGCTCCTGCAGTGGGGACGTAAAAGGGCTGATGATGATGAATGATTGGTGTGGTTACAATGTGGATTGAAATTAGCCTTATAATTGGTCCGACGTTTTATAAAATTACATTGATTGATATGTCAAGTAATTATAGTGTATTATAAACATCCAAGTCCAATAACTCTTCATACTGACCTTTTCAAACCAATCCGGCGAACGCCCCGTTGACTCTTTTTCAATTTTGTCACTAATTTTGTCAACTTTTTTATTGATTTTTTCCCAGTTGATATCAATGTAACCTTTTTGACTTGCAATATGAAGTAGAATTACTCCTCCCCCTATACCAACAGCAGCAACCTTTCCAATTTTCATAGTCATGAAACCCGTGATCCTGAAATAGACTTTTGTTAAGTAAAAAATTAAAGAAAAGAAAATGTTTCAAAATCTGATAATGAAGAATAAAGGCCAATATAAGGTAAATGTAGAACTATATCTGCTTGGTAAAAAACATATTGTGGTACAGTGGGAGAGGATGCTCTGTGGCAGTACCACAACAATGTTAAGTTAGGTTAGGTGTTGGGGCTCCAATTTTCCACTTAAGATGCTTTTATTGGTCCTCTGTAAGTAATAACCATAACAATGTTATTAATATTAACCGTCCTTCAATAGAAGTTTATCAAATAATTTTTAACTTTAACAAAATGATATAAATATGAAATTGTTTCTTTTCTAAATATAATTTATTTTTTAGAAATCGTAAAATTTCAATAGTATCTATTGTAAATCATCAAAAATGAAACCGACTTAAAAAAATACGTATTAAAGAGAAACAACTGATACCGAACAAATAATACCAAAAAATTTCACAATGCATTGTGGTCACATTAAAATATCCTCATAGCGAAATTTGTGTTTTGGCTTGTATGGAAACGCTCACGCTCACGGGACGATGTTGAATACCGCTGTCGCCAAGTATTTACCTAACTTCTTAATTGTCAAATTCATTGACATTTTGTCCAGCAGTCTTGACTTCGTTAAGAACAATTTTAATTTGTCTTTGACTTCAGCCTTGCGAAATCTAGTAAACTAAAGGAAGAAGAAAACTAGTTGGTAAGAAGAATAGTCATCTCTGAAAAGACCAAAATAATGGTATTTCATCTCATTGGGGTGTTCGAAAAGACCACAATCATCTGCGTGTATTTATTCACCCAAAGTTGATGCTCTTTCTATCGTCCCAAATGGCGTTTTGTGAGCTTTGTCGAATATGTATGCCTCACACTTGACTTTGTCGTCGGATAAGGTAACTACATCTTCGCAATGGACATGGATGTCACCAGATGGTAGACATAGAAATGTCAAAGACTTTATAATCGCTAATATACCCTATCAATTCCTAAACATTGAAGTAATCAACAAGTTAAACTTCAGTACTAACCACAGAATGATAAGAGGAACCATAAAAATATGTAACACAAAAATAAAACAAGAAGAAAATTTAATATTAAAAATCCCCATGTGATTCCATGTATGCCAAAGAAAGTTAAATTGAAACTAAAAAAAGACACTCCCAAATATGAAAATTAAAAAATTAAAAATTAAAAAGCACAACTCAGCAAAAGTACGACAAAATGGAACAGTACTTACTAAACATATATAAAAGAGTAACCAATAACACAAAGATAGACAGAAGAGGTGAGTGTGATTGGCGATGATAATAATTGCCCTATATGTAGATGATATCATGTTGCTTTAGTGGCCTGAATGTAAAGAATATCAGCGAATCAAGGGAAGACTAAGTGGAGAGTTTGAAATGAAAGTTTTAGGGACAGCTAGTCATATTCTTGGTATGAAAATCACAAGGAAAGATGGAAAAATTTGCTTGGACCAAAGTAACTACATCAATAAGATATTGAAGAAATTCAATATGGACGATTGTAAGTCAGCACCAACTCCGATGGAAGCTGGACTTAAATTAGAAAAAGGAGATTTAAAGTCAGGAACTTATGATTATAGAAATCTTCTAGGTTGCCTTATGTATGTTGCAGTATGTACGAGACCGGACATTTGTCACCCAGTAAGCTTCTTGAGTCAATTTAACGAGTGTTACTCAGAAGTACACTACAAGGCAGCTAAGCGAGTGCTTCGATATTTGAAAGGTACGGTCGGCCAAGAAAGTGGTCTACCAGTTTTGACAACATTTCCCGTGTCTTTAAAGCATCGCTAAAGGCGAATCTTAGAATTGCATACAAACAATAAAAGAGATGCACAATGCTGACGTGTTGTCGTAGAGCACAAATGTTATTTTGTCCTTTGCAGCCTATACATTAGATAATAATTTGCAACAACAAATAGTCTTCACAATATTTCATAAATTTAAAATTTAAGTAGGTCACTTCAAAGTGGAAACTATTTTGTTACGAAAACTCTTTTACTGAAAAAGAATATATCACTTGACAATTCACGTCAAATATTTTCTCGGCATTTTCCGTAGGTATTTTCCTAATTAATTTACACTACAATGCCCCAAAATTTATCCATTAACGAAAGAGCACAAATAATCGCATTACACAATGATGGTTTGAATATTAGTGAGATTTCTAGAGAATTAAATGTGTCGGTAAGTATTATTATGTTTGACGTGAGTTTAATGTAAAATCTCAGACCAAGTCAGAGTGTAAATTTTTTTTTTTTTTCTGTACATATTTTATTTTTGATTATAGAGACAAGCTGTCCGTCTTTGGATAAGACGAGAAAGCGAGGAGGGGAATTTGAACGCTCGGAGTCGTAGCGGTCGTAGACCTGAAATATCAGATACTCAGCGAGTCTTCATGAGCCGGAGTTATGAGGAATCTGGCTTTATACCAACGCGTTATTTTGCCGACACATTTGACGTGACTCTCCAAACCATTAGAAACCATTTACATTACATGGGCTTACATCACAGGCGTTATGCAAAGAAAATTTATATGACTGACGCTCATAGAATGGCCAGATTAAATTTCGCCAAAGAATATTTGGATTTTGATTGGAGTAACACTGTTTTCTGTGACGAGAAAACTTTTAAATCCAGTCAACACGGGCGTCTACACCTTTGGCAATTCAATAAAACGCGATACACGCCAAATCATGTCGTGCCAAATAGAGAATCGGGTTGTATCTCGGTAAATTTGTATGGATGGAAGACTGCTGATGGTGTTGGAGACTTGACCTTTTTGCCACCACGAGCAACGGCATCAGATTATGTTGATGTTCTCCAAAATGCTATGTTGCCATCCGTCCGGAACGTTTATCCAGAAAATGAAATGCGTCAATTTAATTATTTACAGGATAAATGTCCCTTACATAAAGCAAGGGTAACACGTGCTTAGTTTGATGCACATCCGGAAATAAACTTGATACCATGGCCTTCAAAATCGCCAGATCTCAACCCTATTGAAAATATGTGGGGTCTTATGGTTCAGAGATGGTGTAACCGTAATGAACGAACAGCAGAAGCACTACAAGGGCACTAACACAGAAGGGCAGAAGCACTACACAGGAAACACGTGGGTCTGATATCTGCTCAAGACTGGTGGGCTCGATGAGGGAACGTCTCCAAGCTGTTATAGAGGCAGATGGCGGCTACACAAGATTTTAAGAATTATAATTTTATAAAAGAATTGTATATATTTTTTAACAACCAAAGAATTAGCATTTTCACTATCTCTTCTAGTTTTAGCCCTTGTCTCGCACTAAGCTATGGGTCGGCGCAATATGTTTTTCGTCGCTATTCATTTCTGTTATCCGTTATCTCAGTATATTCAGACCTATAACACGCATAGCTTCTTACGCATAGCATTTCACTACCTACTGATTTTTTTTATTTGTATTAAAATATAATTAATCTACATTCTAATGTAGGATATTTGTAGACTTATAGTCTACAAATATACTTTATTTACGATATTCTAACTCTAAAGTATTTAAACATACAAACAGACAGACAGAAAAAAAAAATTTTTGGCTTCTATTAGTCTTATGAAGGCCGTCCATATATTTTTTTTTCCAAAATATCTTACAAATGTAACCTTGTTACATTTTTATTATAGGCATAGATAATTACTGTCAAAGGTTACGTCAAAATGATGAAGATAGCAATAATGACGTGTACTTGACGTGTCAAAAAATTAATGCTACGGAAAATCAACCTTGTTGTTAGTTGACGTAACACGCGAAATTCAACCTTAGGGTGGTAGACCACTTTCTTGGCCGACTGTACATCGCATTATTATCTTTCTTATGAGAAGTCTAAATTAGATCTTGTAGGTTATTATGACGCTGATTGGGCATCCAATCAAGTAGATCGTAGGTCTTATACTGGCTATTTATTTATCTTGGACAATTCGGTTATATGTTGGGAAAGTCGCAAACAGCGAACGGTTGCACTTTCAAGCACCGAAACTGAATACATGGCGTCGAGTGATGCATGTAAAGAAGCTGTATTTTTACGTTCGTTTCTGAGAGAAGTATTTGGCGTTACTTGCGAAATTAAATTATTTAACGATAACCAATCTGCTCAGAAGTTGTGTTTGAATCCTGTACATCATTCGAGGACCAAACACATCGATGTTAGGCATCATTTCATTAGGGAGGTGGTAAACAAGAAAAATGTTATTGTGTGTTACAAACCTACTGATGAAATGTTAGCGGATATTTTAACTAAGCCGTTAGGTAAACCTAAGTTTACAAAGCTTGTATACGACTTATTTAAGGGCCAGTGTTGAGGTTTTATGTAATGTAAAAACTCTATACAAGTTTTGTGTTGGTTGCTAGGCTACTGTTGATGTCCAACTATTGTCAGTGTAAGCTAGAGTTCTCCTGTATATAATTTTATTATAATTGTGAGGAAGCGAGAAAAATCATTGAATAAAGTGGGAAGCTATTCTAGGATAGGAGAAAGAACATCAAAAGTATAGACAATATCAGCAAAAAATACATACAACAATACATGCGAAGAGACAAAAAATAAACACAATAGCGACAGTTTTATAAGAATCTGTATTGTGACACCACTTTGAGAGATCATAGAAAAACAGAAGTGTACCAACAAGACAATGAAAACATCCCATCATACTGCTAAGTGAAGTCAAAAAAGCTGTCATGTCACAAAAAACAACAAAGCACCAGGAGGCGCTAAAATAACAAATAGGCTTCTAAAGGAAACTTTCGATATTATAGGGCAAACATTAACAGACATTTCTAATGAAATTTTACACAATGAAGAGACATCAAAACAATGGACCAAATCAACAATTGTTCTCATACATAAGAAGGGGGATAAAAATAACATACGACAATTATAGACCTATAAGGGTTAATATCTAACATGTATAAAGTTTTTTCAAAGATACTACTTCGAAGATTAAAAAAGGTTCTAGACGAACAACAACCCAGAGAACAAACTGGTTTTTGTACTAGCAACTACTACACCATCGACCATATACATATACATGTGTAGTGAAACAATTTATAGGGAAATATAACAAATATGGAAAATCATACTACATTGCTTTTATTGACTATAGCAAAGCTTTTGATGCTATATATATAGTAGGCTATATTACTTTATCTATAAAACACTATATAAACAGGGTATTAAAAACAAATAAGTAAGAATCATATATTAGATATACCACCAAAGTACAATTAAAGTGCCTTTACAACTAAACCCTTTCTAGGGGGGTTGGCTCAGAGTTCAAAGTACAAAAAGGTGTAAAACAAGGCGCACCCTCTGTCCCCGAAACTTTTCTCTGCCATTCTAGAGGAAATATTTAGGAACCTCGACTGGAATGAGATTGGAGTAAACATAAACAGTAGCAGACTGCACCATCTATGGTTTGCTGACTACCTGTGTTCTTTTTGCAAAAGACCCCAATGCCCTTCAAAGTATGTTGATACAACTGAAAACAGAAAGTGCAAAAGCTGGACTGGCCATGAAAATGAAAAAAACTAAGGCAATGACTAATAACTCAAAAATAAAGCTGATGGTAGGAATGCAAGAATTTGAATATGTGGAGGAATACCTTAACCAGGGACAGGTAACAACACCAAACTTGCAAATGCAGAAGGAAATACAGAGAAGAGTTTGCAATACATGGTCAAGATACTGATCTCTAAAAAGAGTTATGAAATGTAATTAAATTTCTGTATCACTAAAAAGAAAAAATTTTGATACCAGTATACTTCCAATGCTAAGCTGTCAAACATTATGTCATCAAGAAAAAGAAAGAAGTATCCTAAATATTAAACTAAGAGATAGGCTATGTCTTCAAGATATAAGGAGGAAGACAGGTGTGGTTGATGTTATCCTTAGAATGAAGGCCTTCAAATGGAAGCGGACAGGACATATGATGAAATCAACAAAATCAAAATGGACAAAAGATATCACTGTATGGTACCCTTGTGACGGACAACGAAAAATAGGAAGACAGCTAAAGAAGAGCAGCCAGGGATAGAGAGGAATAGGCTGGCGATACAAGTGCTGACATCGGGGAAAACTAAATAAATATAACATAATGTAGAAAGTCAGCGAATAAAGGCAATTTATTTATAAGATAATCCCAAACTCTCGCTTGACAAACTTTAGCTTTTATGTGTCGCTTGTTTTAATGTGCAAAATATTCCCAATTAACTCGCAGCACGTTGGTTCCTGTAACTGCAATCAACTCAATTTTATTTGATTGAATGAGTGATTGTTTTGAACTGTCATTTATAATTTCCCTCTGATTTCTCTGTTCGCTACAATTTTTGTTTCTCAATTATGGATATTTTGTTTTTTCAGGCTTTACAGTTTGATTTTCCTACAAATATTCTGATACTAATTTTGTTGAAAATTTTTTCATTTTTGTGTAACCTAATAACCATTACTTATTTTACCTACTTATATCACCTTAGCAAAGCTCAAACACAGTTTTAGGATAATTTTCAATATATATTTATGATTAATGAGAGCCAAGACCGTTATTTAAATAATTTACAAAACTTTTCAAACTGCGGCATTTTTGTTTTCTACAACACTACAGTAATTTACTCTGCAATTATTTTGAAATTATGAACGAACAAAAAGTTTGTACCTATGCAATGTATAAAAAAAAAACAACAGAACCCACCGTTGAGGATTTTCATACTAAGAATAAACATATATTTTCCTAGTTTCTTCATGTTTACCTTTTAATTACATTTGTATTCTTTCAAAACAACCGAAAGACTTCGTAATCTGCACTGCTAGGTTTCATTTGGGGCCAAATGGGATAAAGGCGTAATATGTGGTAAATAAACAAAATAAGCCCTATAAAAGATTATTTGGAGGAATACAATAGATTGAGATGGAAGAAAAAAAGATGTTTATAAAATGATATAAACAAAATTAAATAAAAAACGATTACTCACCATCCTGACGCAGTGCCTAAAATTAGCTGCTTTGTTGCTGAAGTTTTTCCAATATCAGAAATTGCCTTTTCAATGAAGTTCTTGGCATCATCAACAATTTTTTTGGCATCTTCAGACGCATCTTCTGTTTTTGGTTTTGCCATAGTTATATCTCTGTTTAATGTAGCCAATCCACCGATATCTTTCAAAGAAAAGATGTATTTGGATAGAAAACCATTCACTGAATGCAGATCACAGACTATAGTTCGACTTATAGTTGCAGCAGAATGACATATGGAATAATGTCTGCGACAGCTTCATATTAATAATCTGTGACCACTAGGCATGTCGATACTTCAAAGGCAACTAGATTAATACGAACGAATCTGAACGAAATTTCTTTTTAATTGTATAAAAGAAAATAGATGGAAACTAAATGGAAGTAAGCATAGAGGTTTTTTAAAAGTTACAGAAATGAATAGAAATATTGCTGTGAAATAATTAAAAGTAGCATTTACCTTCGATTCCATATACAATAATATTACCGGGAAATAGTTTTTATAAATAAAATACTAATGCCATAGCAGATAGGCATTTTAGATTCAAAAGTTCTGAAAACAATAACCACTAGGTAAGTTAGTTTTGTTGCTCTTAGTTGTTAGTTAAAGTTATAGCAACAAAACTACATCAAGTCTCAATAACGTTTTTATATTATGTGATGAATGAATGAATAGTTTTTATTGATCAAAAACAAAGGTCATAAAATACAATTAATATAATAAAAAATCCCTTTATTACCCGATATGTCTAAAATATACTAGGTACTCATACAAAAAACCATGATTTCTGGCTAGAATGACGTTTATACAAAGAACAACGTGCAAATAAGCTGTCCTTTCGAAAGTAAGATCTTTTTTAAAACTAAAATCAGTTCGAAATGTTATATTCATACTGGCACTTCCAATAACTATCATATATAACAAATCGATGACATCAGGAACTTTTCCAACTGTGTGGAAGCAAGCCAGGGTTGTACCCATACATAAATCTGGAAATGACGATCTCGTTAATAATTATGGCCCTATTTCCATTCTTTCCACTTTTACAAAAATATTTGAATCTTTGCTTTGTCCTTATATACACCAGCATCTCAAACTCTATATTAGTGATCAGCAGTATGGTTTTGTTGGGCGCCGATCTACAGCAACCAACCTTTTAAATTTCACAGAATCTTTAATACGTTCGGTAGACTCCAGCAAGCAGTATGACTTCATTTATACAGACTTCACAAAAGCTTTCGATAAGATTTCCCACAGTCTATTGATGCATAAATTGTCTGCATACGGTATCAATGACTCTCTGCTCTCATGGTTCAGTTCTTACTTGAACAATCGCTCTTTTAGGGTTGTCGTAAACGGTTCTCAATCTACTAGCCGTGTTATTACTTCTGATGTTCCTCAGGGGTCACATTTGGGCCCTATTTTATTTAGTATTTTTATAAATGATGCTGCTAAAAACTTTAAATTCTCGGAGGTCTTTATGTATGCGGATGATATAAAATTTGCGCGAGAGATCGAATCGGAGAATGATATGAAACTTCTGCAAGCGGATTTGGATGGCTTAATTGAATGGTGTTGTATAAACAAAATGTATTTAAATCCAAAAAAAATGTTTCCATATGAAATGTACACGAAAACACAACCCATTATATTGTGATTATCATATAAGTGGAAACAAAATACAAGAAGTAGAAACAATTAGAGATCTGGGTGTTCTTTTCGATAAAAAAGTAACCTTTTTACCTCAAATAGATAACACAGTCACCAAAGCATCCAGGGCATTAGGATTTGTTATAAGGAATACTAAAGATTTCCATCATGCTGCTACTAAATCTTAATTTACAACAGTCTAGTGAGAAGTATATTACATACAGTATACAGTGTGGTGTGGAGACCACATTACGCCACACACACTTTGCGCTTAGAGCGGATACAGAAATGTTTCCTTTGGCACCTCTCTTTCTCGACGCATAACACTACACAGCTAAAATCGTATATTTCTAGATTGCAATTCTTTAGGATGGACTCTCTAGCATTACGCAGAGATCTCTTGGACATGCTTTTTCTTTACAAACTAATGAGAGGTAAAGTTGACAATTCTAAATTACTGAGTTATTTCCGATTTCGAGCCCCATCAAGAATCCCGCGTAGTCGTATCCAGTGGCGTAGCTAGGTAATCTAGGGCCCTGGGGCAAATAAAAAAATGGGGGCCACTGCTATCAAAACTGGTAAGGTTTTTTGAAGTAAAATCATTAAATATACAAATACTTTAAAAATGCTAAGCAACTTTATCATCAGCTCTTTTATTTTTATACTTGGTGTAGGTATTGGGTAATAAAACGAAATAGAAAAGATTCAAGGGTTTATTATATATTCATTTATTCATAGATACGTTGCACCAGCTTACACTTATTTAACATATCGCCATGCAAGCTATTTACAAAAATTATCAATAGAAATATTTGGTCCAGAAGTACTTGCAGAAGGCAGACTAAAAAACTTGTTAATTTTGGGCAATTTTTGTTTACTTTCTCCTCTTTCTTGGCGTTGTTTGCGTTTAAATGCACCACTGGGTTTCTTTTTTTTTGTCCATAATACCTATTAGTTTTCTAATTTATTTATGCAATATTTATGTAAGACAGTACTCAGGTAGATACTCACTGTTCACTGACAACGTTACAAGTAAAAGAAAAGGAAACGTAATGATACGATACAAGACGTCGTTGGGGAATCCCCGGCAAACATTTTATCGCCGCCAGTGTTACCACATTTGACGGTTTGACGGACTACAATCAAATAAAATTGAACTTTTGTATGGAACAGTACAAAAAATTTATTGACATTACTTACTCGTGATACAATAACTTTTTAACCATTCTCGAAAAAAAATCTTGACTCGAAGTTAACAATCGCGAATCACAAAAACGCATATCGATAAATATTAATATCCAACAAATTGATGAAAACATTAATAACACAGCTGTCAACCCACACAAATAATTTACGAGAATTCCCTTTTTACCCGACTGCGCGACGCAAAGGAGGGTACCTAATTATAACTTTGGAATTACTCATAACTAAGTTTCCATGATTAAACTCGAGTTGTCACCTGTCATTTTTATTTTGAAGATGGGAGAAATTTTCAAAAGTTGAGTTCGATTGAGATTTTCTGGTAAAGATTCGAGGGCCCCCTGAGCTTGAGGGCCTCGGGGTACTGCCCCACCTAGTCCCTTGGTAGCTACGCCACTGGTCGTACCACACCTCTATGTCCTCCCTGGAGAAAAACAGTATTGGGTTTAAATTCGCCGGTTGTCAGACTTTCTAAAACTTTTAATTCCTGTAGCGATTTACTTGATTTACATTTTGATTCTTACTCCACATACCACAAAAATGTTCTAGATTTTCTAAAATATAATAGCAAATTAGTATTAAAATTAGTATTGTTCACCGCATTTTGAACAGATAAGTCTGTAATTAATAACTAAATAGATATTGTAAGCTTATTATGCATGCGGAGCTAACCTTTAAGTGCCTGTTGCAATAAGTCGGAAAAAAAAGAATTAATGTTATCAATAGTATGTATCATTGTAAACAGATGTTGGTTAGTCAAATAAATAAATAAATAAATTGTCTTAATAAAATTCAACAATCAACAAGAAACGAACAGCAAGGTTATAACTTCAAATTCAATTATACTATCGCTGCTAAACTTGCATGTTGACGGCGGACGTCGATCCCGGTGTTATGTTAATTCGTACGGTGGGTATGTGCTTTTTTGGTTCTTACAATAATTACTTCCTGCTCAACCTATTATAGAAATCAGTTATTTTCAAATATATTACTTACTAGCTTTCGCCAGTGGCTTCACTCGCGTGGTTCGGGAAATGTTTAGTGAGATAAAAAGTATCCTATTATCAAAGTCAGCTAATACTCTATCTCTATACCAAATTTCATCAACATCCGTTTAGAAGTTTCGGTGTGATTGACGGACAAACATCCAAATAAACTTTCACATTTATAGCTAATATTAATAGGATTAAGTACCTAGAGCAGCCACGCTCTCTTTAAAATCTCTACGGAGGTCGAGTTGAGTGAAGTGATGGCTGGCTCATGCGTAAAGCTCGTCAACGGGTGCACAACCAGTGGGAATGAGTATGCACTTGGCTACTTAATTTTGTCGATTTTCTTTGATTATGAATATTGTATATAATGATTTGTACCGAGTATTTGTGACTCAGCAACCGGCATATTAATCAGTAATCGAAAAATATCTGTCTTGTTTCTTCTATTGTAATGGAATAAGTGACTTCATAATCTAATTAAGTCACATTCCAATAAAACTACTATTTGTGAAAAGTATTTAAGAAAAAAAGAAAGCACTAAAAAAGCACCTCAACTAGATGGCGACTCTAGCAAAAGTTGATTTTTGCAGGAAACGATTGGCCCAAAGATAGTCATTTCCGTTCCTTCTAACTAACGTGTTAAAAAACTGAAATTTGCAAAGTTCGAAACTTACATATCAATACAAATACGAAAAAGTACAAATAGAATATAAGTTGTTGATTGAGCTTTGATAACAAATTTATTTTTAAACTTGAATGAAAACCGGAAAGGTTGTCATGAAGAAATCAAGAACGTACCGTAGCGACATTTAGTTTGATTTTGGGAACTTTTTTTTAAAATATTTTCTCATTCTATTACGTTGCGATACTGTTTGATATCCCATATCTATAAATATCGGATATAAATATTTTTTGAATCGTGCAATACGAAGTTCGTATGTCAACTCGTTTATTATATACATATATGTTACGCTCATAATTGCAATCGCTCATTAAGTGATAAAATAGTTCACAACGTGTTGTGATCACAGTAAAAATATTCATATAGTTATGCTTACTATTATGCTACTCGATCAAAATACGTTGTGGCAATGAAGAAAAACCATGAAGCGTATTAAACCATATTTGATTAGTTTAAGTTAGAATATGACAAACGAGGCCCGAACCGAGCGAGCAAAGCAAGTGTGCCACGGCAGCGGCCGGCTAAGAGCCAGAAGCGAATCGCTATTGTAAAATGAAAGGCTTTTCTTCATTGCCACAACGAATTGAGGTCGAATAGCATGTTAGCCACGACACGGATTTCGCAATGTCATTATTTTGCGATTGCCACAACACGGTGTTAACTATATTTTCGCTCAATGAACGTAACTTATACAGCAAATTAGTCTTATGTTAGTTTCAAGTAAAATGTCTCTCCAATAACAACGCTTTTGCTTTTATTAAAATCAAAAGCAATGGGAAGTTTTTCGTGAAACGACTTATACATTTCATTGTTTATTTGCTATGTCCTCACACTCTTCTTTCATTTTAAGTTTCCGGTTAGTAAAAATATGTAGGATGGCTCTACATCCAGGGTACAATTCATATTTAGTTTTGAATATACCCGATTTTATTCGTTTAGCAACCGATTCTTCCTTTACTACAATATTTAGTGCGTTTTCTAAATCCAGTTTAATAAGTTCGGCCGCATTTATTTTCAAGTCACATCTGTCAGCGCCATCAACCTGAAAATAAATCTTTTATTAGTATGTCTAGACCTGAATGACAAATTATTTTAAACCAGAAATTACAATTATAGCTAAATGCTAACTGATTAAGGACTCTCATCTGTCACCCACCTAAACCCCTTCGGTGTACCCTCCCCTGGGAAATGAGACTGTAAGCCTAGATCGAGGCGCCTTTGTATACATATATATATATATATATATATATATATATATATATATATATATATATATATATATATATATATATATATATATATATATATATATATATAACTACCTACCTATAAGTTTAGCAGTTATAATTTTATAAAAAATTAAAACTACTTATCTAAACTATGTCTTAAAATAATAACTATACTAAATAAAAAATGTCTCCCAGATCATTGCCAACAGGTAAGGTACCCAGAAGGCTGCGAGCGTTTACTCAAATTTCAAAAAACAATAAGTTATGTAATAATTTTATGTCAGCAAGGTCGGTAGTATGTTTCACCTGACTGAATATGCAATAGAAAATATGGTAATTTTATGTGTAAATCTTTGAAATGACGATTTAATTGTAATGTATTTAATTGAATGACTTATATAAATTTAAGTTTAGTGAATATAATATTAAAATAAGTGTACCTAAGTAAATTAAAGTGATACGTGAAATGGTGTGTAATAGCTTGTAGTAGCTTCAAACTAAGAAGGGTCGTTCGTTCCAGGGGAGGGACACCTAACTTTTTTAGGGGAGGTGTAGTATGCAAATATTATCATGTCGTTTACGTAATCAACAATTACCTCCCTTGTCCGCAATATGTATCACTTACTCATAATATCCCTTATTTAATTGTAGTAGTGTAATATAAGTTGATTTGGTAAGTTAATATAGATCTACAACCTGGAAGTTAGTATCATTTCTCCCTACCGCATTGCCGCTATTTCAGTTTCTGTAGTAGATAACAATTTATATATTATTTTTTCTTCTGTACCTAATTACATATTAATGTTAATTCATTCGTTGCACTCGCACACTTCGGCAGTTTGAGCAAAACATTAGTTTTCAGAAAAACTTACAGCTACGAACTTCGGTTTCGCGATCTCAGAAGAAATATATCATAAAAAATATGGGTGGTTTGATCATCTGACCATAGTGAGCATAAGAGGTTAGCATCGATAATGGTATGTGGTTATTTCCCTTTTATACATATATATTTGCTTGCATAAAAGTATAGAACCTCAATATAATAAAAATATATTATTTGAAAAAAGACGACTTGCCTTACAAAGAAGCGACAAATTATATTGTTCATCAACTTTAGGCCACTGCTGCTCTAGAACATTTTTATCCCAGCATATATTTGTCTGTGATTGATTACAAATTCTATTGGGAGCTGAAACGAATCCAGCCCACAACTCTGAACAAAAATGAGGAGTAACTGGTGACAACATAATTATCAAAGAGGCCAACGCCGATTCAAATTCTTTACTTTTAGCAATAACATCAGGCGGCAGGTTTTTCTGAAAAAGAATCAAATATGTATTTAAATATATATTTTTTTACTTAATTGTGTGTACGAAAGTAAGAATGAATACATACTCTTAACGTGTTGGTTAAACTTTGTAATCTGGAAATACCTACACTAAGTTTATTTGTATGTTTAAAATGGTATGTTGTAGTGGCGATAAAATAATTTTTTGCATCCCAGATCTTACGCTCATGTTCACAGAATTCTTCTTCGCTTAACTGCTCATTACTATAATTAACTGAACTTCTGTGTTTTAAAAAATCTCTTATTGTTAACCATAGTCTATGTTGCCAATTCAAAACCCCTGGTAATGCTACAAATACGTGGAAAATGTTAGGTATAAGAAAACCATAGGAAGTATATAACAGTGTTACTAGACTTACTGGCGTCTGACCAACGTCGGCTTGTTTCAGGAGGGACATCAGAAAGAATCAGAAGTCGTGTAGTATCACATCCATATGTTGTTAACAGTCTTTCAGGGTTTTCTCCATTATATTTAGATTTGCTCATCTTTTCCCACTGCGCTAAAACAGACTCCCCGGTATTTTTAAGTTTATATTCTTTCCCAACTAGCACTACATTATCAGGAGGGATATATTTTCCGGACGATTTCAATTTATAAGATTGACCCATAACCATTCCTTGAACTACTAATTTTTTAAAAGGTTCTGGAGATGGAATCCACCCCAGTGAATGCAAGAAGTAACTCATAAAGCGAGCATAGTACAAATGCAATACTGCGTGTTCTTTGCCACCTATGTAAATATTGACAGGAGTTTTTCCAGATACTTTTATTTTATCAAATGGTTTTTCATTGTTTCCAGGATCTAAAAATCTGTAAAAATACCATGATGAATCTACAAATGTGTCCATTGTGTCTGTCTCCCTTTTGGCTTTCTTTTGACATTTAGGGCAGGTACAATCGATCCATTCAGCTAACTTGTCTAATGTTTGAATATCAGAACCGAAAGACTCTACATGTGGAAGTGTTATTGGAAGATCTTTTAATGGTACTGCAACCGGACCACATCCGTCACAATGAATTATAGGTATAGGTGTACCCCAATAGCGTTGCCTAGATATAAGCCAATCCTTTAATTTCGAACTTACGAGATAACCCCCGATGTCGTTTTTTTGTGCAATTTCTAAAGCATGCTTATTTTCTATTTCTATGTTAACTTGTTTACAGCTTATTACTGGTACATTCAATGATTTCGACAGCATGAAATCTTCCTCGTTATTTGAAGGTGAAGCTATATAAATATCTCTCTCAGGAGCATAATTGGCGTCATCTGTTATATAAACTGGCATTTCACACTTTGTAATTGGATTAAAACATTTTAAATCTTCATTAATCATATTTTCCATTTCTTGTAAATAGATGCTGTCTTTTTTTATTGTGATAAATTCACCATGTATCAGTTTATAAGGTTCAGATGTCCATATATCAATAGGTTTTTTTTTGTCCCCGCATGTCATTTTAAATCTCACTACTATTCCATTGCATTCACCTATCCAGTGTTTTTGAAGATTGATAATATCTTTCCAATCTTCTAAAATATTACTGCTCAAGCCATCAAATAATTTTTTCGCATATTTTGTTGTTTTGATAAACCACTGTGTTAAAATTTTTGATTCAACTTTAGCACCAGACCTCCAAGAACAACCAAATTCATCTACTTGCTCATCTGCCAAAACTGTTTTATCGATGGGGTCCCAATTAACTTTCGCCTGAAAATAATATTTTAAACATATAAGTATAAATTATCCATTCATACTAAGGGCGTTTGCTAAGTGAAGCGTGCTTGTTTTGAAATATAGTATGAGCTGCGCCAATGGCGATATAACCCCGCCGGGGCGGCATCAGGCTCGGACTTACAACTTTTTCGTACTGGTTTTGCGTTTTAAACCTCTCCCAACCCCCCCCCCGCTAAGACGCCTGCTAAAACTACGAAATCTGACATAAGAAAGATACAAGCCCGATTTATGATTTGATTAAGGGAACTGGTGGAGGGCCCAGCCCCAGGACAAGAGGCCTGGGGCTGACCGCCGCCTTAGTCCGCCATTGTGCAACACTCTGTAACACGGACGGCATAGAGTGCTTTACTTAGCGAACATTCGTAACGATTTTTATAGGGGTAGAACTTTATTTAACTTACCCTGCATTGGTATGCCAAACCTTTCTCAAACAATTTTAAAAATATGTATTGTGTCCATTTGTAATATTGTGGATCACATGTAGATAGCTCACGCTCCCAATCAAAGTCAAAACTCAATTTAAGGAGCTGCATTTTCATTGATTGTATATTTGATCTGGTCCATTGATGAGGTGGGATATTTCGTTCTATAGCAGCATTTTCTGCTGGCAAGCCAAATGCATCCCAACCTATCGGATGTATTACATTTTTGCCATCTAATTTATGGAATCTTGCAATAGTATCTGATATTGAATAAACTCTGACATGACCCATATGTAAATTTCCAGATGGATATGGGAACATTGGTAGAACATAAAATGACTCTGTATCATTATCTATTTTTTTTTGACTTAAAACATCTTTTGACCAATGTCTTTCTATTTTCAGTTTTATATCTGTTGACAAATCTTCACTCTGAAAATAATTTCTTTTTGTATTTTATTTTGTATTCTTAATAGATAATAAAAATAGAACTCCAGAAATGGTTTCTCCCATTTTATTGGTTAATTTGTGTTGAAGTTTCATGTTTTGGCATACAAAAAACAAGAACGAATTCTAGTAGACATTTATTCACTGGAACCAACAGTTAATAAGTTTTTGATTACTCTATTAGTAGCAGGTTTGCTGAACCATAAAACAATCATTATATTTGTTTTTCATAAAATAATTTTTCACAAAGATTTTTTGTGCACAGTATTTTTTATTTATTGTGAATAATTTTGATAAAAATATATATTTTATTTTCAAGTCAACATCACAATTTGTTGAAGTTCCTTTACATTAAGCATAAACTACCCTAAAAGTATAAAAAAATATCATAAAGTTTAATCAAAATTAATGTTTTACACAATAATAAAATGTACTACATATAATAAAATATACTGAAAAATATTCTTAATGAAAAATGCTTAAAAAATCCACTTAGTCCCTGGCACTCTGAGATGGAACTCAAACCTTTCGCAATCAGGGTGACTGCTTTAACCATTGAGCTACCCAGGACCCAACAGGACAGACGATTTTTTCTAGCACTTGTTACTTTTTCGCTACTACAGAGTGTACATAAATTATATTACATATAAATATTATATTAGCAAAGCTTAATGCACAACTGATACAGAGTGACTACGATCCAGTCATTTCGAACCAAAATTCACGAAAAAGAAAAATAATCCTAATAAATAAGCAATTTAAAGTAACAACTAAAATAAAATACGCTTAATTATAAATTATCTAATATTATCTATATTTAACAATACATACCCATACGCCGAGACTACTTTTGCTCCTGTGACATAAAGTTTTGTATTCAAAGAAAGGCTTGTACTTATTAAAAATTTTGGTTAGACTAAAAAACATTTTGGAAATTTTTACAATACCCAAACTTGGGTAATTTGCGCACGTATTTAGTTTTATTTAATTCGTAACAAATAACAATACATACATAAAAAAACAAACAATATATGCTCTTTAAACTATACTAATTTATTCATTAATTATAATTTTCAGGAGCTCTTTTCCCGAAATTAAGAACAGTAGAAAGCACATAGTTTGCAATGCTGTCAAATATCTCCAAATCATTTTAAGCCATAATACCTTTACATATAAGTTTAAAATCGAATGCAGTTATTTGCTTTTACCATCGCCTGAATGCTGCCATGTGTAGGATAGGAATGTGCAATAAATATCGATATATCAAAGTAACGATACTTTTTCTGAAAAAATCGATATAAATAAACTATATATTTTCCCGCGATATAATGGTTTTCGATATTTATTTACAGATATCAAGTTCATATAAAATCGATATATTTTATTTATTTCTCTACTCATGCGTCACATCATGTATTTCTTAAATTAATAATTTGAATAATTAATTAATTTAGGAAAAGTGTAGGTAGGCTGTATGAGTTTAGTTTTTTGCTTCAAACACTAACAAAAATTTCAGACAGCCTACGGCCTGTTTGTCTATAACGTTGCTTGTCGCTTTGGTTGGTGTCACTGAGAGTGCTCCAGATGTCAATATCAGACAAATACTGGATTGTTTGAATAATGTAATAGTTGTTGTTTTCTTGGTTTTATGTACATATTACGAATAATAAAACTGATTTCAAATCTGCCAGGTTTGTATTTGTTTTAAAATTTCGAATATTTTCAATAGATAATCGCTTATTACGAAAGCAATCAGAAAAATATCATCAATATTTCAGTCAATATTTATCGATAAACTTGAAAGCGATAGGATATATATATCGATTTTTTTTCCTTTTGCCCATCCCAAGTGTACGATAGGGTATTTAACACTATCGAAAATAATTTGCATTTTGTGGTCACCATGTCTATGGGTCATCCTGATAGATAATAATCTAAAAAACCTTATTTCTTACAACTCTAGAAAAAACATGTTTAGATTTAGTAAAATAACGTAAAGAAAATGATATATTTTTAGGTATTTATTCAACGACGAAAACGTCCTATAATTGACCATCATCACAACCAATCACGATTCTGTTTACTGGCCTGTGACGTCATCAGCTGTCATGTCAAAGTGTTAGAAAGATACATAAAATATCGATGCCTGTAGGTATCGAATAATTTATAGTAATTATAACAGAATACTTTGCCGCTTCTACTGATAAGAACTGCCAAAAATAAATACAGAATGAAAGAATCATTTACTATGCTCCATTCATTATAGCATTAGACAGAAGTACAGACTTAGTAGTATCAGACGCAGTGCCGGTTTTAGCACTACTAGCGCCCTGGGCGAAATTTCTTCGGCGCCCTCTAACTGCAATTCAATTACAATCAGTTACTACTACATACTACAAATCAGTTACTTGTCTTTTTTTCGCCGACCCGGCCTAATTACTTGTAATTTTTCCTAAATTTAGGTAGATTGTTAAGTTGGAAGCATTAGAATGGAACGTAGTGTTCAATCGGTTTAATTTCTCGGGAAGCCCTGACTTTCCGACCATACAGAAACAATGTGTTTTTCTATAATCGGGGATTCCCTAGATCTATCTCTTTTAATTTTTGACGAAGAAGAACACAATCAACAATTATCTTCTTGCTTGACATAAGTGGACGCTCTTAAAACAATTATTCGATTATTTTAAAACAAACAAACACAGTAATCAAACGTTTAACGCTTCGTTACGATGATCTTGTTCCAACTATATAGTGACATTTGTACATTTTATTTAAAACGTAGACATATAAATAGTGTATAAGTAGCTGATTCATTTTTGACGGATCACATCATTAGGTAAGTACAGATTCATTTTTACCCTAACAGGGTGTCACATAATTGTTATCTACTTTGTGTTATGGTTGTAACTTCAGCAACATCTGTTATCATAGCACAACTTGCTCCCTTACTTCAGGATTTTTCATCCACAATCTCTTGAGTAGCTATTCCATCTGACTTGCCAGACAGAGGCTCCACTGCCGATGCATTCGTTTGTATTGCAGCATTTTAGCTTCAACTTAACGTTTAAACCTGCTCAAACGAAAATTTTCTTAAATGACCGAGCGATAATGCCCGCCAATATTACCGATAAAATACATATCTTCATATTGGTAATCGGTATGTTGTTCTGTTTTACCATAATATAATATTTTTCTTGTTAAGTTTCCTTTCAATGCATGCTAAAATTGAGGCAACTTGAAAATAAAAAAAATCTTGAATGTTCTTTTTCGCCGACCCAGTAGGTCTTGTTCAATGAGCAAGCGAACTATAAGAGGGCTGTGGGAAATGAGAAAGTATTAAAAAAAATATTAGTTCCTGAAATCAAACTAGATGTCGCTACGGTATGTTCATGATTTCTCCATGACAACCCTTCCAGTTTTCTTTCAAGTTTAAACGTAAATTAGTTTTCAAAACTCAATTAACAACTCATATTCTATTTGTACTTTTTCGTATTTATATCTAAGTTTCGAACTTTTCAAATTTCAGTTTTTTAATATGTTAGTTTTTTAAAATGAACGGAAATGACTGTCTTTGTTCCATTAGTTTTCTGCAAAAATGAACTTTTGCTACAGTCGCCATCTAGGTGGAGGTATTTTTGTAGTGCTTTTGGTTTTTTTAAATATTTCCTCATTATACAGAATCAGAAAGAAGCGCCGGACGAAAAAGGGGCGCCGCGGCTTGCGGCGCCCCTTTTCGTCCGGCGCCCCTGGGCGGTCGCCCAACCGCGCCCTACCCTAACGCCGCTACTAATCAGACGACCAACTTCCTAACAAAAAATTTCTTCGTAGAACGTGATTGGACAAAAGTTAAATAAGGTTCTTTTTATGGTATACTTTGTGACAAAATATCAATAATCATGTTACTCTTAAGACTGACGGCTAATTTGCTACATATCCACTTAAATACCAGCTGCTATACTTAACTATTGTCATTTAAGCTATCTATTAAACAAATTTATGAGTATTTGACTAACTTAAATGATATAAAAACTATAACAATAAAAAGTGTTCATCTTAAAGAATCTAAAGAAGCAGGGTTGGATAGTTTCGGCACGATTCTCATGTCACTATAACTCTATCAAATTTAAAACGATGCCTAATCCCTCCAAACGTTTCGGCAGTACAACTTTTTAATTTTGTCAGAATATGATGTATCCGTAATTGTCGAAATACGTAATCTGGGATTGTGAATGCTCTGCCTTTCTTGATGTTTTGTCGTTTTCCGTGATTAAGTTGGTATTGTTTTATTTTTGTTTTTTTTTTATAGTTTTGTTTTTGTTGTTAAGTTTTGTTAAATATGGAGGATGCCGGTGTAGGCCCGAGTGGCCTAAAAAACAATTACGCTCTAAGCCCCCATACCTACCCTCAACCTTTGACATTTCAGGAAGTTTTTCAAATGTCTTCGTCAATAGTCTAATGTCTGAATAAATGTTATAAAAGTAATAACAAAAATTTCATTTTATTTCTCTTTCTTTCCTGGGCTTAAACATAACTAAATATTCTTATTATATACACTTACAATTAGAATTTATCCAAACAACAGATAAATAGTTTTAGTTTCATGTTGGTTTGGGAGTGAAAGATGAATTTAAAAATGCTGGCCTCATCTCAACCCCTAGGTATAAAAAATTGAAAATTGTCCTGCTCTTTCAAACTACCTAACGTTCAAAGTTTCAACAAAACTATAATCTATATATTTTTTAAATTTATCTTTAAATTAAAATGTTCTGCACTGCTGGTTCTATGACCCTCTTTTTTCTAATTTTATAATGAATTGAGTATAAGCTTTTTAAAAAATCCAAGAAATAGAGAAAACGCCAGCTATTTAAAAAAAGAGCAACTTACATGTTTTTCTCATTTCTTAAACTTTAATATAATAATTCAAAATTACAAAGTCGATTTTGATGATATATACTGTTCTCGGATCGGGATCTGATATCTAATTATTAATTGCAATGCATTTAGTGGACAGACATACTACATGCATGTATAAAAAAAAATAGAACATTCTTTTCCGTATTAATGTCTCATCCATCTGTAGATCGACAAGCTGTAAAGTGCGAGCCCTGTATACAAATATAAATCAGTCGTAAAATGTTTATGGCAAAGAAAAAAACCAATAAGAAAACCTTCAAGTGTATCGATATGAAATAAATAAGTTTCAATTCTTTTAGCGAATCCTTACCTAATTTTATCACCCATCTCTACTCTATATAGCTACTATACTATTGTGAATCTATTTTTTTCTAGAATCGAAGTTTGTTTGTTATTTATAGAAGTATTAGTACATTGTGGCACTAAGCACCACTTGTAGCTCATTTTTTAAAGAAAACCAGAGCAGAGGAAAATAAAAAACGTAAAAAATACGCACTACGACTTCAATTTCTCTTCTACATTATTATTTCAATTTACTCTAAAGACAGTTGCTACTTATCGATTAGACATATTTACTGGCATGTGACGTCACGATCAGCGCCATTACACAGAGCAGCGTTTTTCGCGCGCTTTTAGCTATTTAAATTTTAACAATTATTTTCACCAAAAATAGAAAAGATTCCAATGAAATATTAAGACAGTGTGTTTATAATGTAGCAAACAAAGATTTAAAATAGATTTCAGAAAAGTGTCTAATACCCTATTGCTAAAAATCGGCTTCAACTTGTTGTTCGGCGAACATCGTATTTACTTTTTATGTGGTCTGAGACTATAACAGCAAACTCATAACTGTACAAATAGCTGACATATATTTGATAAAACCATCTCATAATGTTTATGAAAAATTATAATTTACAGTAAAAAAAAAGAAAAAACATATAATCATAAAGTAATTAAAATTTAATTTCAGATTAGGCACAGTAATAGCTGACACAACATGCACCTCATGCAACTCGCAGCAGCTGGAGCTAGCTAAATAACTGTAAGCGTACTAAAACTCTGAATCAATTCAAATAAGTTCGATATGAATTTAGTATACATAAATATAGTAATAGTTTTTATATGTTGCTTTAGGTTAACTAAGTACAAAATATCTTACTTATTAAAAAATCTTATCAATGTACGTAAGTACAAAATATCTTGTTTATAAAAAATGTTTATCTTTATTAGCAGAAATACTGTCAGAAATTGACGGCAGCTACCAAAATTAAAAACAAGAACAATAATAATAATTAAACATATGGCAATGTAAATAATTATTTTATGGAAATGCCCAAACAGGCATTGATATCTGAAGCAAGAAATATTGTTTTTAATGTTTACAGTAAAAAAGTGTTTATTATAATAGAAGTAAGTATTACAAGTATCAAGATGTCTTTATCTTTTTTCTCCAGTTTTGCCTTCTACTAAGTAAAGTTTCTTAATTTGCCATCAGATTCTGGTAACAAATATAAATGTCCAGTGGGTGGTAATTCATGGGCGCTTATCCGGATAAAACCTAATTTGCCACAAACGCCCGAGCATTTTCACATAGAGTATTTGACAACATTAAAGATGGTGGTCATCCTTTAAGATAATAGCATAACAACCAGTGGTCGGTGTAGGCAGTGCTATTTCACGGGATTTGACGACGCTACATTACCGTGGACATATCCTTGCATCTCACAGTCCCGTGATTTTTAAAATCGAAACATTGTCATAAATCAGTCGTGATTTTTATACGCCTGTACTATTTATTTACAATGTGTCGTAATTTACTACGAGTACTCTATAATACCTTTGTGACACAGCAAAAAAATTGATTCAAATTAAAAAAAAAGCATACTAAAAATGTGTTAATATTATAATATGTATAATAAAATAAAGAAACTACAAAAATTTATGTCACTAGATGACAGCACGAATTGTTGGATGTAAACGTCAATGAGGATGTATTTAAATAATAAAAAGTAGTTCTTGAAGTCATACTAGATGTCACTCTTGTTGTTTGGATTGAATCGAGTCAGTTAAACTCAGCATATCTCGTATTTTCTTCTTGGTCTGTGATAATCTGTGGGTCTGTGGGTTTGTTGTGAAA